TTCCCAACATTTTTTCCATTAAATTTCCCACTTTTTACCTCAGTTTTCTGCTTTTTTCCCCTCACATTTCCTTCCCTTTTCTCCCCCCATCCCCTTTTCTTGATATTTTTTCCTCTCACTTTTCCCACCCTTTTTTCCCCTCATATTTCTCATTTTTTACCTCACATTTTCTGCCTTTTCCCCCTTTGAATTTTCCACCATTTTTTCTCTCATTTTTCCCACCATTTTTTCCCTAATATTTCTCTTTTTTTACCTCAGTTTTCTGCCATTTCCCTCTCACATGTTCCACCTTTTCCCCCTCACATTTCTCACTCTTTTCTCCTCTCACATTTCCTGCCTTTTTCCCCTCAAATTTCCCACCATTTTCCCCTCTCACTTTTCCCACCCTTTCCCCTTCATATTTCTCATTTTTTACCTCATGTTTTCCACCTTTTTCCACTCACATTTCCCGCCCTTTTCTCCCTCCTCTCCTTTTCCTGACATTTTTTCCTCTCACTTTTCCCGCCCTTTTTTCCCTCACATTTCTCATTTTCCCCCTCTCATTTTCCACCTTTTTCCCATCATATTTTCTGCCCTTTTCTCCTCACATTTCTCACTCTTTTCTCCTCTCACGTTTCCTGCCATTTTTTCCTCTCACTTTTCCCACCATTTCCCCCTCATATTACCCTTTTTTTACCTCACATTTTCCTCCTTTTTCCCCTCACGTTTCCCACCATTTTTTTCCCCTCATATTTCTCATTTTTCCCCTCACATTTTCTGCCTTTTCCCCCTCACATTTCCTACCATTTTCTCCCCATCCCCTTTTCTTGACATTTTTTCCTCTCACTTTTCCCACAATTTTCCCCTTCATATTTCTCATTTTTTACCTCACATTTTCTGCCTTTTTCCCCTCACATTTCCCGCCCTTTTCTCCCCCCTCTCCTTTTCCTGCCATTTTTTCCTCTCACTTTTCCCGCCCTTTTTTCCCCTCATATTTCTCATTTTTACCTCACATTTTCTTCCTTTTTCCCCTTTGAATTTTCCACCATTTTTTCTCTCATTTTTCCCACCATTTTTTCCTGAATATTTCTCTTTTTTTACCTCAGTTTTCTGCTATTTTCCCCTCACATGTTCCACCTTTTTCCCCTCACATTTCTCACTCTTTTCTCCTCTCACATTTCCTGCCATTTTTATCTCTCGCTTTTCCCGCCCTTTTTCCCCTCACATTTTCCATTTTTTACCTCACATTTCCTGCCCTTTTCCCCTCAAACTTCCCACCATTTTCCCGTCTCACTTTTCCCACCATTTTCCCCTCATATTTCTCTTTTTTTACCTCAGTTTTCTGCCTTTTTCCCCTTCATATTTCCTGCCCTTTTCTCCCCCCATCCCCTTTTCCTGCCATTTTTCCTCTCACTTTTCCCACCATTCTCCCTTCATATTTCTCATTTTTACCTCACGTTTTCTTCCTTTTTCCCCTTCGAATTTTCCACCATCTTTTCTCTCATTTTTTCCCACCATTTTTTACCTCACATTTCTCTTTTTTTACCTCAGTTTTCTGCCATTTTCCCCTCACATGTTCCACCTTTTTCCCTCACATTTCTCACTCTTTTCTCCTCTCACATTTCCTGCCATTTTTTCCTCTCACTTTTCCTACCATTTCCCCTCATATTTTCCATTTTTTACCTCACATTTCCTGCCCTTTTCCCCTCAAATTTCCCACCATTTTCCCCTCTCACTTTTCCCAACATTTTCCCCCTCATATTTCTCATTTTTACCTCAGTTTTCTGCCTTTTTCCCCTTCACGTTTCCTGCCCTTTTCTCTCCCATCCCTTTTTCTTGACATTTTTTCCTCGCACTTTTCCCGCCCTTTTTTCCACTCATATTTCTCATTTTTACCTCACGTTTTCTTCCTTTTTCCCCTTTGAATTTTCCACCATTTTTCCCTCTCATTTTTCCCACCATTTTCCCCCTAATATTTCTCATTTTTTAACCTCAGTTTTCTGCCTTTTTCCCCTCACATTTTCCACCTTTCTCCTCTCACATTTCTCACTCTTTTCTCCTCTCACATTTCCTGCCATTTTTTCCTCTCGCTTTTCCCACCATTTCCCCTCACATTTCCCATTTTTTACCTCACATTTCCTGCCCTTTTCCCCTCAAATTTCCCACCATTTTTTCCTCTCACTTTTCCCACCCATTTTTCCCTAATATTTCCCATTTTTTACATCATATTTTCCACCTTTTTCCCCTTCATATTTCACGCCCTTTCCCCCTCACATTTCCCACCCTTTTCTCCCCTCATGTTTCCTGCCATTTTCCCTCTCACTTTTCGCACCCTTTTTCCCCTTACATTTCCCATTTTTTACTTCACGTTTTCTGCCCTTTTCCCCTCACCTTTCCCACCATTTTCCCCCTCATATTTCTCATTTTTTATCTCTTGTTTTCTGCATTTCCCCTCTCATGTTTCGCACCCTTCTCCCCTCACACTTCCCACCCTTTTCTCCTCAAATTTCTCACTTTTGTCTCCTCACATTTCCCACCATTTTTTCCTCTCACTTTCCCCACCCTTTTTTCCCTAATATTTCTCATTTTTTACCTCACATTTTCTACCTTTTTCCCCTCACATTTTTTGCCCTTTTCTCCCCTCACATTTCTCACTCTTTTCTCCCCCCATCCCCTTTTCTTGACATTTTTTCCTCTCACTTTTCCCGCCCTTTTACCCCTCATACTTCTCATTTTTACCTCACATTTTCTTCCTTTTTCCCCTTTAAATTTTCCACCATTTTTTCCTCTCATTTTCCCCACCATTTTCCCCCTAATATTTCTCATTTTTTACCTCACATTTTCTGCCTTTTCCCCCTCACATTTCCCACTCTTTTCTCCCCCATCTCCTTTTCCTGCCATTTTTTCCTCTCACTTTTCCCGCCCTTTTTCCCCCTCATATTTCTCATTTTTTACCTCACATTTTCTGCCTTTTTCTCCTCACATTTCTCACTCTTTTCCCCTCTCACGTTTCCTGCATTTTTTTCCTGTCACTTTTCCCACCATTCCCCCTTCATATTTCTCATTTTTATGTCACATTTTCTTCCTTTTTCCCCTTTGAATTTTCCACCATTTTTTCCTCTCATTTTCCCCACCATTTCCCCCCTAATATTTCTATTTTTTAACCTCCGTTTTCTGCCATTTTCCCCTCACATTTTCCACCTTTTTCCTCTCACATTTCTCACTCTTTTCTCCCCTCACATTTCCTGCCATTTTTTCCTCTCGCTTTTCCTACCATTTCCCCTCACATTTTCCATTTTTTTCCTCACATTTCCTGCCCTTTTCCCCTCAAATTTCCCACCATTTTTCCCTCTCATTTTCCCCACCATTTTCCCCCTCATATTTCTCATTTTTTACCTCACATTTTTTGCCTTTTTCCCCTTCATATTTCCTGCTCTTTTCTCCCCTCACATTTCCCACTCTTTTCTCCCCATCCCCTTTTCTTGACATTTTTTCCTCTCACTTTTCCCACCATTTCCCCCCTAATATTTATATTTTTTAACCTCAGTTTTCTGCCATTTTCCCCTCACATTTTCCACCTTTCTCCTCTCACATTTCTCACTCTTTTCTCCCCTCACATTTCCTGCCATTTTTTCCTCTCGCTTTTCCTACCATTTCCCCTCACATTTTCCATTTTTTTCCTCACATTTCCTGCCCTTTTCCCCTCAAATTTCCCACCATTTTCCCCTCTCACTTTTCCCACCATATTCCCCCTCATATTTCTCATTTTTTACCTCACAAATTCTGCCTTTTTCCCCTCACATTTCCCGCCCTTTTCTCCCCCCTCTCCTTTTCCTGCCATATTTTCCTCTCACTTTTCCCGCCCTTTTTCCCCCTCATATTTCTCATTTTTATGTCACATTTTCTTCCTTTTTCCTCTTCGAATTTTCCACCATTTTTTCTCTCATTTTTCCCACCCTTTTTTCCCTAATATTTCTCATTTTTTACCTCACATTTTCTGCCTTTTCCCCCTCATGTTTCACACCTTTCTCCTCTCACATTTCTCTCTCTTTTCTCCCCTCACATTTCCTGCCATTTTTTCCTCTCACTTTTCCCACCATTTCCCCTCACATTTTCCATTTTTTACCTCACATTTCCTGCCCTTTTCCCCTCAAATTTCCCACCATTTTTCCCTCTCACCTTTCCCACCATTTTCCCCCTCATATTTCTCATTTTTCCCCTCAGTTTTCTGCCTTTTTCCCCTTCATATTTCCTGCCTTTTTCTACCCCATCCCCTTTTCTTGATATTTTTTCCTTTCACTCTTCCCGCCCCTTTTTCCCCTCATATTTCTCATTTTTTACCTCACATTTTCTGCCTTTTTCCCCTTTGAATTTTCCACCATTTTTTCTCTCATTTTCCCACCATTTCCCCCCTAATATTTCTCATTTTTTAACCTCCGTTTTCTGCCATTTTTCCCTCACATGTTCCACCTTTTTCCCCTCACATTTCTCACTCTTTTCTCCTCTCACATTTCCTCCTATTTTTTCCTCTCATTTTCCCACCGTTTCCCCCCTCACATTTCCCATTTTTTACCTCACATTTCCTGCCCTTTTCCCCTCAATTTTCCCACCATTTTTTCCCCTCACATTTCCCATCTTTTCCCTCACATTTTCCTCCCTTTTCCCCTGAAATTCCCACATTTCCCCTCTCTTTTTCCCCACCATTTCCCTGCCCCAGCCATCCCCAGGAACCTCTCCTGCCCCAAACCCCCCATTCCTCCCCCAGAACCTTTCCAGCACCAGGAGATGTCACAAAATTGGGTGAAATCAGAACTTTTTGTGCCATTGAACCATTCTCAACCTGCGACCTTTCATTTTTTAAATATTTTTAAATATATTTTTATATATTTTATATATGTTTATATTTTTTATTTTTAATATATATTTATATTTTTAATATTTTAAAATTTTTTTTATATTTTTAAAATATTTTTTACATTTTTTTCCTGCTGTTCTCTTCTCCATCCCTTTTCATGTGGCAGTTGTGTTTTTTGGGCGCGTCTGTGGCACAGAAGAGGCTCCTCTCTCCCTCAATAAACTGAATATTGATTATCTGGAGGGTCTCTCTCCCTCAATAAACTGAATATTGATCATCTGGAGGACCTCTTTCCCTCAATAAACTAAATATTGATCATCTGGAGGACCTCTTTCCCTCAATAAACTAAATATTGATCATCTGGAGGACCTCTCTCCCTCAATAAACTAAATATTGATTATCTGGAGGGTGGGAACCTGATCGAGGTCCAGCTTGTTGAGAGGTGGGAAATGTGAGTGGTAAGAAAAGGAACGTTTTGAAAGCTTTTCAGTTTGAATTTTGTCAGGTTTTTTCCTCCCTTTTTTCCTTTTATGGTACTGTGGTAGCTTAATAAAGGGTTTTTTTTCCTTATTATTAAGTTGGGCCTGCTCTGCTCTATTTCCCGATCGCGTCTCACAGCATTTGATTAAAAAATTGCATTTTCATAGCGCTGTGCCAGTGTCAGACCATAACGGAGCAGGAGAAGGGAGCAGCGGTGCGTGGAATGTTCTGGTGGAAGCGACGTGGGGGAAAACCGGGATGTTACAAAGGACCTGTGGTCACCACCATCGTTGGTGGGCATTCCACGTCCACCGTTGGTGGAAACGGAACCGCCGCGGAACCCTCAGTGTCCATCAGGACAGCGACAGGACAAGACAAGCAGCTCATGTCTTGCCTCTAAAACCATCCCACCTCGGTTTTTTCCTCCTTTCCGCTCGTTCTTTATTATCCAACATGGAGAGAAGACCTCCAAGGTGGCCCAAAGTGGCTTTCGAGGAGGTGGCGGCGGCTCCTGAGGAGAGCAGCTCCTCGGTGGAGCCCACCACGGTGACCATGGTGGAGGAGCTGCATCTCAGTGAGTGTGGGCAGTGAAGGGCACCCACCTCCTCCTCCATCCTCCGGCGCCACATTCCCGAATTTTCTCTGTTGTAGCATTTTTGAGAGAAAGAGGACATGAATTATGAAATTTGAGCTACTCCAGTCTAGGCCTCAGATTGAGGCCTGGTGAGGCCTTCAAGCCTCTGTCGCAGTTAGAAATTCAGAGTTTGTGGCGCAGATAAAAATGTTTTAAGGTGTGACGGGGACCACTGGGTTGTTTAGGTGTGAATTAGTATAGGTTTTATGGTGTAAGGTGTAGGCTGTTTTAAGGAAAATGTAAACAATATTAGTTTGCCAATCAGAGTGTTTTTATTTTTGTAAACTATGTGGAAGCTTATATAAACTACCACCTTATCTTGAATAAAGAGAGAACGTTTGATTAACCACATTGGTTTGGACCTGCGTTTGTCTTGTCCAGCTTTCCGTTTTCCTGAGATTCCCTGGCTTTTTTTCTCCCTCTTTTTTAGATCCCGCATGGATTCCTGATAAGGCAAAAGAGATCCTGGAATTCGTCCAAGTTTTTGCCAGCAACCCCACAAAGGTACCCACGGGGTGTGTGTGTGGGGGTGGATCTGTGGGGCGGCAGATCAATTAAAAAAAAAAAATAAATTAAAACCCAAAATTCGAGGAATTTAGAGATGTTAGTTAGAGATGTAAGTCGTACTAGAGTTAATTAAAATAATAATAGGATGAAAAATTAAACCCCAATTGAAATGTAAACTTTAAGGAATTTAGAGACTTTATTTAGAGATAAGCCTTACTAGAGTTAATTTAAAATATTTTAGTTAGAAATGAGCCTTACTAGAGTTAATTAAATTACTAATAGGATGAAATGTCAAACCCCACAATTCCAATTGAAATGTAAACTTTGGGGAATTTAGAGATTTTTAGAGGAGCTAAGATTATAATTAGAGATAAACCTTACTAGAGTTTTTTGAAATAATAATAGGATAAAAAATCAAACCCGAATTGAAATGTAAACTTTAAGGAATTTAGAGATTTTAGTTAGAGATAAACCTTTCTAGAGTTAATTAAAATAATAATAGGATGAAAAATCAAACCCTGCAATTCCAATGGAAACATAAATTTCGAGGAATTTAGAGATTTTAGCTAGATATAAGCCTTACTAGAGTTAATTAAAATAATAATAGGATGAAAAATCAAACCCTGCCATTCCAATTGAAATGTAAACTTTGAAGAATTTAGAGATTTTTAGAGGAGCTAAGATTTTAGTTAGAAATAAGCCTTGCTAGGGTTAATTAAATTAATAATAGGATAAAAAAATGCAATTCCAATGGAAATGTGAACTTTGAGGAATTTAGAGATTTTAGTCAGAAATAAGCCTTGCTAGAGTTAATTAAAATAATAATAGGATGAAAAATCAAACCCCAATTGAAATGTAAACTTTAAGGAATTTAGAGACTTTAGTTAGAAATAAGCCTTACTAGAGTTAATTAAAATAATAATAGGATGAAAAATCAAACCCTGCAATTCCAATGGAAACATAAATTTTGAGGAATTTAGAGATTTTTAGTTAGAGATAAGCCTTTCTAGAGTTAATTAAGTTAATAATAGGATGTAATATCAAACCCCACAATTCCAATTGAAACGTAAACTTGAAGGAATTTGAGATTTTTAGAGGAGCTAAGATTTTATTTAGAGATAAGCCTTCCTAGAGTTAATTAAAATAATAATAATAAATGAGTAGGCCTTGATGAAGTTAGGAGTTAGTAGTTAACTAATTATTAATTCCTTGTCAGCACAATGTTTGGTTATCTGTGTTTATAATGAAGAATATATAAACTGATAAATAGCTTTTAGGAACATAAGACAATTGTGGGCCACTTGTCCGTTGTCCAGTTGTCCAAAGACAATTTATTCACAATTGGCTGTGAATAAACACACACTTTCTAACTGTAAACTGTTAGAGAGTTTCTGTCCATCACAGTTGGGTATCGGTACTAGATCAATATCCATATTTTTTTTATAAATCACAATAAAGATTTGTAGGGAATGGGTGTGTTTATTCACAGCGCTCAGGACTCATTGCCCTTTAATGGATGTGCTCTGAGAACTCCCCATCCTTTTATTATATTATTACTAATTTCCATATGCATAGAATTTCACAATAAATTCATACATATTCATTCTGCTGATTTCACATTACACTTACAGCCATCTACACCTGTACTAGGTACAAGTGGGTACTCCTGGGTCACTCTGTTTTAAGGTCCAAGGAGTCTTTCTTATCTCTTATTTTTTAGTGTGGAAATTTGCATTCTTTCTCCTTAGCTGGGGTAGTTTTGCTAGAATAAACAGCATATTTAACACGCTCAAAGTGGCACTTTTTACCTAAATCCAAATGGATTTTTACTCTGTTAAATCTTCACTCTGTCTCAACGCCGCGGCTCTGGGTGTCCCCGCCTCACGCCGCTGTCCCTGTGCCCCAGTTCCAGGACAGGGAGCAGATATTGGAATTCCTCCACAACATCTGCATCCTGTGCCGGTATTCCAAACTCCACAACTTCTCCGAGGAGCTGAGGGATTTCTGCATCAGATCCCAGCTGGCGGAGACGGTGCAGGTGAGGGGGGCACACACGGAAAAGGGGGAAAAGATCCCCAGAATCCTGTGAGGGGTGGAGAAAGTTCTGGGGAGAAAACGGTGAGAAATGTGAGGGGAGAAAAGGGAGGGAAAGGTGAGGAGGGAAAATGGTGAGAAATGCGAGGGGAGAAAACGGTGAGAAATGTGAGGGGAGAAAAGGGAGGGAAAGGTGAGGGGAGAAATGGTCCGAAATGTGAGGGGAGAAAGGGAGGGAAAGGTGAGGAGGGAAAATGGTGAGAAATGTGAGGGGAGAAAATGGTGAGAAATGTGAAGGGAGAAAGGGAGGGGAACATGAAAGGGAAAAATGGACCAAAATGTGAGGGGAGAAAAGGGAAATAAAGGTGAGGGGAAAAATGGCCCATAAAGTGAGGGGAGAAAAGGGAAATTAAGGTGAGGGGAAAAATGGCCCAAAATGTGAGGGGAGAAAAGGGAGGGAAAGGTGAGGGGGAAAATGGTCCAAAAAGTGAGGGGAGAAAAGGGAAATTAAGGTGAGGGGAAAAATGGCCCATAAAGTGAGGGGAGAAAAGGGAAATTAAGGTGAGGGGGAAAATGGCCCAAAAAGTGAGGGGAGAAAAGGTAGGGAAATGTGAGGGGAGAAAAGGGACAGAAATGTGAGGTGAGAAAAGGGAGGGAAAGGTGAGGGGGAAAATGGTCCAAAAAGTGAGGGGAGAAAAGGGAAATAAAGGTGAGGGGAAAAATGGCCCATAAAGTGAGGGGAGAAAAGGGAAATTAAGGTGAGGGGAAAAATGGCCCAAAAGGTGAGGGGGAAAATGGTGAGAAATGTGAGGGGAGAAAAGGGAGGGAAATGTGAGGGGAGAAAAGGGAGGGAAATGTGAGGGGAGAAAAGGGACAGAAATGTGAGGCAAGAAAAGGGAGGGAAAGGTGAGGGGGAAAATGGTCCAAAACGTGAGGGGAGAAAAGGGAGGGAAAGGTGAGGAGGAAAATGGTGAGAAACGTGAGGGGAGAAAAGTGTGAGAAGTGCGAGAGGAGAAAGTTCTGGTGGCAGCGCCAGGTTCCAACCCAGCTGTGATCTCTGCAGCTGCTGCTGGATTTGCAGCCCAAATACGTGATCAAAGACCGGGTGCACCGCTTCGCCATGCTCGCCTTGGCCGAGCTCAGGTATGGACCTGGGTCAGGGGTTCGTGTGGTGGAAAAGTCTCTCCTCCAAGCCGTGCTTCCAAAGAAAAACCCTGCAGCCTCTTGTTGTTCGGTCTCAAGGCAGTTTATTGCGAGTTACCTAAAAGATTTTCTTCTGGGGCTGCTGCGGTTTGCTCAGCAGCTCAGGCAAAGGCACATTTTACCTCACATTTTCTGCCTTTTCCCCCTCGTGTTTCACGCACTTCTCCCATCACACTTCCCACCCTTTTCTCCTCACATTTTTAACTCTTTTCTCACGTTTCCTGCCATTTTTCCCTCTCACTTTTCCCACCATTTTCCCCTAATATCTCTCATTTTTTACCTCACATTTTCCTCCCTTTTCCTCCCAAATTTCCCACCATTTTTCCCTCTCACTTTCCCCACCATTTTCCCCTAATATTTCTCTTTTTTTACCTTGCATTTTCCCCCCTTTTCCTCCCAAATTTCCCACCATTTTTCCCTCTCACTTTCCCCACCATTTTCCCCCTTATATTTCTCATTTTTTACCTCACATTATTTTATATTCTATCCTTATATTACTTAGATATTAATTATTAAACTTATATTGTTCTATTGTAGACATCGACATGAGTTTCTCGTCATCTTTCTTAGCCCCCTGACCACAGTTTCTCATGATTATTCTTATAAGTAATTATATTATGATATTATTCTTATGATTAAACAGCAATTATATTTAATTACTAAACAATCATCACATCTAACAATTATATCATTCATCAAGTACAGCTGCAGTTCTAGCAAGTACAAGTTCTCCATGTTTATTTTTTCCGGGGCCTACTAAGCTTAATTTTTCCTTTTAACCCTTAATCCCCATGATTTTAAAACCCTTTTACCATCAACTGAGCCCCTTTCTCTCTCGGCAGTGCCATCGGGATCGTGCTGGAGACCAAAAAAGTTTTAAGACTTTGCTTCAACAGCGTCTTTTTACTCCGTCCGTTCTACGAAATGTCGCGCCTGGAAGTGACGCTCTGTACTCGGGTAAGTGTGGTTTCGGCTACCCCAAAAATCCAAAGTCCAGGTGGTTTTGCCCTCCCCAAAAATCCAAAGTCCAGGTAGTTTTGCCCTCCCCAAAAATCCAAAGTCCAGGTGGTTTTGGCCTCCCCAAAAATCCAAAGTCCAGGTGGTTTTGCCCTCCCCAAAAATCCAAAATCCAGGTGGTTTTGGCCTCCCCAAAAATCCAAAATCCAGGTGGTTTTGGCCACCCCAAAAATCCAAAATCCAACTGGTTTTGCCCTCCCCAAAAATCCAAAATCCAGGTGGTTTTGGCCACCCCAAAAATCCAAAATCCAGGTGGTTTTGGCCACCCCAAAAATCCAAAATCCAGGTGGTTTTGGCCACCCCAAAAATCCAAAATCCAGGTGGTTTTGGCCACCCCAAAAATCCAAAATCCAGGTGGTTTCGGCTACCCCAAAGAATCCAAAATCCAGGTGGTTTTGGCCACCCCAAAAATACAAAATCCAGGTGGTTTTGCCCTCCCCAAAAATCCAAAATCCAAGTGGTTTTGCCCTTCCCAAAAATCCAAAATCCAGGTGGTTTTGGCCACCCCAAAAATCCAAAATCCAGGTGGTTTTGGCCACCCCAAAAATCCAAAATCCAGGTGGTTTTGGCCACCCCAAAAATCCAAAATCCAGGTGGTTTTGGCCACCCCAAAAATCCAAAATCCAGGTGGTTTTGGCCACCCCAAAAATCCAAAATCCAGGTGGTTTTGGCCACCCCAAAAATCCAAAATCCAGGTGGTTTTGCCCTCCCCAAAAATCCAAAATCCAGGTGGTTTCGGCCACCCCAAAAATCCAAAATCCAGGTGGTTTTGCCCACCCCAAAAATCCAAAATCCAGGTGGTTTTGGCCACCCCAAAGAATCCAAAATCCAGGTGGTTTCGGCCACCCCAAAAATCCAAAATCCAGGTGGTTTTGTCCTCCCCAAAAATCCAAAGTCCAGGTGGTTTCGGCCACCCCAAAAATCCAAAATCCAGGTGGTTTTGGCCACCCCAAAAATCCAAAATCCAGGTGGTTTCGGCCACCCCAAAAATCCAAAATCCAGGTGGTTTTGGCCACCCCAAAAATCCAAAGTCCAGGTGGTTTTGCCCTCCCCAAAAATCCAAAATCCAGGTGGTTTTGCCCTCCCCAAAAATCCAAAATCCAGGTGGTTTTGGCCACCCCAAAAAATCCAAAATCCAGGTGGTTTCGGCCACCCCAAAAATCCAAAATCCAGGTGGTTTTGCCCTCCCCAAAAATCCAAAATCCAGGTGGTTTTGGCCACCCCAAAAATCCAAAATCCAGGTGGTTTTGGCCACCCCAAAGAATCCAAAATCCAGGTGGTTTTGGCCACCCCAAAAATCCAAAATCCAGGTGGTTTTGGCCACCCCAAAAATCCAAAATCCAGGTGGTTTCGGCTACCCCAAAAATCCAAAATCCAGGTGGTTTTGGCCACCCCAAAGAATCCAAAATCCAGGTGGTTTCGGCCACCCCAAGAATCCAAAGTCCAGGTGGTTTTGCCCTCCCCAAAAATCCAAAGTCCAGGTGGTTTTGCCCTCCCCAAAAATCCAAAATCCAGGTGATTTTGCCCACCCCAAAAATCCAAAATCCAGGTGGTTTTGGCCACCCCAAAAATCCAAAATCCAGGTGGTTTTGGCCACTCCAAAGAATCCAAAATCCAGGTTGTTTTGGCCACCCCAAAAAATCCAAAATCCAGGTGGTTTTGGCCACCCCAAAAATCCAAAGTCCAGGTGGTTTTGGCCACCCCAAAAATCCAAAATCCAGGTGGTTTTGGCCACCCCAAAAATCCAAAATCCAGGTGGTTTTGCCCTCCCCAAAAATCCAAAATCCAGGTGGTTTTGCCCTCCCCAAAAATCCAAAATCCAGGTGGTTTTGGCCACCCTGAGGGGTGGGAGGGACAGCAGAACCACGGCCACCGCTCTCTGTCGTCCTTGCAGACCCTGCGCACACTGGACACCATGCTGGAGGTGATGGTGCTCAGCTCTCCTGCCCCCAAAGTCGCCGAGGTGCTGCAGGACATGTTGGAGGTCTGTGCACGAGGTGGAAGGAACAGGTGTTCCTCACACCCTGTGAGCTGAGGAACATCTCCAGGTGTTCCTCACGCCTTACAAGCTAAGGAACATCTCCGGGTGTTCCTCACACCCTGCGAGCTGAGGAACATCTCCAGGTGTTACCTTGCGAGCTGAGGAACATCTCCAGGTGTTCCTCACACCTCACAAGCTGAGGAACATCTCCAGGTGTTCCTCCCACCTCACAAGCTGAGGAACATCTCCGGGTGTTACCTTGCGAGCTGAGGAACATCTCCGGGCGTTCCTCACGCCGAGGGGAAGGAGCCTGGGGTTGTGTCCGTTCTTCTCTTCCCTCCTGCTAAAGGAGGACCCTCCCCGCAGGCTTTGCTTGAGGGCAAAGCCTGGAAGGACCTCAGGAGGAGGATCCACGATGCTGCTGCTGATTTTGGGGCTCACCTGCAGCTTTTCTCTTCCCAGATGCTCGTGCAGTACCTGCTCTCCAACTTTCTGGTAACGCAGGAGAGGGTCGTGGGCAGGATTAAGGCGCTGGGCCATTTGCTGGACAGATTTTTCACCAAGCAGGTAAAGCCACCCTCCCACCAGCCCATCCCCAGCCCCAAAGTGCCTTCAGCCCTCACCTCCGCCTTTCTCCTCTTCCTCCTGCCTCGCCCAGACCGATGAAGATGAGGACAACATCTTTGCCAGGGGACAGATCCATATCCCAGTCCTGGGGAAGCTGCTGGGCCATCTGTTTTTCAGGCTGTACCGGCGAGAAAACAGAATCAATATTGTGGTGAATATTCTCTGCTGCCTGATGACCTTCATCTATGCGCAGAAAGGTAGGAGAAAAACTGTGATGTGCACATAAATCTGATTTTTTTCTGGCCCTCGTGATGGCCCCTTGTTCTTGGTGCGGGTGCCACCACGTCCCCAGCGCTGCTGTCACCTTTTTTTAGGTGACCCAATGCCAGAGGGTGACATCCAGCCCCCGGAACATTGGGAATTTGAGATCGCCTCCTGGGTGAACGCTCCCAATGCCTGGAGAGTTCAGGTACGGAGATTTCCCTGCTGGGGATCTCACCTGCGGCATCAGCGGGGGATTTGTGGGTGCAAAAGGGGCACGGAACAAGGGGGGGAAAGGGTGGGAAATGTGAGGAGAAAAAGGTGGGAAACGCTGGTGAAAATGAGAATTGTGAGAAATTGCAGGCAGGAAATGTGAGGGGAAAAGGATGGGAAATGTGAGGAGAAAAGAATGGGAAGTGCGAGGCTGGGAAAGGATAGGAAATGTGAGGGGAGAAAAGGGTGGGAAATGTGATAGGGAGAAGGATAGGAAATGTGAGGGGAGAAAAGGGTGGGAAATGTGAGGGGGAAAAGTGGGGAAAATGTGAGGGGGGGAAAAGAATGGGAAATGTGAGGGGAGGAAAGGGTGGGAAATGTGACAGGGAGAAGGATAGGAAATATGAGGGGAAATGATGGGGAAAATAAGGGGACAAAAGGGTGGGAAATGTGAGGGGAAAAGGGTGGGAAATGTGAGGGGGGGAAAAGAATGGGAAATGTGAGGGGAGAAAAAGGATGGAAAACGTGAGGGGGAAAGGGAGGGAAACATAAGTGGGGAAAAGGGTGGGAAACATGAGGGGAAAAGGATGGGAAATGTGAGGGGGAAAAGGTGGGAAATGTGAGGGGACAAAAGGATGGGCAATGTGAGGAGAGAAAAGGGTGGGAAATGTGACAGGGAAAAGGGTGGGAAATGTGAGGGGGAAAAGGGTGGTGGCTGGCACTGCCTTTAATCCCTTCCTTCCTGCCACAGGCCTTGGGGCGATACCTCCGGCCTGCGGAGAGGACGGGAGTCGTCCTTGCGGCCATCGAGCTCTTGGGACGCACCGCCGTCCTGGGCGAGAAACCCCCGATGGAGTTCCTGGAGGAGGCCATGAAATACCCTGAGGTGTGGCTGATGGATGTAAGTGGTTCTGGTCCTGCGACCCTGTCAGGTTCCTGCCTCCGTCCACCCCAAATCCAGGCGTGTGAGGCTCCCAAATCACCTTGAGGCAGCAGAGCAGCTCAGCCTGATCTGCCTCACCTGGCTGTTGTTTTGCCTGTGCTTTTCCCACATTTTGTGTTATTTTTTCCAGGGTGCTGATTCCAAACCTTTGTTCAGAATCAAACCCCTTCCTTTTTGCCACATCTGTGCCTGGCGTGGTGGCTTATTTTACATGAATTTCCTTCTTTGGCGGTGCTTTGAGATGGTTTAACCGCGTTCTTTAACTCCTGACCGAGGATTGACGGGCAGGGCAGCCCCAGACGTGGCTGCACCACCCTGACCTGTGTTCTTCCCTGCAGGTACCAAAGATCGTGACGCACATCTTCGCTTCTTATGACGAGAACAACACGACGACCGCCGGCAGCTTTCACTCCCTCCTTCTCCTGATGGTGAATAGGAGCCCTGAGCAAGCCGTCGCTGCAGCTCTGGAGGCCACACCGAATTTTAGGTACTGCCCACCTGGAGATTCCTTGTGGGGAGAGGCACCCCGAGACTCTCTGGCTGCCTAAAAAACCCAAAAATGAGCGTGTTGGAATGTGTGGTATTGATGATTCCGAGATTGTAAAAAGTCCCTGTCAGCCCCATTGCCAAAGAAGTCATAATTCATCTGTGCTGTTTTCAAGGTTGTTTATTTTTGTTTATTTATTACATGTTCTGCTGCCCTGCCGCAGGTCTGTCCTGCAGGGCAGCGTGTGGGGCTCTGCCCTCAGTGGGATGTTACAAACATTATATATTAAAAATTACGTGTGCTATATTTACAATAACGTGCCAATGTAACATCCCTCAGTGGGATGTTAGAAACATTATATATTAAATATTACATGTGCTATATTTACAATAACATGCCAATGTAACATCCCTCAGTGGGGTGTTAGAAACATTATATATTAAATATTACGTGTGCTATATTTAAAATAATGTGTCAATATCTATTATCTACGTTAAACAGTCTGTCCCCAGCCTGAACCAACAGAAAAATGCCAACACCACAGTGAAACATGGAGGGCATGAAGAAGGAGGAAAAGGACAAGGCACACCCAATTTCCTCCATCTTGTCCCCTTTGGACCCCTAATCTAGAATCCTAAAAATTTTACTTTTGCACCCGTGCCACACTTAATTATTACTTATATCAAACACTCAGACCTTGTAATTCATCCTGTAAGATTGAAAACTCTTTTTCATGGACAGAAATTAGAGACAGTGTGTGGGAATCCAGGGCTTCCCTCTGGCTGCCCTGGCAGGTCTGGGACCCTGGCAGGGGTCAGGAACCCCCCTGGACAGAGCCCCCAGAGACACTGTCTGTGATCTCTGTCCATGGAAAAGAGGTTTCAATCTTACAGGATGAATTACAGGCTCTGAGTGTTTGATATGAGTAATAATTAAATGTGGCACGGGTGCAAAAGTAAAATTTTAGGATTCTAGATAAGGGGTCTAAAGGGGACAAGATGGAGGAAATTGGGTGTGTCTTGTCCTTTTTCTCCTTCTTCATGCCCTCCATGTTTCACTGTGGTGTTGGCATTTTTCTGTTGGTTCAGGCTGGGGACACACTGTCCAACGTAGGTGACAGATATTGGCACGTTATTGTAAATCCAGCACAGGTAGTTTGTGGTATTTAATGTTTGTAGCATCCCACTGAGGGATGTTACATTGGCACGTTATTGTAAATATAGCACACATAATTTTTAATATATAATGTTTCTAACATCCCACTGAGGGATGTTACATTGGCACGTTATTGTAAATATAGCACACGCAATTTTTAATATATAATGTTTCTAACACCCCACTGAGGGATGTTACATTGGCACATTATTGTAAATATAGCACATGTAATTTTTAATATATAATAATTGTAACATCCCACTGAGGGATGTTACATTGGCACGTTATTGTAAATATAGCACATGTAATTTTTAATATATAATATTTGTGACATCCCACTGAGGGATGTTACATTGGCACGTTATTGTAAATATAGCACACGTAATTTTTAATATATAATGTTTCTAACATCCCACTGAGGGATGTAACATTGGCACGTTATTGTAAATATAGCACACGTAATTTTTAATATATAATGTTTCTAACACTCCACTGAGGGATGTTACATTGGCACATTATTGTAAATATAGCACATGTAATTTTTAATATATAATGTTTCTAACATCCCACTGAGGGATGTAACATTGGCACGTTATTGTAAATATAGCACACATAATTTTTAATATATAATGTTTCTAACATCCCACTGAGGGATGTTACATTGGCACGTTATTGTAAATATAGCACACGTAATTTTTAATATATAATGTTTGTAACATCCCACTGAGGGATGTTACATTGGCGCATTATTGTAAATATAGCGCATGTAATTTTTAATATATAATGTTTGTAACATCCCACTGAGGGATGTTACATTGGCGCATTATTGTAAATATAGCACACGTAATTTTTAATATATAATGTTTTAACATCCCACTGAGGGCAGAGCCCCACACGCTGCCCTGCAGGACAGACCTGCGGCAGGGCAGCAGAACATGTTATAAATAAGCAAAAATAAACAACCTTGGAAACCATCACAGATGAATTATGACTTCTTTGGCAGCGGGGCAGAAAGACAGAGACTTTCTACAATCTCAGAACCATCAATACCACAAATTCCGACCACAGTGTCTCTGGGGGCTCTGTCCAGGGGGGTTCCTGACCCCTGAGGGGTCCCAGACCTGCCAGGGCAGCCAGAGGGAAGCCCTGCATTCCCACAGGAGCGGGGTCTCCATCCCACCACGTTCCCCACCCCAAACCCTGCTGTGGCCGTGCTGACAGCGCTCTGCCTTGCAGCTACAAAATGCATCTGTGGAAGGCGATGTTCTCCGTGCACCAGACGCTGGAGAAGGTCCTGAAGGAGCTGGAAATCCACATCCGGGAGCGCCGTAACAAAAAATTCACTCAGCAGCAGAAGAATTGCTTCTCTTTCTTATCTGTGAGTCCACAGGGAAAAAAATTCACCTGCTTTTGCTCTCAGCTGTGCCAGGGGAGCCCTGCCAGCTCTCTGCTCTTTTCTCCCAGATGCTGGCCTACGGTGACGTGCAGGAGAGCAAAGTGAGGCCACTCTACGAAAACCTGCACCTTCTCAGTCATCCAAAGATAGGAATGGTCCCTCTGGTGCTCAGGGCTCTGGACACGCTGTCGGAGAGCGCCGAGACGGTGAGCGGGCTGCTGCCGGGGGCAGAATGTGGCACGGGGGTTTTGACGTCTCAGAAGGTGGTGGTTTGGCTTGGGCTGGGGATGAAATGTGGAGAAAAATTAAAATCTTACAATTCTAATAAAGATTTGTAGGGAATATGTTTATTCACAGTGCTGGATGCATGTGGGGACTCATTGCCCTTCAATGGACATGCACACCCTTAAGAACTCCCCATCCTTTTTTTCCTTTTCTATTACCCTTACTAATTTCCATATGCATAGAATTTCATAATAAATTCATGCATATTCGTTCTGCTGATTTCACTTATCGTTAGTTACACTTGTACTCAGTTCAGTTTTTGTCAGAAAGTACAGAAAGAACTCCTGGGTCTCTCTGCCCTGTCTGTTTCAAGGTCCGAGTTGTCTTTCTTATCTTTTTAGTGTGGAAATTTGCATTTTTTCTCCTCAGCTGGGGTAGTTTTGCTCATGCAGCAGTTACCAGACTAAACAGCATGTTTAACATGCTCAAAGTGGCACATTTCACCTAAATCCAAATGGATTTTTACTCTGGTAAATTTTCACTCTGCTCCCAACACCCTGCCTGCCATGATGTGACCTGGCGACTGTTTTGGGAGCTGACCAGGCACAGAAATTCTCACAGAACGGAAACTTTTGTACACAGTGAGACAGAATAAAAATTTAACAGAGTAAAATGTTCCCTTCATCTTCCTTCTTCTTGTCCTCCATGTCTCGGTGTGATGGTGACACTTTTCTATTGGTTTAGGATAGGGACACGTTGTCCAACGTAGATTTTAGGTATTGGTATGGGAATTATAAACATGGTACACTTAATTTTGGGTGTATAATGTGGGGCGGGAAGGAGACTGCCGTGGCTTCTGTGCTAGCTGGACCTCGGCAGGTCAGAAAGAAACTATTATAGATAAGGAAAAATAACTTTAAAAACTCGGCTTCACACATTCCAGACCTCTTCTTCAGCGGCTGGACTAGGGAAAAAGGACTTTCACACAGTTGGGGTCTTGCCAAGTGACCCCAACATGAATATAGAAATTAGGGTAATAAAAAAGGATTGGGAGTTTTCAGGGGTGCGTGTGTCCATTGAAGGGTGATGAGTCCCTACATGCATCCAGCACTGTGAATAAACACACCCATTCCCTACAAATCTTTATTAGAATTGTAGGGTTTGATTTTTTTCATCTTTGCGTTTTCAACAGGCAAAAAAAATGAAGAGCCTCTTGCCCGAGGTGGTGAAATTCCTGGGCCATCGTTCTTGGCACGTTTCCATGATGGCCCTGGACATTTTGGACAATGTGCTGGGGCTGCTGAAGAAGAAGGAGGCCAGCAGCGTGGCGGTGAACGTGGCACAGAGGCTCTGGTGTCTGTTTGATGCGGTAAGGAGACATCAAAATGGCCCAAAATGTGAGGGGAGAAAAGGAGGGAAAGGTGAGGGGGGAAATGGAGGGAAAGGTGAGGGGGAAAATGGCCCAAAATGTGAGGGGAGAAAAGGAGGGAAAGGTGAGGGGAGAAATGGAGGGAAAGGTGAGGGGAGAAAAGGAGGGAAAGGTGAGGGGGAAAATGGTCCAAAATGTGAGGGGAGAAAAGGAGGGAAAGGTGAGGGGGAAAAAGGGAGGGAAAGGTGAGGGGAGAAAATGGTCCAAAATGTGAGGGGAGAAAAGGGCGGGAAACTTGAGGGGAAAAAAGGGCGGGAAACGTGAGGGGGAGAAATGTTCCAAAATGTGAGGGGAGAAAAGGAGGGAAAGGTGAGGGGGGAAATGGAGGGAAAGGTGAGGGGTAAATGGTGGGAAAGGTGAGGGGGGAAATGGTGGGAAAGGTGAGGGGAGAAAAGGAGGGAAAGGTGAGGGGAGAAAAGGAGGGAAAGGTGAGGGGAAAAATGGTCCAAAATGTGAGTGGAGAAAAGGAGGGAAATGTGAGGGGAGAAAAGGGCGGGAAACTTGAGGGGAGAAGAGTGTGGGAAACATGAAGGGGAAAAATGTTCCAAAATGTGAGGGGAGAAAAGGATGGGAAACGTGAAGGGGAGAAATGGTCCAAAATGTGAGGGGAGAAAAGGATGGGAAATGTGAGGGGAGAAAAGGGTGGGAAACGTGAAGGGGAAAAATGGTCCAAAATGTGAGGGGAGAAAAGGGAGAGAAAGGTGAGGGGAGAAAATGGTGAGAAAGGTGAGGGGGGAAAAGGTCCAAAATGTGAGGGGAGAAAAGGGAGAGAAAGGTGAGGGGGGAAAAGGTCCAAAATGTGAGGGGAGAAAAGGTCCAAAATGTGAGGGGAGAAAAGGAGGGAAATGAGAGGGAGAAAAGTGCTGGAAAGGTGAGGGGAGAAAAGGGCTGGAAACATGAGAAGGAAAAGGGTGGGAAATGTGAGAAGGAAAAGGGAAGGAAACATGAGAAGGAAAAGGGAAGGAAACGTGAGGGGACGAAAAGGCTGAGAAACCCCAGCTCAGCCCCTCCTGGCCGCGGGCAGGTCGCTGCCATGTGCGAAACTCCTCTTTCCTCCTCCCCACCAGAAGGAAGCCTGCTTGCGGGAGCGCTCCATCTCCCTCTTCGCAGAGCTCCTGGGCAAAACGGCATGGAGGGACAAGAGAGCCATGAGGAGAAACTCATGGGAGGCCCTGGTCCGGCTTGTTCTTCACATGAGCGACATGGTGCCCAGCGTGGCCAAGGTACCGAGCACTGACCCACAGATCGTGGCTTGGGCTCCTTCCACCACCTTGAGGTCCTGGTGCCACCTCACAGCTTCTGTCCCACAGGCTTCCAAAAATGCCGTCCTGGCCGTGGCGGAGCTCCTCAGCTGGGAGGAGCTGAAGCAGCTGGCGCAGAGGGAGCAGATGTGTATGATGGGCGAGTGCTTGGTGAGGATGGGTTGGGTGACGGTTGTCAGCTCCTCAGGCGGACCTCCCCATGGTCCAAAGCCTGGGGCTGCAGCCTTGGTCGGGTCTCAAGAGCAGGAGGCTCCTCCAAGCTGCGTGAGGGAGGGTTCTGAGCCACCGGGGTGCCGGCAGGGTGGGCTGCTCTGGCCAGCTGGTGGCTTCTGAGAAAGGTTAAAACCTCTGTGGTGTCTCCAGCTGGCCAAGGACCAGCTGGTGTTCTCTGAGAAATGCCCACACTTTTGTCCTCTCCAGCTGGCCAAGGACCAGCTGGTGGCCTCTGAGAAATGCCCACACTTTTGTCCTCTCCAGCTGGCCAAGGACCAGCTGGTGGTCAAGGATCACCTGGTGGCCTCTGAGAAAGGCCTACACCTTTGTGCTCTCTCCAGCTGGTCCTTGGCCAGCTGGTGGCTTCTGAGAAAGGCCCACACTTTTGTCCTCTCCAGCTGGCCAAGGACCAGCTGGTGGCCTCTGAGAAATGCCCACACCTTTGTCCTCTCCAGCTGGCCAAGGACCAGCTGGTGTTCTCTGAGAAATGTCCACACTTTTGTTCTCTCCACCTGGCCAAGGACCAGCTGGTGGCCTCTGAGAAAGGTTCACACTTTTGTCCTCTCCAGCTGGCCAAGGACAGCTGCAGAGTTGAACAATTCGTGCAGGACACCAAACCTTACCTGCTGAACTCTCAGGCCCCCATACGAGAAGCGGCTCTCCGGTTCATCAGTGAGTCCCAATCCCCACGGACCCATCTTGGGGCAACCTGGGGGACACCTCGAGGTGGTTTTGGTGGCCACCTTGCCCAGGGCACCCCTGGGCTGCTGAGGGGCTCGGGCAGGGGGTGATGGAGCTCTGTGCCCAGGGTTGGCCGCGTGGCACCTGACGGAGCAGAACGAGGACGCCCTGACCGCTGTCCTCGAGGGTGAGTGGTGATCTTGGGACATCCGAGGGGTCTCTGCGCACACACGGGGCCTCACACAGATTTTCTTGCTGTTGTAGGACTTAAAACGATGAAAGAAAGAGAGAAGGATCCCTCCATCCGTTCCCTGGCGGATCAGACCGATTTGATCCTGAAATCTCTGCAGGATCGCCAAAAATCGGGATTTTCGCTGCGCTCGCTGTGCTGCTGCGTTGCTGAGCGCCCGGGGACGCAAATTCCCAACATCCAGCAAATCATGAGGTGTGCAAAGGATTTTTAAAGTCAGGAGAGAGGGATCCCTCCATCCGTTCCTTGGCGGATCTGACCGGTTTGAGTCTGAAATCTCTAAAAAATCAGCAAAAATTGGGATTTTTCCTGTGCTCACTGTGCTGCTGAGCGCCCGGGGACGCAAAGTCCCAACATCCAGCGAAGCACGAGGTGTGCAAAGGAGAGAGAAGGGCGGGAAACGTGAGGGGAGAAAATGGTGGGAAACGTGAGGGGAGAAAATGGCGGGAAACGTGAGGGGAGAAAATGGCGGGAAACGTGAGGGGGGGAAAGGGCGGGAAATGTGAGGGGAGAAAATGGCGGGAAACATGAGGGGAGAAAAAGGGCAGGAAATGTGAGGGGAGAAAAAGGCGGGAAACATGAGGGGAGAAAAAGGGCGGGAAACATGAGGGGAGAAAATGGTGGGAAACGTGAGGGGGGAAAAGGGCGGGAAACTTGAGGGGAGAAAATGGCGGGAAACGTGAGGGGAGAAAAAGGCGGGAAACGTGAGGGGAGAAAAGGGCGAGAAACGTGAGGGGAGAAAATGGTGGGAAACGTGAGGGGAGAAAATGGCGGGAAACGTGAGGGGAGAAAATGGCGGGAAACATGAGGCGAGAAAAAGGGTGGGAAACGTGAGGGGAGAAAATGGCGGGAAACATGAGGGGAGAAAAAGGGTGGGAAACGTGAGGGGAGAAAATGGCGGGAAACGTGAGGGGGAAAAAGGGCGGGAAACATGAGGGGAGAAAAAGGGCGGGAAATGTGAGGGGAGAAGAAGGCGGGAAACGTGAGGGGAGAAAAAGGGCGGGAAACGTGAGGGGGGAAAAGTGCGGGAAATGTGAGGGGAGAAAAATGTGGGAAACGTGAGGGGAGAAAAAGGGCGGGAAATGTGAGGGGAGAAAATGGTGGGAAACGTGAAGGGGAGAAAAAGGCGGGAAACGTGAAGGGGGGAAACGGCGGGAAATGTGAGGGGAGAAAAAGGTGGCAAATGGAAGGGAAAAATGAGAATAAACTCGAAAAGGACGGAAAATGAAAGGAAGAAAAGATGGAAAACGTGAGGGGGAAAAAGTGGGAAATGGAAGGCAAAAAGGAGAATAAACTTGAGCAAAATAGACCGGAAATGAGAGAAGGAAAAGGTATGGAAGGGGAGAAAAGTGGGAAATGTGAGGGGGGAAACGGTGGGAAAGGTGAGGGGAAAAAGGAGAATAAATTGGAGTGAAAATGATGGGAAATGAGAGGAAGAAAAGGTGTGAAACAAGGGGAGAAATTGTGGGAAATGTGAGGGGAGAAAAGGGTGAAAAATGTGAGGGGAAAAGTGGGAAAGGCAAAAAGCACAATAAACTTGTGTGAAAAGGATGGGAAATGAGAGGAAGAAAATACATTAAGCAGAAGGAAGAAAAGGGAAATGTGAGGGGGAAAAGGGTGGAAATGGAAGGGAAAAAGGAGAATAAAGTCGACTGTAAAGGACAGGAAATGAAAGAAGAAACGTTATTAAAGGGGAGAAAAGGTGGGAAATGTGAAGAGGAAAAGAGTGGGAAATGTTAAGGGGTAAAGGGCGGGAAATGAGAGGGGAAAAAGTGGGAAATTGAAGGAAAAAAAGGAGAATAAACATGAGTGAAAAGGACAGGAAATGAAAGAAAAAATGTTATTAAAGGGGAGAAAAGGTGGGAAATGTGAAGAGAAAAGGGTGGGAAATGTGAGGGGGAAAATGGTGGGAAATGTGAGGGGGGAAAGTGGGAAATAGAAGGCAAAGAGGAGAATAAATTTGAGTGAAAATGATGGAAAATGAGAGGAAGAAAAGCTATGAAAGGGGAGAAAAGGGAAATGTGAAGGGGAAAAAGGGAAGGAAACATGAGGGAAAAAAAAAAAAAACAGGAAAAAGGAGGAAAAATGAGTGTAAAAGATAAAGAGAAAAAAAAAAAAAAACAACCAGGTAAAATAGGCCAAAAACGATGGGAAATGTGAAATGTCGGAAGGGTGGGAAGCGTGAGGGGAAAAGGGTGGGAAATGTCAGAAAAAAAGGGAAAATAAAGAGAAAAATGTTTATTTTGGGGGTATTTGTGTTTATTTTGGGGGTATTTGTGTTTATTTTGAGGGCATTGGTGTTTATTTGGGGGATATTTGTGTGTATTTTGTGTATTTGTGTGTATTTTTGTGAATTTTGGGTGTATTTGTGTTTATTTTGGGTATTTGTGTTTATTTTGGGGGTATTGGTGTTTATTTTGGGGGTATTTGTGTTTATTTTGGGTATTTGTGTGTATTTTGGGTATTTGTGTGTATTTTGGGTATTTGTGTGCATTTTCTGTGTTTATTTTGGGGGTATTTGTGTTTATTTTGGGTATTTGTGTGTATTTTGTGTGTATATTTTGCGTGTGTATTTTGGGTGTATTTGAGTTTATTTTGGGTGTGTATTTAGGTGTATTTTGGGTGCATTTTTTGTGTGTGTTTGTGTTCCGCCCCCCCCTCCCCAAATTGTGACCCCCCCCACCCCCAAATCTCCACAAATTCACCCCCCAAAATCGTGTGACCCCCCCACCCCAAAATCTCCCCCAAAATGTCCCCAAATCACCCCGAAATATCCCCAAAATCTCCCCTATATCCCCCCAAACCTCCCCAAATTCCACCCCCAAAATCCTGTGAACCCCCACCCCAAATCCCCCCAAATTCCCCAAAATGTCCCCAAATCACTCCAAAATCTCCCCAAAATCTCTCTATCCCCCCAAACCTCCCCAAATTCTGCCCCCCAATATCGTGACACCCCACCCCAAAATCTCCCCAAATTGCCCTAAAATCCCCCAAAATCTCCCCAAAATCTCTCCTATATCCCCCCAAACCTCCCCAAATTCCGCCTCCCCAAAATCCTGTGAACCCCCACCCCAAATCCCCCAAAATTGCCCCAAAACCCCCAAATTCTCCCCAAAATCTCTCCTATATCCCCCCAAATTCCGCCCCCCAAAATCCTGTGAACCTCCACCCCAAATCCCCCAAAATCTCCCCAAATTGCCCCAAAATCCCCCAAAATCTCCCCAAAATCTCTCCTATATCCCCCCCCAAACCTCCCCAAATTCCTCCCCCCAGCCCCAAATTCCCCTTTTCTCCCCCCCAAATTCCTCCCCCCACCCCCAAATTCCCCTTTTTTCCCCCCCAAATCTCGCGCCCCCCCAGCCCCAAATTCCCCTTTTTTCCCCCCCAAATCTCGCGCCCCCCAGCCCCAAATTCCCCTTTTTTCCCCCCAAATCTCGCGCCCCCCCCGCCCCAAATTCCCCTTTTTCCCCCCCCAAATCTCGCACCCCCCCAGCCCCAAATTCCCCTTTTCCCCCCAAATCTCGCGCCCCCCCCAGCCCCAAATTCCCCCTTTTTCCCCCCCAAATTCCTCCCCCCACCCTCAAATTCCCGTTTTTTCCCCCCCAAATTCTGCCCCCCCAGCCCCAAATTCCCCTTTTTTCCCCCCCAAATCACGCACCCCCCCAGCCCCAAATTCCCCTTTTTTCCCCCCCAAATTCCGCCCCCCCACTCCCAAATTCCCCCTTTTCCCCCCCAAATCTCGCGCCCCCCACCCCCAAATTCCCCTTTTTTCCCCCCAAATCTCGTGCCCCCCCAGCCCCAAATTTCCCTTTTTCCCCCCAAATTCCTCCCCCCACCCCCAAATTTCTCCTTTTCCCCCCCCAAATTCCGCTCCCCCCACCCCCAAATTCCCCTTTTTTGCCCCCCAAATTCCGCCCCCCCAGCCCCAAATTCCCTTTTTTCCCCCCCAAATCTCGCGCCCTCCCAGCCCCAAATTCCCCCTTTTTCCCCCCAAATTCCGCCCCCCACCCCCAAATTCCCTTTTCCCCCCCAAATTCCGCTCCCCCCACCCCCAAATTCCCCTTTTTTCCCCCCAAATCTCGGCCACCCCAGCCCCAAATTCCCCTTTTTCCCCCCCAAATTCCTCCCCCCACCCCCAAATTTCCCTTTTTCCCCCCCAAATTCCGCCCCCCCCCCAGCCCCAAATTCCCCTTTTCCCCCCCAAATTCCGCCCCCCCCAGCCCCAAATTCCCCATTTTTCCCCCCCAAATTCCGCCCCCCCACCCCCAAATTCCCCTTTTTTCACCCCAAAAACACTCGCGGAGCCGGGGAACGATAAAAAGGTCTCGGCAACACCCACGACACGCCCGTCACGATACACCGTAGAAAATTGGGGGGGGGGTCCCCCCATTACCCCCTCCCCACCCCCCAAAAACCCCTCGGGGGGGGAGGGGAGGGGCAGGGGGGGAAGGGCTGGGGTGGGGGAGGGGCCCCAATATATATAATAATAATAATAATAATTATAATAATAATAATAATTAAAAAAAAAAACCCGAAATGAACAAAAAAAATGGGGAGGGGGCGTGGGAAAGGAGAGAAGCCCCCCCCCAAAATTGGGGGGGGAGGGGCAATTATCCCCCCCCCCCAGAGGTGGGGGAGGGGTTTGTGTTGGATAATTGGGGTGGGGGGAGGGGAAATTCGACCCCACCCAGGAGGGGCAAATTTTTTTTGGGGGGGTGGGGGGGGTAAATGGAGCCCTGGGGGGGTTAATTTGGGGGGGGGGGGGGGGGAATTGCCCCGGGGGGGGCAAATGCGACCCCCGGGGGGGGAGGGGCAAATACAATATGATACATAGACTTTGACATGTACATTATTTACAGCCCCCCCCCCCAAATCCCCAAAATTTTGGGGTGGGGGAGGGGGGCAAGGGGGGTCCGCGCACCCCCAAAATTCATCCGAGGTGGGGGAGGGGTGGGGGGTCTCCCCTCCCTTTGAACCCCCCCCCAAAATTTCATCCGGGGGGGGCAACTTGGCAATAAATAGATCGGCGGGGGGGGGGTTGGGGGGGATTTTTGGGGGGGTTTGATGGAGATTTTGGGGACCCCCCCCCCCCCCAATTTTGACACCCCCCCCTCCCCAGCCCCCCCAAAATTTATGTACAGGTTCCCCCCGAGGGGGGTGAGGGGTGGTCCCGGCTGGAGGGGGGGGAAATTTTGGGGGACCCCCCCCCAAAAAGAAACCCTGTTGCTGCCTGGGATTGAGGGGGACCCCCCCCAAAATTAGGGACCCCCCCAAAATTCGGGGACCCCCCCAGGCGGAGAAAGGGGGGGCTGCGAATAGACTTTTATACATATATATAAATAGGGGGGGGGTCTCCGCCGGGGGGGGGCGTTTTTGGGGGGCTGGGGGGGGGTCCCCCCTTTTTGGGTCGGGGTTGGGACACCCCTTTTGTTTTTGGGCACCCAAAAATTAGGGGTGCCCCCAGTTCTGGGGTGGGGGGATCCCCAAATGTGGGTGGGTCATTTTTGGGGTGCAGTTTTAGGGGGAGGCGTCCCCCAATTTTGAGGGGGGGTCCCCCAGAACTGTCCCCATTTTTGGGGGTGTCCCCATTTTTGGGGTGTCCCCATTTTTGGGGTGCCCTCCCACCCCTGTTCCTGGGGGGGAGGAGAGGGGGTCTGTCCCCCTCATTTGGGCGTTCCCCTCCCCCCAAATTTTTGGGGACCCCCCCATTTTTGGGTGACCCCCCCCCATATTTTGGGGTGCCCCAATTCCATCCCCACTGCAGGAACTTCAATCCTCACCCCAAAAATGCCCCCCCCCCCATTATGAGGAGCTTTCGGGATGGCCCCAAATTATTTTGGGGGGTTCCCCCCATATTTTGGGGTGCCCCCCCCCCCACATTGGCATCCCCATCTCCATCTCACGTCCTTGTCCCCCCCCCGCCATTCTGGGGGTGTCACCCCGTTTTTTGGGGGGGATATTCCCATTTTTTGGGGGATTTCCCGTTTTTTGGGAGCGCCACCCCGTTTTTTGGGGTGTCCCCATTTTTGGGGTGCCCCATTGGGGGGGGGTCCGGGTGTCCCCATCCCGGCAGCTCCGTCCCCGTCCTTGTCCCCCCCCGCCATTCCGGGGGTGTCACCCCATTTTTTGGGGTGTCACCCCATTTTTTGGGGGGGGGTTTCCCCGTTTTTGGGGTGTCTCCGTTTTTTGGGGGTGTCCCCATTTTGGGGGTGCCCCATTGGGGGGGGGTTCCAGGGGTCCCCATCCCGGTCCTCGTCCCGGGGGTGTCACCCCGATTTTGGGGTCCCGGTTTGGGGGTGTCACCCCGATTTTGGGGTCCCATTTTTGGGGGTGTCACCCCGATTTTGGGGTCCCGTTTTTGGGGGTGTCACCCCATTTTTAAAGTCCGGTTTGGGGGTGTCATGCCTTTTTGGGGTCCCGTTTTTGGGGGTGTCACCCCGTTTCCGAGGTCCCGGTTTTGGGGGTGTCACGCCGTATTTGGGGTCCCGTTTTTGGGGTCCTGTTCTGGGGGCGTCACCCCATTTTTTGGAGTCCTGTTGCCAGCAGTGTCACCCCGTTTTGGGGGTCCCATTTCCAGAGGTGTCACCCCCCGTTTTGGGTGTGTCACCCCATTTTTTGGAGTCCTGTGGCCAGGGGTGTCACCCCATTTCAGGGGTCCCATTTCCCGGGGGTGTCACCCCTTTTTTAGGGTCCTGTTTTTGGGGGTGTCACGCTGTTTTTGGGGGAGTCCCGTTTTTGGGGGGGGTCCCGTATTTGGGGTCCCATTTCCCGGGGGTGTCACCCCATTTTTGGGTCCCGGTTTGGGGTGTCACTCCGTTTTACGGGGGGGGGGCCTTTTTGGGGTCCGGTTTCCGGGGGTGTCACCCCTTTTTTACAGTCCTGGTTTGGGGTGTTATGCCATTTTTGGGGTCCCGTTTTCGGGGGTGTCACCCCTTTTTTACGGTCCCGGTTTGGGGTGTCATGCTGTTTTTGGGGTCCCGTTTTTGGGAGCGTCACCCCTTTTTTAGGGTCCCGTTTTTGGGGGTGTCCCCCCTTTTTTACGGTCCCGTTTTTGGGCGTGCCAGGCGGTATTTGGGGTCCCGTTTTTGGGGTGTCACCCCGTTTCCGAGGTCCCATTTTTGGGGGCGTCACCCCTTTTTTACAGTCCCGTTTTCGGGGGTGCCAGGCCATATTTGGGGTCCCATTTTTGGGGTGTCACCCCGTTTCCAAGGTCCCGTTTTCGGGGGTGTCACCCCTTTTTAAGGGTCCTGTTTTTGGGGGCGCCAGGCCGTATTTGGGGTCCCGTTTCCGGGGGTGCCAGGCCGTATTTTGGGTCCCGTTATCAAGGGTGTCACCCCGTTTCCGAGGTCCCATTTTCGGGGTCATCATGCCGTATTTGGGGTCCCGTTTTTGGGGGCGGCAGGTCGTATTTGGGGTCCCGTTTTCGGGGGTGTCACCCCGTTTCCGAGGTCCCATTTTTGAAGGTGTCCCCCGTTCCCAGGTCCCGTTTTCGGGGCCTCACCCCATTTCCGAGGTCCCGTTTGGGGGTGTCCCCGTCCCAGTCCCGTTTTTGGGGGTGCCAGGCCGGTTTTGGGGTCCTGTTCTCGGGGGTGTCACCCTGTTTCCAGGTCCCATTTTTGGGGGTGCCAGGCAGTATTTGGGGTCCCGTTTTTGGGGGTGTCACCCCATTCCCAGGTCCTGTTTCCAGGGGTGCCAGGCCGTATTTGGGGTCCCATTTTCGGGGGTGTCACCCCGTTTCCGAGGTCCCGTTTTCGGGGGTGTCACCCCCTTTTTAGGGTCCCATTCTCGGGGGTGCCAGGCCATATTTGGGGTCCCGTTTTCGGGGGTGCCAGGCCGTATTTGGGGTCCCGTTTTTGGGGGTGCCAGGCCGTATTTGGGGTCCCGTTTTTGGGGGCGTCACCCTTTTTTACAGTCCCGTTTTCGGGGATGTCCCCCGTTCCCGAGGTCCCATTTTTGAAGGTGTCCCCCGTTCCCAGGTCCCGTTTTAGGGGGTGTCACCCCATTTCCGAGGTCCCGTTTGGGGTGTCCCTGTCCCAGTCCTGTTTTCGGGGGTACCAGGCCGTTTTTGGGGTCCCGTTTGGGGGTGTCACCCCGTTTCCAGGTCCCATTTGGGGGTGTCCCCGTCGCGGTGCGGGGGCTCAGGCGCACTTGGCGCGCGCCTGCGCCAGCAGGTCGCTGAAGGAGTCGAAGAGGCGCTCGAGCCAGGGCTGGTTGCGCATGCAGCGCTGCACCACCTCCTCCTGCCCCAGGTCCTCCGCGCGGCCCTCGATGGCCGTGGTCTGGGGGGCAGGAGAGGTCAGTGGGGTCAGGAATGGGGTCAGGAATGGGCAGTGGGGTCAGGAACGGTCAGTGGGGTCAGGAACAGTCAGTGGGGTCAGGAATGGGCAGTGGGGTCAGGAAGGGTCAGTGGGAATGGTCAGTGGGGTCAGGAGTGGGCAGTGGGATGGGAATGGTCAGTGGGGTCAGGAGTGGGCAGTGGGATGGGAATGGTCAGTGGGGTCAGGAGTGGGGTCAGGAACGGTCAGTGGGGTCAGGAATGGGCAGTGGGGTCAGGAATGGTCAGTGGGGTCAGGAATGGGCAGTGGGGTCAGGAATGGGCAGTGGGGTCAGGGATGGGCAGTGGGGTCAGGGATGGTCAGTGGGAATGGTCAGTGGGGTCAGGAATGGGCAGTGGGGTCAGGAATGGTCAGTGGGAACGGTCAGTGGGGTCAGGAATGGTCAGTGGGGTCAGGAACAGTCAGTGGGAATGGTCAGTGGGGTCAGGGATGGGCAGCGGGGTCAGGGATGGGCAGTGGGGTCAGGGATGGGCAGTGGGGTCAGGAATGGTCAGTGGGAATGGTCAGTGGGGATGGGCAATGGGAATGGTCAGTGGGGTCAGGAATGGTCAGTGGGGTCAGGAATGGTCAGTGGGGTGGGAATGGGCAGTGGGGTCAGGAATGGTCAGTGGGGTCAGGAATGGTCAGTGGGGTCAGGAATGGTCAGTGCGGATGGTCAGTGGGGAATGGTCAGTGGGGTCAGGAATGGTCAGCGGGGAACGGTCAGTGAGAATGGTCAGTGGGGTCAGGAATGGTCAGTGGGAATGGTCAGCGGGGTCAGGAACGGTCAGTGGGGTCAGGAATGGTCAGTGGGGTCAGGAATGGGCAGTGGGAATGGGCAGTGGGGTCAGGAATGGTCAGTGGGGTCAGGAACGGTCAGTGGGGTCAGGAGTGGTCAGTGGGGTCAGGAATGGTCAGTGGGGAATGGTCAGTGGGGTCAGGAGTGGTCAGTGGGGTCAGGAATGGTCAGTGGGGTCAGCAATGGTCAGTGGGGTCAGGAGTGGGCAGTGGGGTCAGGAACGGTCAGTGGGGTCAGGAACGGTCAGTGGGGTCAGGAACGGTCAGTGGGGTCAGGAATGGGCAGCGGGGTGGGAATGGTCAGCAGGGAATGGCCCAGGTGTCCCCATATGTCCCCAGGTACCCCCAGGTGTGTCCCCAGGTGTATCCCCAGGTGTCCCCAGGTGTCCCAGGTGTGTCCCCAGGTGTGTGCCCAGGTGTCCCCAGGTGTGCCCAGGTGTGCCCAGGTGCCCCAGGTGTGCCCAGGTGTGTCCCCATGTGTCCCCAGGTGCCCCAGCTGTCCCCAGGTGCCCCAGGTGTGTCCCCAGGTGCCCCAGCTGTGCCCACCTCGTCCTTGCAGCGCAGGAAGGTGCAGGGGACATGGGGGGACACAGGGGGGACAGGGGGTGATATGGGGGGGACAGGTGTGCCCAGGTGTCCCCCAGATGTCCCCAGGTGCCCCCCAGGTGTGCCCAGGTGTGTGCCCAGGTGTCCCCAGGTGTCCCCAGGTGTGTCCCCAGGTGTGTCCCCAGGTGTGCCCACCTCGTCCTTGCAGCGCAGGAAGGTGCAGGGGACATGGGGGGACACAGGGGGGACAGGGGGTGATATGGGGGGGACAGGTGTGCCCAGGTGTATCCCCAGGTGCCCCAGGTGTGTCCCCAGGTGTGCCCAGGTGTCCCCAGGTGTGTCCCCAGGTGTGCCCAGGTGCCCCCAGGTGTCCCCAGATGTCCCCAGGTGCCCCAGGTGTCCCCAGGTGCCCCCAGGTGTGTCCCCATGTGTCCCCAGGTGCCCCCAGGTGTGTGCCCAGGTGTGTGCCCAGGTGTGTGCCCAGATGTCCCCAGGTGTGCCCAGGTGCCCCCAGATGTCCCCAGCTGTCCCCCGGTGTGTCCCCAGATGTCCCACAGGTGTCCCCAGATGTCCCCAGGTGTGTCCCCAGCTGCCCCCAGGTGTGTCCCCAGGTGCCCCCAGGTGTATCCTCACGTGCCCCCAGGTGTATCCCCAGGTGTCCCCAGGTGTCCCCAGGTGTCCCCAGGTGCCCCCAGGTGTGCCCAGGTGTGCCCAGGTGCCCCCAGGTGTCCCCAGGTGCCCCCAGGTGTGCCCAGGTGTGCCCCCAGGTGTGCCCAGGTGTCCCCAGGTGCCCACCTCGTCCTTGCAGCGCAGGAAGGTGTGGTACTTGTAGTGGTGCAGGGAGTGGTACAGCGTGTACAGCAGCGACTTCTCCACCTCCACCTTGAACTCCTGCGGGCACACCTGGCTCAGGGACCCCAAACCTCACCTGGGACCCCCAAATCCCACCTGGGACCCCAAATCCCACTGGGACCCCAAAATCCACCTGGGACCCCCAATCCCACCTGGGACCCCCCAAACCTCACCTGTGACCCCCAAACCCCACCTGGGACCCCCCAAACCTCACCTGGGAACCCCCAAACCTCACCTGGGACCCCCAAAATCTCCCCTGGGACCCCTCAAACCTCACCTGGGACCCCCAAAACTCCACCTTTGACCCCCCAAACCTCACCTGGGACCCCCCAGACCCCACCTGGGACCCCCCAAACCCCACCTGGGACCCCCCAAACCTCACCTGTGACCCCCCAGACCCCACCTGGAACACCCCAAACCCCACCTGGGACCCCCCAGCCCCCACCTGGAACACCCCAAACCCCACCTGTGACCCCCAAACCTCCCCTGGGACCCCCCAGACCTCACCTGTGACCCCCCAAACCTCACCTGGGACCCCCCAAACCCCACCTGGGACCCCCCAAACCCCACCTGGGACCTCACCTGGAACCCCCCAAAATACACCTGTGACCCCCCAGACCCCACCTGGGACCCCCCAAACCCCACCTGTGACCCCTCAAACCCCTCCTGGGACCCCTCAAACCTCACCTGTGACCCCCCAAACCCCACCTGTGACCCCCCAAACCCCACGTGGGACCCCCCAGACTCCACCTGGCACCCCCAAACCCGACCTGTGACCCCCCAAACCCCACCTGGGACCCCCCAAACCCCACCTGGGACCCCCCAAACCTCACCTGGGACCCCCCAAACCCCACCTGTGACCCCCAAACCCCACCTGGGACCCCCCAAACCTCACCTGGGACCCCCCAAACCCCACCTGGGACCCCCCAAACCTCACCTGGGACCCCCCAAACCTCACCTGTGACCCCCCAGACCCCACCTGTGACCCCCCAAACCCCACCTGGGACACGCAGACCCCCCCTGGGACACCCCAAACCCCCACTGGGACCCCCCAAACCCCACCTGTGACCCCCCAAACCCCACCTGGGACACCCCAAACCCCGCCTTGGACCCCCCAAACCGCACCTGGGACCCCCCAAACCCCACCTGTGACCCCCCAAACCCCACCTGGGACCCCCCAAACCCCACCTGGGACCCCCCAAACTCCACCTGGGACACCCCAAACCCCACCTGGGACCCCCCAAACCTCACCTGGGACACCCCAAACCCCACCTGGGACCCCTAAATCCCACCTGGGACCCACCAAACCCCACCTGGGACCCCCCAAACCTCCCCTGTGACCCCCCAAACCCCCGTGGGACCCCCCAGACCCCACCTGTGATCCCCCAAACCGCACTTGTGACCCCCCAAACCTCACCTGGGACACCCCAAACCTCACCTGGGACCCCCAAACCCAACCTGGGGCACCCCAAACCCCACCTGGGACACCCCAAACCTCACCTGTGACCCCCAAACCCCACCTGGGACCCCCAAACCTCACCTGGGACACCCCAAACCTCACCTGGGATCCCTCAAACCTCACCTGAGACCCCTCAGACCCCACCTGGGACACCCCAAACCCCACCTGGGACACCCCAAACCCCACCTGTGACCCCCAAACTCCACCTGGGACCCCACCTGGGACCCCTCAAACCCCACCTGGGACCCCCCAAACCCCACCTGTGACCCCTCAAACCTCACCTGGGACCCCCCAAACCCCACCTGGGACCCCCCAAATCCCACCTGTGACCCCCCAAACCTCACCTGGGACCCCCAGCCCCACCTGGGACCCCCCAAACCCCACCTGGGACCCCCCAAACCCCACCTGGGACCCCCCAAACCTCACCTGGGACTCCCCAAACCCCACCTGGAACCCCCCAAACCTCAACTGTGACCCTCCAAACCCCACCTGGGACCCCTCAAACCCCCCCTGTGACCCCCAAACCCCACCTGGGACCCCCCAAATCTCACCTGGGACCCCCCAAACCCCACCTGGGACCTCACCTGGGACCCCCAAACCCCACCTGTGACCCCCCAAACCCCACCTGGGACCCCCAAACCCCACCTGTGACCCCCCAAACCCCACCTGGGACCCCTCAAACCCCACCTGGGACCCCCCAAATGTCACCTGGGACCCCCCAAACCCCACCTGTGACCCCCCAAACCCCACCTGGGACCCCACCTGGGACCCCCAGCCCCCACCTGGGCCGTACCTGGGGCTTGCCCACGCTGCGTTTCACCTTGCTGAGCGTTTTGCGGTTGTACGGGTCCCCCCCCGGGCGCAGCCGCACCAGAGACTCGCCCGGCTCGGCGTGGAGCTGCGGGAAGGTGTGCAGCGCCTCCTGCGGACAGGTGAGGGACAGGTGAGGGACAGGTGAGGGACAGGTGAGACACAGGTGAGACACAGGTGGGACAGGTGAGGGACAGCTGAGTGCCACAGGGGCACTGCAGCGCCTCCTGCGGACAGGTGAGATACAGGTGGGACAGGTGAGGGACAGGTGAGGGACAGGTGAGGGACAGGTGAGTGCTACAGGGTCACTGCAGCGCCTCCTGCGGACAGGTGAGATACAGGTGAGACAGGTGAGGGACAGGTGAGGGACAGGTGAGATACAGGTGAGGTACAGGTGAGACAGGTGAGTGCTACAGGGTCACTGCAGCGCCTCCTGTGGACAGGTGAGACAGGTGAGGGACAGGTGGGACAGGTGAGGGACAGGTGAGGGACAGGTGGGACAGGTGAGTGCCACAGGGTCACTGCAGCGCCTCCTGCGGACAGGTGAGATACAGGTGAGACACAGGTGAGACAGGTGAGACACAGGTGAGTGCCACAGGGTCATTGCAGCACCTCCTGCGGACAGGTGGGACAGGTGAGACAGGTGGGACAGGTGAGCACCATGGGGTCACCATGGGGTCACTGCAGTGCCTCCTGCGGACAGGTGAGACACAGGTGGGACAGGTGAGACAGGGGGACAGGTGGGACAGGTGAGACAGATGGGACAGGTGAGTGCAGGTGAGACAGGGGGGACAGGTGAGCAGCATGGGGTCACCATGGGGTCACCACAGGGTCACCACGGGGTCATCGGGACCCCTCTAAACACCCCAAATCCCCCCCAAACCCCCCAAATCCCCTCCCAGGACCCCCCAAACGTCACAAATCTCCTCCCAAACCCCACAAACCTCCTCCCAAACCCCACAGATCCCCTCCCAGAACCCCCCAAATCTCCCCCCCAAACCCCCCAATCTCCCCCCAAACCCCACAGATCCCCCCCAAACCCCCCAAATCTCCCCCTAAACCCCCCCAATCTCCTCCCAAACCCCACAGATCCCCCCCAAACCCCACAGATCCCCTCCCAGGATCCCCCAAACCCCACAGATCCCCTCCCAGGACCCCCCAAATCCCCCCCAACCTCACAGAACTCCTTCCAGGAGACCCCCAACCCCCCCCAGTCTCCCCCCAAACCCCCCAAATCTCCCCCCAAACCCCACAGATCCCCCCCAAACCCCCCAAATCTCCCCCCAAACCCCACAGATCCCCCCCAAACCCCACAAATCTCCCCCCAAACCCTACAGATTCCCCCCAAACCCCACAGATCCCCCCCAAAAACCCCACAAATCTCCTCCCAAACCCCCCCAATCTCCTCCCAAACCCCACAGATCCCCCCCAAACCCCACAAATCTCCCCCCAAACCCCATATATCCCTCCCAAACCCCACAGATCCCCCCCAAACCCCACAGATCCCCTCCCAGGACCCCCTAACCCCCTCAAATCCCCCCAAATCCCCTCCCAGGACCCCTCAAATCCCCCCCAACCCCACAGAACTCCTCCGAGGACACCCCCAAACCCCACAAATCTCCCCCCAAACCCCACAGATCCCCCCCAAACCCAAACAGATCCCCCCAAAACCCCACAGATCCCCCCAAAAACCCCACAGATCTCCTCCCAAACCCCCCCAATCTCCTCCCAAACCCCACAGATCCCCCCCAAACCCCCCCAGTCTCCCCTCAAACCCCAAAGATCCTCCCCAAACCCCACAGATCCCACCAAACCCCCCCAAATCTCCCCCCAAACCCCCCAATCTCCCCCAAACCCCCCCAATCTCCTCCCAAACCCCACAAATCTCCTCCCAAACCCCACAGATCCCCCCCAAACCCCACAGATCCCCCCAAAACCCCACAGATCCCCCCCCAAAACCCCACAATCTCCTCCCAAACCCCCCGGATCCCCCCCAAATCCCCCCCCAATCCCCCCAGGCCCCCCCTGACCTGCAGGCTGGGGTTCAGGGTCACCCTCTTCAGCACCTTCTTCTTGTGGTCGTTGAGGATCCCGTCGATCTTGCGCATGGGGGGCAGGTACAGCTCATCTGGGGGGGCACGGGGGGGTCAGGGCGGGTTCGGGGGGGGGGGTCCCCGGGGTGGGGGAGGGGCGGGGCTCACCGTTGGTGTCCTCCAGGGCCTGGATCATGTCGGGGTCCAGGGCGGTGCTGACCAACATCTCCACGTAGCTGCGGTACATCTCCTTCATGGCCCGCGTGTTCAGCACCCGCCCCGGCGGGGCCCGCTCTGCGGACACGGCCCCTTTAAGGGCGGGGGCGGGGCCGAGGGACACGCCCACCTCCCAAAATTGGGAAAAACCCCGCCCAAAATTTGCAAACATGCCCCTGTTCTAAAGGAGCGCTGGCCCTTTAAGAGGAGAAATGGAAGGACACGCCCACCTCCCAAAATTGGGCAAAACCCCGCCCACAAGTCCCAGACACGCCCATGTTATAAAGAAACGCGGTCCCTTTAAGGGGTGGGGCTAAAGGACACGCCCACATCCCAAAAAACCGGAAAAAACCCGCCCACAACTCACAGACACGCCCCCGTTCTAAAGGAGCGCTGGCCCTTTAAAGGGAGGGGCAAAAGGACACGCCCACCTCCCAAAATTGGGCAAAACCCCGCCCACAATTCACAAACATGTCCTCGTTCTAAAGGAGCGCTGGCTCTTTAAGAAAGGAGAAAACCCCGCCCACAATTCACAGACACGCCCACATTTTAAAGGAGCGCGGCCCCTTTAAGGGCGGGGGCGGGGCAAAGGGCCACGCCCACCTCCCAAAATTGGGGAAAACCCCGCCCACAAGTCCCAGACACGCCCCCGTTCTAAAGGAGCGCTGGCCCTTTAAGGGGAGGGGCAAAAGGACACGCCCACCTCCCAAAATTGGGCAAAACCCCGCCCACAATTCGCAAACATGCTCCTGTTATAAATGAGCACTGGCCCTTTAAGAAAAGAAAAAGCCACGCCCACAAGTCCCAGACACACCCACGTTATAAATGAGTGCTGGCCCTTTAAGGGGCAGGGCAAAAAGACACGCCCACCTCCCAAAATTGGGCAAAACCCCGCCCAAAATTTGCAAACACGCCCCTGTTCTAAAGGAGCGCTGGCCCTTTAAGAAACGAAAAAGCCCCGCCCACAAGACCCAGACACGCCCCCGTTCTAAATGAGCGCTGGCCCTTTAAGGGGTGGGGCAAAGGGACACGCCCACCTCCCAAAATTGGGCAAAACCCCACCCACAAGTCACAGACATGCCCCTGTTCTAAATGAGCGCTGGCCCTTTAAGGGGAGGGGCCAAAGGACACGCCCACCTCCCAAAAAACCGGGAAACCCCCGCCCACGATTTGCAAACATGCCCCTGTTCTAAAGGAGCGCGTCCCCTTTAAGAGGAGAAATGGAGGGACACGCCCACCTCCCAAAATTGGGCAAAACCCCGCCCACAACTCACAGACACGCCCCCATTTTAAATGAGTGCTGGCCCTTTAAGGGGAGGAGCAAAAGGACACGCCCACCTCTCAAAATTGGGGAAAACCCCGCCCACAATTCACAGACACACCCCCGTTATAAAGGAGCGCTGGCCCTTTAAGGGGAGGGGCAAAAGGACACGCCCACCTCCCAAAATTGGGCAAAACCCCGCCCACAAGTCCCAGACACGCCCACGTTTTAAAGGAGCGCGGCCCCTTTAAGGGGCAGGGCAAAAGGACACGCCCACCTCCCAAAATTGGGCAAAGCCCCGCCCACAAGTCACGGACACACCCACGTTTTAAAGGAGACCTCCCCCAAATTTTGGGGTTCCCTCTCCCAAAATTTTGGGCTCCCCCCCCCTCCCCACCAAATCCCGGGTTCCCCCTTAAATTTTGGGGTTCCTTCCCCAAATTTCGAGTTTCCCCCCCCCAAATTTTGGGTTCCCCCCCCCCAATTTTGGGTCCCCCCTCTCAATTTCGGGGTCCCCCCCCCCAAATTTCGGGGTGCCCCCCGCTCACCCTCCATCCCAATTGACCCCACAAACCCCTGGATTTCCCCCCTAAATCCCATTTTTCCCCTCCAAATTTTGCTTCCCCCCCCCCAATTTCGGGTTCCCCCCCCCAAATTTCGGGGTCCCCCCCAAATTTCGGGGTGCCCCCGCTCACCCTCCTCGCTCAGGGGGTCGGGGCTGGACTCGGACTCGGAGCTCGTGGCCGCCTCCTTGAGCCATTTTTTCCGTTTTTTGGGGGGCGGCTCCGCCTTCACTTTGGGGGGTTTGGGTTTGGATTTGGGGGGCGCGGGGGGGGGGCGGGGGCGCGGGGGGGGGGGGGCGGGGGGGTCGCTCCGGGGGGGCCGCTCGGCTTTTTGGGCTCTGTCGGATTTGGGGGTTTTTTCGGCTTTTTGGGGTTTGTCGGGGGGCTCGGGGCGGGGCGGGGGAGGGGCTTTGGGGGCGCTGGGCTTGGGGTGGGGCTGTCTCCTGGGGGGAGGGGCGAGAGAGAGAAAGGGGCGGGGTTAGAGGGGGTGTGGCCAGGTGTGCCCAGGTGTGTCCACAGGTGTGCCCAGGTGTGCCCAGGTGTGTCCCAGGTGTGTCCCAGGGGTGTCCCAGGTGTGTCCCAGGTGTGTCCCAGGTGTGCCCAGGTGTGTCCCAGGTGTCCCAGGTGTGTCCCAGGTGTGCCCAGGTGTGCCCAGGTGTGTCCCAGGTGTGTCCCAGGTGTGCCCAGGTGTCCCCATGTGCCCCCAAGTGTGCCCAGGTGTGTCTCCATGTGTCCCCAGATGCCCCAAGGTGTGCCCAGGTGTGTCCCGGGTGCCCCCAGGTGCGCCCAAATGTGTCCCCAGGTGTATCCCCATGTGCCCCCAGGTACCCCCAGGTGTGCCCAGGTGTGCATCTATGTGCCCTCAGATGCCACCTGGTGTGCCCAGGTGTGCCCAGGTGTGGCTCCATGTGTCCCCATGTGTGCCCAGATGTGTCCCAGATGACCCCAGGTGCTCCCAGGTGTGCCCAGGTGTACCCAGGTGTGCCCAAAACTGTGCCCAGGTGTGTCTCTGTGTGCCCCCAGGTGTGCCCAGCTGTGCCCAGGTGCCCCCAGGTGTGCCCAGGTGTGTCCCAGGTGCCCCAGGTGTGCCCAGATATCCCCAGGTGCCCCCAAATGTGTCCCCAGGTGTGCCCCCATGTGCCCAGGTGAGCCCAGGTGTATCTCCATGTATCCCCAGGTGTGCCCAGGTGCTCCAGGTGTGCCCAGGTGCCCCCCAGGTGCCCCCAGGTACCCCCAGGTGTGTCTCCATGTGCCCCCAGGTGTGCTCAAGTGTATCCCAGGTGTGCCCAAAAGTGTGTCCCAGGTGTCCCATGTGTGCCCAGGTGCTCCCAGGTGTGTCCCATGTGCCCCCAGGTACCCCCAGGTGTGCTCAGGTGTATCCCAGGTGTGTCCCAGGTGCCCCCATGTGCCCCCAGGTGTGCCGAGGTGCCCCCAGCTGTGCCCAGGTGTGTCCCCATTGTGCCCAGGTGCCCCCAGCTGTGCCCAGGTGCCCCCATGTGCCCCCAGGTGTGTCTCCAGGTGCCCCCATGTGCCCCATGTGCCCCCAGGTGCCCCAGGTGTGTCTCCATGTGCCCCCAGCTCTGCCCAGGTGTGTCTCCATGTGCCCCCAGGTACCCCCAGCTGTGCCCAGCTGTGCCCAGGTGCCCCCAGGTGCCCCAGTTGCCCCCAGGTGCCCAGGTGTGCCCAGGTACCCCCAGGTGCCCCAGGTGTGCCCAGGTGCCCCCAGCTGTGCCCAGGTACCCCCATGTGCCCCCAGGTGCCCAGGTGTGCCCACCTGAGCGCCAGCGGGCGGTGCCAGGGTTTCCGGGAGCAGACCCTCACGTAATCCTTCTTGTTGACGTTCTCCAGGAACTTGACGTAGAGCCGCTGGTACCTGTGCTTGGCGTCCCCGAAATAGCCCAGGTACTGCCAGGGGGCACAAAGGGGGTCAGGGCACCCCGAAATCCTCAGCACCCCGAAATCCAACAGTTCACCCCAAAATCCACCCAAAATACCCAAAAATCCACCCCCAAAATCCACCCCGAAATCCAACAGTTCACCCCAAAATCCACCCAAAATACCCAAAGATTCCCCTGAAAATCCAAAAAAATCCACCCCAAAATCCACCCAAAATCCAACCCAGAATACACAAAATTCCCCAAAAACCTGAAAAATCCACCCCAAAATCCCAAAAAATCCACCCCCAAAATCCACCCCGAAATCAAACAGTTCACCCCAAAATCCACCCAAAAATACCCCAAAATACCCAAAAATCCACCCAAAATTACCTCAAAATCCCCAAAAATTTACCCCAAAACCACCCCAAAATACCCAAAAAAAACTGAAAAATCCACCCCAAAATCCCCAAAAACCCACCCCCAAATCTACCCCCAAATACCCCAGATCCACCCCAAAATCCCCAAAATCCACTCCAAAATCCACCCAAAATCCAACTCAAAATACACAAAATCCACCCCAAAATACCCAAAAAAACCTGAAAAGTCCACCCCAAAATCCCCAAAAATCCACCCAAAAATACCTCAAAATCCCCCAAAATTCACCCCAAAATCCGCAAAAATCCACCCCCAAAATCCCCAAATTCCACCCCAAAATCCACCCAAAATCCCAACAATTCACCCCAAAATCCACCCAAAATCCAACCCAGAATACACAAAATCCCAAAAAAACCTGAAAAATCCACCCCAAAATCCACCCAAAATTCCACCCAAAAATACTTCAACATCCCCAAAAATCCACCCCAAAATCCACCCCAAAATACACAAAATCCCCCCAAAAACCTGAAAAATCCACCCCAAAATCGACCCTGAAATCCCAACAATTCACCCCAAAATCCAACCAAAATACCCAAAAATCCACCCCCAAAATCCACCCCAAAATCCCAACAATTCACCCCAAAATTCACCCAAAGTCCAACCCCAAATACACAAAATCCCCCCAAAAACCTGAAAAATCCACCCCAAAATCCCCAAAAATCCACCCCCAAAATCCACCCCGAAATCCAACAGTTCACCCCAAAATCCACCCAAAATCCAGCCCAGAATACACAAAATCCCCAAAAAAACCTGAAAAATCCACCCCAAAATCCCCAAAAATCCACCCCCAAAATCGCCAACAATTCATCCCAAAATCCACCCAAAATACACAAAATGCAAAAAAACCCTGAAAAATCCACCCCAAAACCCCCCAAAACCCACCCCAAAACCACCCCAAAATACCCCAAAAAAACCTGAAAAATCCACCCCAAAATCCCCAAAAAACCTGAAAAATCCACCCCAAAATCCACCCAAAATTCCACCCAAAAATACTTCAAAATCCCCAAAAATCCACCCCAAAATCCACCCCAAAATACACAAAATCCCCCCAAAAACCTGAAAAATCCACCCCAAAATCGACCCTGAAATCCCAACAGTTCACCCCAAAATCCACTCAAAATCCACCCCAGAATACCCAAAATCCCCCAAAAAACCTGAAAAATCCACCCCAAAATCCCCAAAAATCCACCCCCAAAATCCACCCCGAAATCCAACAGTTCACCCCAAAATCCACCCAAAATACCCAAAGATTCCCCTGAAAATCCCAACAATTCACCCCAAAATCCAACCAAAATCCCCAAAAATCCACCCCCAAAATCCACCCCGAAATCCAACAGTTCACCCCAAAATCCACCCAAAATCCAACCCAAAATACACAAAATACCCAAAAATCCCTGAAAAATCCACCCCAAATCCCCAAAAACCCACCCCAAATATACCTCAAAATGCCCAAAAATCCACCCCAATATCCCCAAAAATCCACACCAAAATCCACCCAAAAATACCCCAAAATCCCCAAAAATCCACCCCAAAACACACAAAATCCACCCCAAGATACCCAAAATCCACCCCAAAATCCCCAAAAATCCACCCAAAAATCCACCCCAAAATCCCAAAAATTCACCCCAAAATTCACCCAAAGTCCAACCCAGAATACACAAAATCCCCAAAAAAACCTGAAAATTCCACCCCAAAATCCCCAAAAATCCACCCCCAAAGTCCACCCCGAAACCCAACAGTTCACCCCAAAATCCAACCAAAATCCAACCCAGAATACACAAAATCCCCAAAAAACCTGAAAAATCCACCCCAAAATCCCCAAAAATCCACCCCAAAATCGCCAACAATTCATCCCAAAATCCACCCAAAATCCAACCCAGAATACACAAAATGCAAAAAAAACCTGAAAAATCCACCCAAAATCCCCAAAAATCCACCCCAAAATCCCCAAAAATCCACTCCAAAATCCACCCAAAATCCAACTCAAAATACACAAAATCCACCCCAAAATACCCAAAAAACCTGAAAAATCCACCCCAAATCCCCAAAAATCCACCCAAAAATACCCCCAAATCCCAAAAAATCCACACCAAAATCCCCAAAAATCCACACCAAAATCCACCCAAAAATACCCCAAAATCCCCAAAAATCCACCCCCAAATCCCCAAAAATCCAACCCAAAATACACAAAATCCCCCCAGAAACCTGAAAAATCCACCCATAAAATCCCCCAAAATCCACCCCAAAATCCCCCCAAACCACCCCGGGGACCCCAAAATTCCCATTTCTGGGGCAGGATTCAAATTTTGGGATCTCAGTTTTTGGGGTTTTGGGGAGGGGTCTCCCAGCTCCCGCAACTTCAGGGGGTCCCCAAAGTTTTTGGGGTCTTTTTTTGGGGCTCCCCCCCAGTTTTTGGGGTGCCTAAAATTCGGGGAAAGACCCCAAATCCCCCATTTTTAGGGACCAGGGTTTGGGTTTTTTTTGGGGTGACCCCGGTATTTTTTGGGGTGCCCTGGCTGTTTTTTGGGGTCCCTCCATTTTTTGGGGTGCCCTAAAATTCGGGGAAAGACCCCAAATCCCCCATTTTTAGGGACCAGGGTTATCCCCACGGGTTTGGGGATTTTTTTTTGGGTGTCCCCGGTATTTTTTGGGTTCCCCAGGCTGTTTTGGGGGTGCCCCATGGGTTTTTGGGTTCCCCCAGTATTTTTTGGGGTGCCCCAGGTGTTTTTGGGGTTCCCCCGGTATTTTTTGGGTTCCCCCGGGTGTTTTTGGGGTTCCCCGGTGTTTTGGGGTCCCCCGGTATTTTTGGTGTTCCCCCAGTATTTTTGTGTTCCCCCGGTATTTTTTGGGGTGCCCCGGGTGTTTTTGGGGTGTCCCGGTGTTTTTGGGTTCTCCCGGCTGTTTTTTGGGTTCCCTGATATTTTGGGGTTCCCCTGGTATTTTTGGGGTGCCCCAGGCTGTTTTTGGGGTTCCCCTGCTATTTTTGGGTTCCCCTGGTATTTTTTGGGGTGTCCCGGGTGTTTTTGGGGTGTCCCCGGTATTTTTTGGGTTCCCCAGGCTGTTTTTTGGGTGCCCCATGGGTTTTTGGGTTTCCCCAGGGTGTTTTTGGGGTGACCCCGGTATTTTTGGGGTTCCCCAGGCTGTTTTTGGGTTGCCCTGGTATTTTTTGGGGTGTCCCGGGTGCTTTTTGGGGTTCCCCCGGCTGTTTTTTGGGTTCTTCTGGTATTTTTTGGGGTTCCCCCGGTATTTTTGTGCTCCCTGGTATTTTTGTGTTCCCCCGGTATTTTTTGGGGTTCCCCTGGTATTTTTTGGGTTCTCCTGGCTGTTTTTTGGGTTTCCCAGGCTGTTTTTGGGGGTGCCCCATGGGTTTTTGGGTCTCCCCAGGGTGTTTTTTGGGGTGCCCCAGTACTTTTTGGGTTCCCCCGGTTGCTTTTAGGGTGCCCTGGATTTTTTTGGGGGTGCCCTGGGTGTTTTTGGGCTCTCCTGGCTGTTTTTTGGGTTCCCCAGGCTGTTTTTGGGGGTGCCCCATGGGTTTTTGGGTTCCCCCGGTATTTTTTGGGGTCCCCCGATATTTTGGGGTTCCCCCAGTATTTTGGGTTTCCCTGGTATTTTTTGGGGTTCCCCAGGCTGTTTTTGGGTTCCCCCGGTATTTTTTGGGGTGCCCCGGGTATTTTTAAGTTCCCCTGGTATTTTTTGGGGTTCCCCGGTATTTTTGGGTTCCCCGGTGTTTTTGTGTTCCCCCGGTATTTTTTGGGGTTCCCCCGGTATTTTTTGGGGTTCCCCCGGTATTTTTTGGGGTTCCCCCTGTATTTTTTGGGTTCCCCCGTGTTTTTGGGGTTCCCCCAATATTTTTGGGTTCCCCGGTATTTTTTGGGTTCCCCCGGTATTTTTTGGGGTGCCCCAGGTGTTTTTGGGTTCTCCTGGCTGTTTTTTGGGTTCTCCTGGCTGGTTTTTGGGGTGCCCCAGGTGTTTTTGGGTTCTCCTGGCTGTTTTTGGGGTTCCCCGGTGTTTTTGGGGTGTCCCGGGTGCTTTTTGGGTTCCTCCGGGTGTTTTTGGGTTCCCCAGGCTGTTTTTGGGGGTGCCCCATGGGTTTTTGGGTCCCCCGGGTATTTTTAGATTCCCCTGGTATTTTTGGGGTTCCCCAGAGTTTTTGGGGTTCCCCTGCTATTTTTGGGTTCCCCCGGTGTTTTTTGGGTTCTCCCGGCTGTTTTTTGGGTTTCCCAGGCTGTTTTTGGGGGTGCCCCATGGGTTTTTGGGTTCCCCCGGTATTTTTGTGTTCCCCAGGCTGTTTTTTGGGTTCCCCAGGCTGTTTTTTGGGGTTCCCCGGTATTTTTGGGTTCCCCCGGTGTTTTTGAGGTTCCCCCGGTATTTTTTAGGGTTCCCCTGGTATTTTTTGGGGTGCCCAGGCTGTTTTTGGGCTCTCCTGGCTGTTTTTTGGGTTTCCCAGGCTGTTTTTGGGGGTGCCCCATGGGTTTTTGGGTCTCCCCAGGGTGTTTTTGGGGTGTCCCCGGTATTTTTTGGGTTCCCCAGGCTGTTTTTGGGGTGCCCTGGATTTTTTTGGGGGTGCCCTGGGCGTTTTTGGGGTGTCCCTGGTATTTTTTAGGTTCCCCGGTATTTTTTGGGTTCCCATGGTGTTTTTGTGTTCCCCCGGCTGTTTTTTGGGTTCCCCCGGTATTTTTGGGGTTCCCCCAGTATTTTTGGGTTCCCCCGGAGTTTTTTGGGTTCCCCCGGTATTTTTTGGGGTCCCCCAGGTGTTTTTGGGTTCTCCTGGCTGTTTTTTGGGTTTCCCAGGCTGGTTTTGGGGGTGCCCCGTGGGTTTTTGGGTTCCCCCGGTATTTTTTGGGTTCCCCTGGTATTTTTTGGTGTTCCCCCGGAGTTTTTGGGGTCCCCCAGGTATTTTTTGGGGTGCCGCTCACGTTGCTGGTGGCGCAGAACTGCCGCTGCCCGTCTTTGATCTCGGGGGTGAATTTCTGCAGCAGCGCCTTCTGCACCCGCCAGATGGGCGGCGGCTCCCGGCCCGTCTGCAGCGCCAGCTGGGGAGATTCGGGGGGTCAGCACCCCAAAATCCGCCCAAATCCGACCCAAAATCCACCCCAAATTCAGCCCAAAATCAACCCCAAAATCCGCCCCAAATTCAGCCCTAAATACACAAAATCCACCCCAAAAAACCCCAAAATCTGCCCCAAATTCAGCCCTAAATACACCCCAAATTCAGCCCTAAATCAACCCCAAAATCCGCTTCAAATTCAGCCCTTAATCAACCCCAAAATCCGCCCCAAAATCCGCCCCAAATTCAGCCCTAAATCAACCCCAAAATCCTCAAAAGTCCATCCCAAAATCTGCCCATATCCACCCAAAATCCGCCCCAAAATACCCAAAATCCGACCCAAAATCCGCCCCGAATTCAGCCCTAAATCAACCCCAAAATCCATCCCAAATCTGCCCCAAAATACACAAAATCCACCCCAAAATACCAAAAAATTCACCCCAAAATCCTCAAAAGTCCATCCCAAAATCTGCCCAAATCCGCCCAAAATCCGCCCCAAATTCAGCCCAAAGTCAACCCCAAAATCCGCCCCAAAATCCCCCAAATCCACCCCAAATTCAGCCCTAAATCAACCCCAAAATCCGCCCCAAAATGCCCCAAATCCACCCCAAAATACAAAAAAATCCACCCCAAAATCCTCAAAAGTCCAACCCAAAATCTGCCCAAATCCGCCCAAAATCCGCCCCAAATTCAGCCCAAAGTCAACCCCAAAATCCGCCCCAAAATACCCCAAATCCACCCCAAATTCAGCCCTTAATCAACCCCAAAATCCATCCCAAATCTGCCCCAAATCCACTCCAAAATACCCCAAATCCACCCCAAATCCACCCCAAATTCAGCCCTTAATCAACCCCAAAATCCATCCAAAATCTGCCCCAAATCCACCCCAAATCCGCCCCAAAATACACAAAATCCACCCCAAAATACCAAAAAATCCACCCCAAAATCCCCAATAATCCGCCCCAAATCCACCCAAAATCCGCCCCAAATTCAGCCCAAATCCATCCCAAATTCAGCCCTAAATCAACCCCAAAATCCGCCCCAAAATACCCCAAATCCACTCCAAAATACCCCAAATCCACCCCAAATCCATCCCAAATTCAGCCCTAAATCAACCCCAAAATCCATCCCAAATTCAGCCCTAAATCAACCCCAAAATCCGCCCCAAATTCAGCCCCAAATCCGCCCCAAAATACACAAAATCCACCCCAAAATACCAAAAAATCATCCCCAAAATCCTCAAAAGTCCACCCCAAAATCCACCCCAAAATCCACCCCAAAATCCCCAATAATCCACCCAAAATTCCCAAAAGCAACCCCAAAATCCATCCCAAATCCGCCCCAAATCCATCCCAAAATCAACCCCAATATCCGCCCCAAATCCACCCCAAAGTAATTCCCAAATCAACCCCAAAATCTGCCCCAAATTCATCCCGAAATCAACCCCAAAATCCGCCCCAAAATACCCCAAATCCACTCCAAAATACCCCAAATCCACCCCAAATCCATCCCAAATTCAGCCCTAAATCAACCCCAAAATCCATCCCAAATCTGCCCCAAATCCACCCCAAGATACTCCAAATCCACCCCAAAATACCAAAAAATCCACCCCAAAATCCTCAAAAGTCCATCCCAAAATCCATCTCAAAATCCACCCCAAGATCCCCAATAGTCCACCCCTAAATCCACCCAAAATCCCCAAAATCAACCCCAAGATCAACCCCAAAATCCGCACCAAATCCACCCCAAATTCAATCCCTAAATCAACCCCAAATACACCCCAAATTCAGCTCAAAATCAACCCCAAAATCCATCCCAAATTTAGCCCAAAATCAACCCCAAAATCCATCCCAAATCCATCCCTATGTCAACCCCAAAATTCACCACAAATTCAGCCCAAAATGAACCCCAAAATCCATCCCAAATCTGCCCCAAATCTACCCCAAATTCAGCCCAAAATCAACCCCAAAATCCGCCCCAAATCCACCCCAAAATCAACCCCAAAATCCGCCCCAAAATCCCCAATAATCCACCCCTAAATCAACCCAAAATCCCCAAAATCAACCCCAAAATCATCCCCAAAATCCATCCCAAATTTAGACCAAATCCATCACAGATTCAACCCCAAAATCCGCCCCAAATCATCCCAAAATCCATCCAGTTCAATCCCAGTTAAACACCAGTTCAATCCCAGTTCAATCCCAGTTAAACACCAGTTCAACCCTAATTCCTCATGCAGAGTCCCTCCCAGTGCTCCCAGTTCCTTTCCCAGTGTCATGTCCTGACTCCCAGTCCCTCCCAGTTCAATCCCAGTCCATCCCAGTGACTCCCAGTCCCTCCCAGTTTGTCCCAGTCCCTCCCAGTCCATCCCAGTCCGTCCCAGTCTCACCTTGAGTGCGGGGATATCCTCCACCCTCACCACGAACTCGTCCCTCTCTCGGAATATCCCCTCTCCCCAGTGACTCCCAGTGCCATGTCCTCACTCCCAGTTTGTCCCAGTCCCATCCCAGTCCCTCCCAGTCCCATCCCAGTGACTCCCAGTCCATCCCAGTTTATCCCAGTCCCTCCCAGTTTATCCCAGTCTCACCTTGAGTGCGGGGATATCCTCCACCCTGACCACGAACTCGTCCCTCTCCCTGAATATCCCCTCTCCCCAGTGCTCCCAGTCCCTCCCAGTGCCATCCCAGTGACTCCCAGTCCATCCCAGTCCCTCCCAGTGACTCCCAGTCCCATCCCAGTCCATCCCAGTCCATCCCAGTCTCACCTTGAGTGCGGGGATATCCTCCACCCTCACCACGAACTCGTCCCTCTCCCTGAAGATTCCCTCTCCCCAGTGCTCCCAGTGCCATGTCCTCACTCCCAGTGACTCCCAGCGACTCCCAGTCCATCCCAGTCCCATCCCAGTGACTCCCAGTCCGTCCCAGTCCCTCCCAGTTTGTCCCAGTCCCTCCCAGTCCCTCCCAGTCCATCCCAGTCTCACCTTGAGTGCGGGGATATCCTCCACTCTCAACACGAACTCGTCCCTCTCACGGAAGATTCCCTCTCCCCAGTGACTCCCAGTGCCATGTCCTCACTCCCAGTGACTCCCAGTGACTCCCAGTGACTCCCAGTCCCTCCCAGTCCATCCCAGTGACTTCCAGTCCATCCCAGTCCGTCCCAGTCCCTCCCAGTCCATCCCAGTCTCACCTTGAGTGCGGGGATATCTTCCACCCTCACCACGAACTCGTCCCTCTCCCTGAAGATTCCCTCTCCCCAGTGACTCCCAGTCCCTCCCAGTCCATCCCAGTCCCTCCCAGTTGGTCCCAGTCCCTCCCAGTGACTCCCAGTCCCTCCCAGTCCATCCCAGTTTATCCCAGTCCATCCCAGTCCCTCCCAGTCCATCCCAGTCTCACCTTGAGTGCGGGGATATCCTCCACCCTGACCACGAACTCGTCCCTCTCTCGGAATATCCACTCTCCCCATTGACTCCCAGTGACTCCCAGTTTGTCCCAGTCCCTCCCAGTCCATCCCAGTCTCACCTTGAGTGCGGGGATATCCTCCACTCTCACCACAAACTCGTCCCTCTCCCGGAATATCCCCTCTCCCCAGTGACTCCCAGTGACTCCCAGTGACTCCCAGTGCCATGTCCTCACTCCCAGTCCCTCCCAGTCCCTCCCAGTGCCATCCCAGTGACTCCCAGTCCATCCCAGTCCCTCCCAGTCCATCCCAGTCCGTCACAGTCTCACCTTGAGTGCGGGGATATCCTCCACCCTGACCACGAACTCGTCCCTCTCCCTGAAGATGCCCTGTCCCCAGTGCTCCCAGTGACTCCCAGTTTGTCCCAGTGACTCCCAGTGCCATGTCCTCACTCCCAGTCCATCCCAGTCCCTCCCAGTCCCTCCCAGTGACTCCCAGTTTATCCCAGTCTCACCTTGAGTGCGGGGATATCCTCCACCCTCACCACGAACTCGTCCCTCTCCCTGAAGATGCCCTCTCCCCAGTGCTCCCAATGACTCCTAGTCCCATCCCAGTGACTCCCAGTGATTCCCAGTGACTCCCAGTCCATCCCAGTCCGTCCCAGTCCCTCCCAGTCCATCCCAGTCTGTCCCAGTTTGTCCCAGTTTATCCCAGTCTCACCTTGAGTGCGGGGATGTCCTCCACTCTCACCACGAACTCGTCCCTCTCCCGGAATATTCCCTCTCCCCAGTGACTCCCAGTGCCATGTCCTCACTCCCAGTTTATCCCAGTGACTCCCAGTCCCTCCCAGTGATTCCCAGTCCGTCCCAGTCCATCCCAGTCTCACCTTGAGTGCGGGAATATCCTCCACTCTCACCACGAACTCGTCCCTCTCCCGGAATATCCCCTCTCCCCAGTGCTCCCAGTCCCTCCCAGTGACTCCCAGTGCCATGTCCTCACTCCCAGTGACTCCCAGTCCCTCCCAGTCCCTCCCAGTTTGTCCCAGTCCCTCCCAGTTTATCCCAGTCTCACCTTGAGTGCGGGGATATCCTCCACTCTCACCACGAACTCGTCCCTCTCGCGGAATATCCCCTCTCCCCAGTGCTCCCAGTGCCATGTCCTCACTCCCAGTGACTCCCAGTTTGTCCCAGTGCCATCCCAGTGACTCCCAGTCCCTCCCAGTGACTCCCAGTCCCTCCCAGTCCATCCCAGTTTATCCCAGTCTCACCTTGAGTGCGGGGATATCCTCCACCCTCACCACGAACTCGTCCCTCTCTCTGAAGATCCCCTCTCCCCAGTGACTCCCAGTGACTCCCAGTCCCTCCCAGTGACTCCCAGTGACTCCCAGTCCCTCCCAGTCCCTCCCAGTCCAACCCAGTCCATCCCAGTCCCTCCCAGTGACTCCCAGTCCATCCCAGTCCCTCCCAGTCCATCCCAGTCTCACCTTGAGTGCGGGGATATCCTCCACCCTCACCACGAACTCGTCCCTCTCTCTGAAGATCCCCTCTCCCCAGTGACTCCCAGTGACTCCCAGTCCCTCCCAGTGACTCCCAGTGACTCCCAGTCCCTCCCAGTCCCTCCCAGTCCAACCCAGTCCATCCCAGTCCCTCCCAGTGACTCCCAGTCCATCCCAGTCCATCCCAGTCCGTCCCAGTCTCACCTTGAGTGTGGGGATATCCTCCACCCTCACCACGAACTCGTCCCTCTCCCGGAATATCCCCTCTCCCCAGTGACTCCCAGTTTGTCCCAGTCCCTCCCAGTCTGTCCCAGTCCATCCCAGTCTCACCTTGAGTGCCGGGATGTCCTCCACCCTGACCACGAACTCGTCCCTCTCCCGGAATATCCCCTCTCCCCAGTGCTCCCAGTGCCATATCCTCACTCCCAGTCCCTCCCAGTCCCATCCCAGTGACTCCCAGTCCATCCCAGTTTATCCCAGTCTCACCTTGAGTGCAGGGATATCCTCCACCCTGACCACAAACTCGTCCCTCTCCCTGAAGATTCCCTCTCCCCAGTGCTCCCAGTGACTCCCAGTCCCTCCCAGTGACTCCCAGTCCCTCCCAGTCCATCCCAGTCTCACCTTGAGTGCGGGGATATCCTCCACCCTCACCACGAACTCGTCCCTCTCCCTGACGATGCCCTCTCCCCAGTGACTCCCAGTGCCATGTCCTCACTCCCAGTCCCTCCCAGTTTGTCCCAGTTTGTCCCAGTCCATCCCAGTTTGTCCCAGTCCATCCCAGTCCATCCCAGTCCATCCCAGTTTATCCCAGTCTCACCTTGAGTGCGGGGATATCCTCCACTCTCACCACGAACTCGTCCCTCTCCCGGAATATTCCCTCTCCCCAGTGACTCCCAGTCCCTCCCAGTGCCATGTCCTCACTCCCAGTCCCTCCCAGTTTATCCCAGTGACTCCCAGTTTGTCCCAGTTTATCCCAGTCCGTCCCAGTCTCACCTTGAGTGTGGGGATATCCTCCACCCTGACCACGAACTCGTCCCTCTCGCGGAATATCCCCTCTCCCCAGTGACTCCCAGTTCCTCCCAGTGCCATGTCCTCACTCTCAGTGACTCCCAGTCCCTCCCAGTTTGTCCCAGTCCATCCCAGTCCATCCCAGTCCATCCCAGTCTCACCTTGAGTGCGGGGATATCCTCCACCCTCACCACGAACTCGTCCCTCTCCCGGAATATCCCCTCTCCCCCGCTCTCCTCCTCGTCGCTGGTGTCCCCGCACACGGCGGCCGTTCCCTGTTTCTGCGCCAGGTGCAGCGGCCGCTCCGGCGGCTCCGGCGGCTCCGGCGGCTCCGGCGGCTCCGGGGACCCCCGGGGGGGGCTCGGGGACCCCCCGGTCCCGGCCCCGGTCCCGGTACCGGGAGGGGACCCCGGCGGGGCTGCGGGGGGAGGGGGCGGCTCCGGCTGGGGGGGCTCCGGGGGCGCGGGGGGAGGGGGCGGGGGGGGATCCTCCGGCGGGGGGGCGGCTGTGGGGGGGGGAGAGAGTTAGACAGGTCCTGGAAGGGTCATGGGAAACAATGGCGGGTCATGGGAAACAATGGCAGGTCCTGGAAGGGTCATGGATAACAATGGCAGGTCCTGGAAGGGTCATGGATAACAATGGCAGGTCCTGGAAGGGTCATGGGAAACAATGGCAGGTCCCTATGTATCAATGGAAGGTCCTGGAAGGGGTATGGAAAGGCCACGGCTACCCCAGCTGGTCCTGGAAGGTCACCATGAACCCCTTGAAGGTCCCTATGAATCAATGGCAGGTCCTGGAAGGTCACCATGAACCCCTGGAAGGGCCTTATGAATCAATGGCAGGTCCTGGAAGGTCACCATGAGCCCCTGGAAGGTCCCTATGAACCCCTGGATGGCCTCTATGAACCCTTGGCAGGTCCTGGAAGGTCACCATGAACCCCTGGAAGGACCTTATGAATCAATGGCAGGTCCTGGAAGGTCACCATGAACCCCTGGCAGGTCCTATGAACTCTGGCAGGTCCTGGCAGGTCCCTACGTAGGTTCTGGGGGGGCTCCGGGGGCGCAGGGGGAGGGGGCGGGGGGGATCCTCCGGCGGGGGGGCGGCTGTGGGGGGGGGGAAAGAGTTAGACAGGTCCTGGAAGGGTCATGAGAAACAATGGCAGGTCCTGGAAGGGTCATGGGAAACAACGGCAGGTCCTGGAAGGGTCATGGGAAACAATGGCAGGTCCTGGAAGGGGTATGGAAAGGTCCTGGGGACCCCAGCAGGTCCTGGAAGATCGCCATGAACCCCTGGAAGGACCTTATGAATCAATGGCAGGTCCTGGAAGGGTCATGGGAAACAATGGTAGGTCCCTATGTATCAGTGGAAGGTCCTGGAAGGTCACCATGAACCCCTGGAAGGTCCCTATGAACACCTGAAATGTCTCTATGAACCCCTGTCAGGTCCTGGAAGGTCACCATGAACCCCTGGAAAGACCCTATGAACCGCTGGCAGGTCCTGGAAGGTCACCATGAAACCCTGGAAGGTCACCATGAACCCCTGGCAGGTCTCTATGAACACCTGGAAGGTCCCTATGAACCCCTGGATGGCCTCTATGAACCCTTGGCAGATCCTGGAAGGTCACCATGAACCCCTGGAAGGACCTTATGAATCAATGGCAGGTCCTGGAAGGTCACCATGAACCCCTGGAAGGTCCCTATGAACACCTGGCAGGTCCCTATGAATCAATGGAAGGTCCTGGAAGGGTCATGGGAAACAATTGCAGGTCCTGGAAGGGTCATGGGTAACAATGGCAGGTCCTGGAAGGGTCATGGGACACAATGGCAGGTCCCCATGTATCAATGGAAGGTCCTGGAAGGTCACCATGAACCCCTCGAAGGTCACAATGAACCCCTGGCAGGTCCTGGAAGGTCACCATGAACCCCTTGAAGGTCCCTATGAACCCCTGGAAGGTCCCTATGAACCCCTGGAAGGTCCCTATGAAGTCCTGGCAGGTCTCTACAAGCTCATGGATGGTCCTGGAAGATCCCTATGAGCCCTGGCAGGTCTCTATAAACCCCTGGTAGGTCCTGGCAGGTCCCTACGACCCCCTGTCAGGTCCTGTCAGCTCTCACCGTGCGCCTCGGGGGGCTCCCTGCGCTCGGGGGGCTCGTCCAGCGCCGAGATGGCGGAGCTGATGCTCTTCTGCAGGTCCTGGAAGGTCCCTATGAACCTCTGCAAGGTCCTGGAAGGTCCCTATGAAGCCCTGGCAGGTCTCTACAAGCCCCTGGAAGGTCTCTGTGAACTCCTGGCAGGTCCTGGAAGTTCCTATGAACCCCTGGAGGCTGTTTATGGGTCCTGGCAGGTCACCATGAACCCCTGGCAGCTCCTGGAAGGTCCCTATGAACTCCTGGCAGGTCCTGGAAGGTCCCTATGAACCCCTGGAGGCTGTTTATGGGTCCTGTCAGGTCTCTACAAGCCCATGGAAGGTCCTGGAAGGTCCCTATGAATGCCTGTAAGGTCCTGGAAGGTCTCTATGAACCCCTGGCAGATCTCTAGAAGTCTCTGGCAGGTCTCTGCAAGCCCATGGAAGGTCCTGGAAGGTCCCTATGAACCCCTGGAGCCTCTTTATGGGTCCTGGCAGGTCCCTATGAAGCCCTGGAAGGTCCCTATGAAGCCCTGGCAGGTCTCTACTAGCCCATGGAAGGTCCTGGAAGATCCCTATGAGCCCTGGCAGGTCTCTATGAACCCCTGGAAGGTGCCTACTAGCCCATGGAAGGTCCTGGAAGGTCTCTATGAAGCCCTGGCAGGTCTCTACAAGCCCCTGGAAGGTCTCTGTGAACTCCTGGCAGGTCCTGGCAGGTCCCTATGAACACCTGGAGGCTCTCTATGAATCCTGGCAGATCGCCATGAAGCCATGGCAGGTCCTGGAAGGTCCCTATGAACCCCTGGAGGCGGTTTATGCATCCTGGCAGGTCTCTACAAGCCCATGGATGGTCCTGGAAGATCCCTATGAGCCCTGGCAGGTCCCTAGGTACCCCTGGCAGATCCTGGAAGGTCCCCATGAACCCCTGGAAGGTGTCTACTAGCCCATGGAAGGTCCTGGAAGGTCTCTATGAAGCCCTGGCAGGTCTCTAGAAGTCTCTGGCAGGTCTCTACAAGCCCATGGATGGTCCTGGAAGGTCCCTATGAACCCCTGGAGGCTGTTTATGGGTCCTGGCAGGTCCCTATGAACCCCTGGAGGCTGTTCATGGGTCCTGGCAGGTCCATATGAACCCCTGGCAGGTCCTGGCAGGTCTGTATGAACCCCTGGAGGCTGTTTATGGGTCCTGGTAGGTCTCTATGAACCCCTGGCAGATCCTGGAAGGTCTGTATGAACCCCTGGAGGCTGTTTATGGGTCCTGGCAGGTCACCATGAACCCCTGGCAGCTCCTGGAAGGTCCCTATGAACTCCTGGCAGGTCCTGGAAGGTCCCTATGAACCCCTGGAGGCTGTTTATGGGTCCTGTCAGGTCTCTACAAGCCCATGGAAGGTCCTGGAAGGTCCCTATGAATGCCTGTAAGGTCCTGGAAGATCCCTATGAACCCCTGGCAGATCTCTAGAAGTCCCTGGCAGGTCTCTACCAGCCCATGGAAGGTCCTGGAAGGTCCCTATGAACCCCTGGCAGCTCCCTGTGCCCTCTCCCAGGTCCTGTCAGGTCCTGTCAGCTCTCACCGTGCGCCTCGGGGGGCTCCCTGCGCTCGGGGGGCTCATCCAGCGCCGAGATGGCCGAGCTGATGCTCTTCCGCAGGTCCTGGCAGGTCCCTATGAAGCCCTGGAGGCTGTTCATGGGTCCTGGCAGGTCCATATGAACCCCTGGCAGGTCCTGGTAGGTCCCTATGAACCCCTGGCAGGTCCTGGAAGGTCCCTATGAACCCCTGGAGGCTGTTTATGGGACCTGTCAGGTCTCTACAAGCCTATGGAAGGTCCTGGAAGGTCCCCATGAACCCCTGGAGGCTGTTTATGGGTCCTGGCAGGTCACCATGAACCCCTGGCAGCTCCTGGAAGGTCCCTATGGATTCCTGGCAGGTCCTGGAAGGTCACTATGGACTCCTGGAAGGTCCTGGAAGGTCCCTATGAACCCCTGGAGGCTGTTTATGGGTCCTGGCAGGTCCCTATGAACCCCTGGAAGGTCCCTATGAAGTCCTGGCAGGTCTCTACAAGCTCATGGAAGGTCCTGGAAGGTCTCTATGAAGCCCTGGCAGGTTCTGGAAGGTCCCTATGAACTCCTGGCAGGTCCTGGAAGGTCCCTATGAACCCCTGGAGGCTGTTTATGGGTCCTGGCAGGTCCATATGAAGCCCTGGCAGGTCCTGGCAGGTCCCTATGAACACCTAGCAGGTCTCTACAAGCCCCTGGAAGGTCTCTGTGAACTCCTGGCAGGTCCTGGAAGGTCCCCATGAACCCCTGGAAGGTGTCTACTAGCCCATGGATGGTCCTGGAAGGTCCCTATGAACCCCTGGCAGCTTCCTGTGCCCTCTCCCAGGTCCTGTCAGGTGCTGTCAGGTCCTGTCAGCTCTCACCGTGCGCCTCGGGGGGCTCCCTGCGCTCGGGGGGCTCGTCCAGCGCCGAGATGGCCGAGCTGATGCTCTTCTGCAGGTCCTGGAAGGTCCCTATGAAGCCCTGGCAGGTCTCTACAAGCTCATGGATGGTCCTGGAAGATCCCTATGAGCCTTGGCAGGTCCCTATGAACCCCTGGCAGGTCCTGGAAGGTCCCCATAAACCCCTGGAGGCTGTTTATGGGTCCTGGCAGGTCCATATGAACCCCTGGCAGGTCCTGGCAGGTCCCTATGAACCCCTGGAAGGTCCCTATGAAGCCCTGTCAGGTCTCTACAAGCCCATGGAAGGTCCTGGAAGATCCCTATGAACCCTTGGAAGGTCCCTATGAACCCCTGGAGGCTGTTTATGGGTCCTGGCAGATCCCTATGAGCCCTGGCAAGTCCCTATGAACCCCTGGCAGGTCCTGGAAGGTCCCTATGAATGCCTGTAATGTCCTGGAAGGTCCCTATGAACCCCTGGCAGGTCTCTACAAGCTCATGGATGGTCCTGGAAGGTCCCTATGAGCCTTGGCAGGTCCCTATGAACCCCTGGCAGGTCTCTATGAACCCCTGTCAGGTCCTGTCAGGTCCCTACGACCCCCTGCCAGGTCCTGTCAGCTCTCACCGTGCGCCTCGGGGGGCTCCCTGCGCTCGGGGGGCTCGTCCAGCGCCGAGATGGCGGAGCTGATGCTCTTCTGCAGGTCCTGGTTCTTGCTGACCGAGTCCTCCTCGTCGCTGGAGAAGGAGGGCAGCGTCTCCAGGTTCCTCTTCAGCTCCTCGTCCAGGCGCTTGCAGGGCGAAGGACACGCCATCACCAGCGTCCCCTCGGCCTCGCCGCCCTCCAGGGACCCCCCGAGCACGGCGGGGGCGAAGCCGGGGGGCGCCGCGCCGCCCTTGGGCGCTTTGCCGGGCGGTGCCGCTTGGCGCTTGCCGGATTTCAGGAAGTCCAGGAATGAAGCCATGAAACCCAACTTCATCTCGGGCTGCTTCTCCTCGGCCTCGCGCAGACGCTGCTGCGGTTGTTGCGGTGGTTGTTGTTGCGGTGGTGGTTGCGGTGGTGGTTGCGGCGGTTTGGCGCGGTTCGGTGATGGTGGCGGTGCCTCGGTGAACGGGCCCGGTGCTGCCGGGACGGAGCCGGGAATGGCGGGGACGGAGCCGGGGACGGAGCCGGGAGAGGCGTCCGGCTTGGAGACGGCCAGCTTGATCTGGGGGGAGAGAAAAGGTTAACTGGGTTATACTGGTTTGTACTGGTTTGTACTGGGATACGCTAACCCATCTATGGACACGGCCAGCTTGATCTGTGGGGAAAGAAAAGGGTTACTGGGTTATACTGGTTTGTACTGGGAGACATTGAGCCCATCTATGGACACAGCCAATTTGATCTGTGAGAGAAAAGGGTTACTGGGTTATACTGGTTTGTACTGGGAGACATTGAGCCCATCTATGGACACGGCCAGCTTGATCTGTGGGGAGAGAAAAGGTTAACTGGGTTATACTGGTTTGTACTGGGAGACATGGATCCCATGACCCCATTACCCCATGACCCCCATTGGACATGGCCAGTTTGATCTGTGGGGAGAGAAAAGGGTTACTGGTTATACTGGTTTGTACTGGGAGATATTGAGCCCATCTATGGACACGGCCGTTTTGATCTGTGAGAGAAAAGGGGTTACTGGGTTATACTGGTTTGTACTGGTTTGTACTGGGACATGCTAATCCACCTATGGACATGGCCAGTTTGATCTGTGGGGAGAGAAAAGGTTAACTGGTTTGTACTGGTTTGGACTGGGAAACACGGATCCAACCGTGACTCCCCCATGGACACCCAGTTTGATCTGCGAGAGAAAAGGGGTTACTGGTTTATACTGGTTTGGACTGGGATACACTAACCCATCTATGGATATGACCAGCTTGATCTGTGGGAAGAGAAAAGGGGTTACTGGTTTGTACTGGGTTATACTGGTTTGTACTGGGATACACTAACCCATCTATGGACACGGCCAGTTTGATCTGTGGGGAGAGAAAAGGGTTAACTGGGTTATACTAGTTTGTACTGGGAGATATTGAGCCCATCTATGGATATGGCCATTTTGATCTGTGGGGAGAAAAGGGTTACTGGTTTGTACTGGTTTGTACTGGTTTGTACTGGGAGACATTGAGCCCATCTATGGACACCCAGTTTGATCTGTGGAGAGAAAAGGGTTACTGGGTTATACTGGTTTGTACTGGTTTGTATTGGGAGACATTGAGCCCATCTATGGACACGGCCAGCTTGATCTGTGGGGAGAAAAGGGTTACTGGTTTGTACTGGTTTGTACTGGGAGACATTGATCCAACTGTGACTCCCCCCTTGGACATGGCCAGTTTGATCTGGGAGAGAAAAGGGGTTACTGGTTTGTACTGGTTTGTACTGGGAGATACTGATCCAACCGTGACTCCCCCATGGACACCCAGTTTGATCTATGGGGAGAAAAGGGTTAACTGGGTTATACTGGTTTGTACTGGGAGACACTAACCCATCTATGGACATGGCCAGTTTGATCTGTGGGGAGAGAAGGGGTTACTGGGTTATACTGGTTTGTACTGGGAGATATTGAGCCCATCTATGGACACGGCCAGTTTGATCTGTGGGGAGAAAAGGGTTACTGGTTTGTACTGGTTTGTACTGGGAGACACTGATCCCATGACCCCATGACCCCCATTGAACACACCCAGTTTGATCTGTGGGGGAGAGAAAAGGGTTACTGGGTTATACTGGTTTGTACTGGGAGACATGGATCCCATGACCCCATGACCCCCATGGACACCCAGTTTGATCTGTGGGGAGAGAAAAGGGTTACTGGGTTATACTGGTTTGTACTGGGAGACATGGATCCCATGACCCCATTACCCCATGACCCCCATTGGACACGGCCAGTTTGATCTGTGGGGAGAGAAAAGGGTTACTGGGTTATACTGGTTTGGACTGGGATACACTAACCCATCCATGAACACACCCAGTTTGATCTGTGGGGAGAGAAAAGGGTTACTGGGTTATACTGGTTTGTACTGGGAGACATTGAGCCCATCTATGGATATGGCCAATTTGATCTGTGAGAGAAAAGGGGTTACTGGGTTATACTGGTTTGTACTGGGATTCCCTGACCGCCCCCCGCCATGGACACAGCCAGTTTGATCTGGGGGGTCAGGAGGCTCCAGTATGGACCAGTATGGACCAGTATGGACCAGTAACCCCCAGTGACCCCTCCACAATCCCCATGGACACACCCATATTGATATGGGGGAGAAAACCCCAATTTTGGGTCATTTCGGGACCATTTGAAGCCCCCAAACCCCAATTTTGGGTCATTTCGGGACCATTTTGAGCACTCCAACCCCCTCAAACCCCAATTTTGGGTCATTTTGGGACCATTCCAAGTAATGCAAACCACCCAAACCCCAATTTTGGGTCATTTTGGGACCATTTGAAGCCCTCAGACCCCAATTTTGGGTCATTTCGGGACCATTTGAAGCCCCCCAAACCCCAATTTTGGGTCATTTCAGGACCATTCCAAGTAATGCAAACCACCCAAACCCCAATTTTGGGTCATTTTGGGACCATTTGAAGCCCCCAAACCCCAATTTTGGGTGATTTCAGGACCATTTGAAGCCCCTCAACCCCCAATTTTGGGTCATTCCGGGACCATTTGAAGTCCCCCACTACCCAATTTTGGGTCATTTTGGGACCATTCTGAGCACTCCAACCTCTTCCAAACTTCAATTTTGGGTCATTTCGGGACCATTTGAAGTCCTCCAACCCCCAATTTTGGGTCATTTGGGGACCATTTGATGTCCCCCAAACCCCAATTTTGGGTGATTTCGGGACCATTTGAAGCCCCCGAATCCCGGCCAAATCCCAATTTTGGGTCATTTTGGGACCATTTAAAGAACACCAAACTCCCCAACCCCCAAAATTGGGTCATTTTGGGACCATTTGAAGAACACCAAACCTCCCACCCCCCAATTTTGGATCATTCCGGGACCATTTGAAGCCCCTCAACCCCCAATTCTGGGTGATTTTGGGACCATTTGAAGCCCCCTCAAACCCCAATTTTGGGTTATTTCGGGACCATTCCGAGCAAACCAACCCCCAATTTTGGGTCATTTCGGGACCATTCTGAGCACCCCCAGCCCCAAAACCCCAATTTGGGACCATTCCGAGCAAACCAAACCCCAATTTTGGGTCATGCCGGGACCATTTGAGGAGTCCCAACCCCCAATTTTGGGTCATTTCGGGACCATTCTGAGCACCCCAAGCCCTGAAACCCCAATTTTGGGACCATTCCGAGCAAACTAAACCCCAATTTTGGGTCATTTCGGGACCATTTGAAGCACACCAAGCCCCAATTTTGGGTGATTTCGGGACCATTTGAAGCCCCTCAACCCCCAATTTTGGGTGATTTCGGGACCATTTGAAGCACACCAAGCCCCAATTTTGGGTCATTTCAGGACCATTCTGAGCACTCCAACGCCCTCAAACCCCAATTTTGGGTCATTTTGGGACCATTTGAATCACACCAAACCCCTCAAACCCCACCCCAACCCCCAATTTTGGGTCATTTCGGGACCATTCTGAGCAAACCAAGCCCCAATTTTGGGTCATTTTGGGACCATTCCGAGCACTCCAACCCCCTCAAACCCCAATTTTGGGTCATTTTGGGACCATTTGAAGCCCCCAACCCCCAATTTTGGGTGATTTCGGGACCATTTGAAGCCCCCCAACCCCCAATTTTGGGTCATTTCGGGACCATTTGAAGCCCCTCAAACCCCAATTTTGGGTCATTCCGGGACCATTTGAAACCCCCCAAACCCCAATTTTGGATGATTTCAGGACCATTTGAAGCCCCCAAGCCCCAATTTTGGGTCATTTTGGGACCATTTGAAGCACACCAAATCCCAATTTTGGGTCATGCCGGGACCATCTGAAGTCCCCCACCCCCCAATTTTGAGTCATTCTGGGACCATTCGAAGCCCCAGACCCCCAATTTTGGGTCATTTCGGGACCATTCCGAGCAAACCAACCCCCAATTTTGAGTCATTTCGGGACCATTTGAAGCCCCTCAAACCCCAATTTTGGGTCATTCCGGGACCATTTGAAACCCTTCAACCCCCAATTTTGGGTGATTTCGGGACCATTTGAAGCCCCCCAAACCCCAATTTTGGATCATTTTGGGACCATTTGAAGAACACCAAACCTCCCACCCCCCAATTTTGGGTCATTCCAGGACCATTTGAAGTCCCTCAAACCCCAATTTTGGGTCATTTCGGGACGATTTTGAGCACTCCAACGCCCTCAAACCCCAATTTTGGGTGATTTCAGGACCATTTGAAGCCCCCCCAAGCCCTAATTTTGGGTCATTTCAGGACCATTTGAAGCCCCCCAAGCCCCAATTTTGGGTCATTTCGGGACCATTTAAGCTCCCCAAACCCCAATTTTGGGTCATTTCGGGACCATTCTGAACACCCTCAGCCCCAAAACCCCAATTTTTGGTCATTTCGGGCCATTTGAAGCCTCTCAACCCCCAATTTTGGGTCATTTCGGGACCATTCTGAACACCCTCAGCCCCCTAACCCCCAATTTTGGGTCATTTCGGGACCATTCCGAGCACTCCAACACTCTCAAACCCCAATTTCGGGTAATTCCGGGCCCATTTAAGCCCCCCAACCCCCAATTTTGGGTCATTTTGGGACCCTTTGAAGCACACCAACCCCCCCAACCCCCAATTTCGGGTGATTCCGGGCCCATTTAACCCCCCCAAGCCCCTCACCTTGAGCGGCCGCAGCGGCTCCACGCCCTCTCCATCCTCTCCGCCCTTCTTGCCGCGGCCCCGGCCCCGTCCCCGCGGCCTCTTGGCTCCCTCGGGGAAGCCGGGGGGCTCCAGGGGCCGGATCCTGGGCCTGCCCCGGGGCCGGGGGGGCCCTTCCCGCTTGGGCTTGGTGGGTTTGCGGCCGCGCTTCTTGGGCGCGGGGTGCGCCCCGGGGTGCGGGCAGAAGTCGATGTCGCCCATGGGGGTGAGCGGGGCCCGGCGGCAGCTGGAGATGAGGTCGGGCAGCAGGTCCGGGAGGCGCCGCGAGTTCAGGCGGATGTCGGCGGGCACGTCGGCTTTATCCTCGTCGTCCTCGAACTCGTACTCCTGCGCGTAGGTCTTTTTGGGGGGTGGGAAGGGGTCCCGCTTGCGCAGCAGGTGGAAGGATGAAGTTTTCAGCAGCTTTTTGGGTTTGGAGGAGCAGAATAAAGGGGTGCTGAGAGGAGGAGGGGGCGGTTTGGGACCCCCGTCGCCGGTGCTCTGGATTAAGCCCAGCGGTTCTGCGTTCACCGTGGAGGGTAACTCGTGTTTGGGGGGCTCCAGCCCCAGCTGGGGGGGATCCCCGGCGGCCCCTCCGTCCTGCGGGCAGAACGAGGGGTAGCTCTGCCCCATGTCGTACGGAGGCGGCGGTTTCATCGCCTCGGGCCGCGCCTCCAGCCCGGCGGCGTTGGCGCTGCCTTCCTCCTCCTCCTCCTCGCTGGGCTTGGGGAAATCCTCGGGCGGCGGTCCGAACATGTCCTCCATGCCGGGGAAGAAGCCGCGGTCCTCGTCCTGCAGCAGAGCGTCCGGGAAGCAGATGGAGGTGAGGGGCACGAAGCGCCCCTTGCCCCCCGCGGGGCTCCCCCCTTCCGAAAACTGGTCCTTGGCTTCGGGGGGCACGGCCGGGACGCCCCCCTCGGGGTCCAGCAGGTGCCCGGGTGGTCCCTGCACCCCCGCGCTCTGCCCCAGGTGCGGTTCCAGGCCCAAGGGGGGCTCCAAGAAGTCCTGGATTTCCTGGGGAGGGGGCAGCACCTCCATGGAGTCGGGGGGCAGCGGCGGCGGGGCCTGGGGGTCCAACCCCTGCGAGCGCACCTGGTGCAGGTGAGCTTCCAGCAGCAGCTGCGGGGAGGGGGCGGCCGGAGGGGCCGCGGCGGCCGAGGGGGCGGCGGGGGGCGGCGGAGGCGGCGGTGGGGGCGGCGGCATCCGCTGCTGCTCCAGCAGGTGAACGTCCAGCGGGGCCCTGCCCTTGGGCCGGCCGTGCAGCTGGCTCTGCGTGTGGGTCAGCACCGAGGGCAGCAGCGAGCCCCCCAGCTCCGGGGAGGGGTCCAGCAGGAGGTTGTGGGGCTCCAGCGGGGGTCCCTCGCCCACCAGCCGCCCGTGCTCGGGGGTTTTGGGCAGGTAGGAGTGCGGCGGCGGCGGCGGGCCCAGCTCCTTGCCGCCGGGCAGGTGCTCGGGCGGCTTCTTCAGCTCGTAGGTGTCCAGCGTGGGCGGCGGCTGGTGGCCGTAGTGGACCACCGAGGTGGCCGCCACCTCGCCGCCCCCTCCTCCTCCTCCTCCGCTGGCCCCCCGAAACTCTTTTCCTCTCTCCGGCTTCTTCTTCTCCTTGAGCAGCGCCAGCTCCAGCGGCGCCTCCAGGTTGGAGTTGGGCCGGATGACGCTCTGCAGCTGGTACCGCTCCTCCTTGCCCAGCGCGCCCCCGTAGCCCCCCAGAGTTTTGGGGCGCTCCTCGCAGCCCCCCAGCCCCTCTCGGGGCGGGCTGGGCGCCTGCAGCAGGTGCTGGATCAGGAAATCCTCGTCCTCGCTGCGCTCCGCCGCCAGCAGCTCCGCCTCGCCTTTCGCCCCCTTGCCGAAATTTGGGGGTGCCCCCGGCGGGGCGGGGGGCGGCTGCCGCTCCAGCCCCCCGCCCGGAGCGGCTCCGTAGCCCTGCGGGGCCATGAAGGACGGCGACAGCACCGAGCCCAGGTACTTCTGCGACTGGCCCGGCGACGCGCCGCTCTGCGGCCGGGCGGCCGGCGGCGACTGCAGCGGGCGGATGATGGGCGAGGGGCTGGAGCCCCCCAGGCCGGCGTAGGGCAGCGGCGGGCCGGGCATGGCGGGCGAGTGGCCGGTGCTGTAGCTCAGCGAGGGGCTGGCGGTGGGCAAGCCCTGCGAGGGGGCCGGGGGTCCGTAGCCCCCCGCTTGCCCTCCCTCGGGCTGCACACCGTAGGGCAGCGCCTGCAGCTGCTCGGGCGAGTAGGTGCCGGCGCCGCTGACGCAGGGCTGCAGCCCCCCTTGCCCGCCGGCTTGCCCCCCGCCCTGGTAGCCGCCGGCTTTGCCGCCCAGGTCGCCGCCCTGCCCTCCGCTGAAGCCCCCCGCGGGCTGCGCCGCGCCGGGCAGGCTTTGGGGCGCGCCGGGCGCGGTGTAGCCGGGCGCTGCCCCCATGGCCAGCAGGCTCTGGGGCGGCTGGCCCGGCGAGTAGGCCGGCGACTGGCTGGCGATGACGGAGCTGGGCTTGGGCGTGCCGGGCGTGTAGCTGCTCTGGCACTTGGGCGTGTTGGTGGAGCGCGGCGGCGGCTGCCTCGACGCCGAGTAGCTCTTGGACTTGCCGCCGTTGCCGCCCGCCGCGCCGCCGTTGCCCGCCGCGCCGCCGGCGCCGCCGGAGTAGCCGGGAGACTGGATGATGGGCCGGTAGCCCGGCTCGGGGCGCGGCGCGGCGGGCGCGGCCTTGGGGGGCTGCTGCGAGCCCTCGGAGCTGGCGGGCGACTGCTCGCCCAGCGGGCTGCAGGACAGCGGGGCACGGTGCGCCGGCACCTGCTGGTAGGATCCGCCGCAGCTCAGGTAGTGCTGCAGCCCCGGCGTCGGCGGCAGCTGCGCTTGCGACGCTCCGGGCCGCTGGTAGTGCTTGATGACGCTGTCCTGCCGCGAAATGGCGCGGTCGCCGCCGCCCGCCGCGTTGGCGCCGCCGAAAACGGGCGCGTTGTAGAGCTGCGGCGGCTGCTCGGCGGCCGCCAGCAGGTTGAACTGCGAGGAACCGGGCGCCGGGCGGTACGGAGGCGTCTGCGCCGGCAGCGCCGAGCCCAGCACGGCCGAGCCCAGGCGGTCGAAGCCCAGCGAGGAGGGCACGGCGGGCTGCGCCGGTTTGATGTGCAGCAGCGGGTCGTGCGGCGACAGCAGCCCGTTGGAGCCGGGGCTGAAGGCGGCCTCGGGCAGGCTCAGCGGGGAGCCCACCGGGAAGCTGCGGCCGCCGAAGGACGCCGGGTGCTGGTACGGGCCCAGCGCCGAGGAGGACGGGAAGGTGCCCGAGCCGGGAAGGGCTCCCGAGATGAAGAGCTCGGCCGGAGCGGGAGTGTGCATGGCTGCCGAGGGGAGAACAGAGGGGTGAGAGCTGGGAGAGAGGGGAAGGGGAGTGGGGGGAGTGCGGGTACCCCGGGATGTGTGGGGGACCCGGGGGGTAGGGGGGCACACCCCCAGGGGGAGAGGGGGACACCCCCAGGGGGAGAGGGGGACACCACAGGGGGAGTGGGGACCCCATTTGGGGAGTGGGGAATACCCCCAGGGGGAGAGGGGGTCACCCAGGGACCCCATTTGGGGAGGGGGAACACCCCCAGGGGGAGTGGGGGACACCCAGGGACCCCATTTGGGGAGGGGGAACACCCCCAGGGGGAGTGGGGGGACCCCCCCCACCCCAAACAAGCCCCCAGACCCACCAGTCTGCCCAGAGGGGTGCAGAACTGGGACCCCCAGACCCACCAGTCTGCCAGAAAGGGGTGCAGAACTGGGACCCCCAGACCCAAAGAAGCCCCCAGACCCACCGGTCTGCCCAGAGGGGTGCAGAACTGGGACCCCCAGACCCACCAGTCTGCTCAGAGAGGACGCAGAACTGGGACCCCCACCCCAAAAAAAAGCCCCCAGACCCACCAGTCTGCCCGGAGGGGACACAGAACTGGGACCCCCACCCCAAAGAAGCCCCCAGACCCAAAGAAGCCCCCAGACCCACCAGTCTGCCCAGAGGGGTGCAGAACTGGGACCCCCACCCCAAAAAAGCCCCCAGACCCACCAGTCTGCCCAGAGAGGTGCAGAACTGGGACCCCCCCCAAAAAAAGCCCCCAGACCCACCAGTCTGCCCAGAGAGGTGCAGAACTGGGACCCCCCCCCAAAAAAAGCCCCCAGACCCACCAGTCTGCCAGGAGGGGACACAGAACTGGGACCCCCACCCCAGAAAAGCCCCCAGACCCACCAGTCTGCCCAGAGGGGACACAGAACTGGGACCCCCAGACCCAAAACGCCCCCAGACCCACCAGTCTGCCCAGAGGAGTGCAGAACTGGGACCCCCAGACCCAAAACGCCCCCAGACCCACCAGTCTGCCCAGAGGAATGCAGAACTGGGACCCCCAGACCCAAAGAAGCCCCCAGACCCACCAGTCTGCCCAGAGGGGTGCAGAACTGGGACCCCCCACCCCAAAGAAGCCCCCAGACCCAAAGAAGCCCCCAGACCCACCGGTCTGCCAGGAGGGAGTAAAGAACTGGGACCCCAAAGAAGCCCCCAGACCCACCAGTCTGCCAGGAGGGGTGCAGAACTGGGACCCCCACCCCAAAGAAGCCCCCAGACCCACCAGTCTGCCCAGAGGGCGTGCAGAACTGGGACCCCCAGACCCAAAGAAGCCCCCAGACCCAAAGAAGCCCCCAGACCCAAAGAAGCCCCCAGACCCACCAGTCTGCCCAGAGAGGACACAGAACTGAGACCCCCAGACCCAAAGAAGCCCCCAGACCCACCAGTCTGCCAGGAGGGAGTAAAGAACTGGGACCCCAAAGAAGCCCCCAGACCCACCAGTCTGCCAGGAGGGGTGCAGAACTGGGACCCCCACCCCAAAGAAGCCCCCAGACCCACCAGTCTGCCCAGAGGGCGTGCAGAACTGGGACCCCCAGACCCAAAGAAGCCCCCAGACCCAAAGAAGCCCCCAGACCCAAAGAAGCCCCCAGACCCACCAGTCTGCCCAGAGAGGACACAGAACTGGGACCCCCAGACCCAAAGAAGCCCCCAGACCCAGAAAAGCCCCCAGACCCACCAGTCTGCCCAGAGGGGTGCAGAACTGAGACCCCCAAAAAAGCCCCCAGACCCACCAGTCTGCCCAGAGGGGACACAGAACTGGGACCCCCCACCCAAAGAAGCCCCCAGACCCAAAGAAGCCCCCAGACCCAAAGAAGCCCCCAGACCCAAAAAGCCCCCAGACCCACCGGTCTGCCAGGAGGGCGTGCGGAACTGGGACAGGAGGGACGAGGCCGAGGGGCCGGGCTGGGGCCCGCGCGACTCCAGCGCCGAGATCAGGTTCATGACGGAGGCGTCGGGCGCCGCGCCCCCCGCGTGGTGCAGCCCCGTCTCGAAGAGCCCCGACAGCCCTGGGGACACCACGGGGACAGCTCGGGGACAGCTCGGGGACAGCTCGGGGACACCATGGGGACAGCTCGGGGACACGGGGACAGCTCAGGGATACCCTGGGGACAGCTCGGGGACAGCTCGGGGACAGCTCGGGGACACCTCAGGGACACCTTGGGGATGTGGGGACACCCTGGGGACAGCTCGGGGACAGCTCGGGGACAGCTCGGGGACAAGGGGACAGCTCGGGGACAGCTCGGGGACAGCTTGGGGACACCCTGGGGACAGCTCGGGGACACGGGGACAGCTCGGGGACAGCTCGGGAACACCCTGGGGACACCCTGGGGACAGCTCGGGGACACGGGGACAGCTCGGGGACACCTCAGGGACAGCTCGGGGACAGCTCGGGGACAGCTCGGGGACACCCTGGGGACAGCTTGGGGACACCCTGGGGACAGCTCAGGGACAGCTCAGGGACATCTCGGGGACAGCTCGGGGATGTGGGGACACCCTGGGGATGTAGGGACACCCTGGGGACACCCTGGGGACACCTTGGGGACAGCTCAGGGACACCTTGGGAATGTGGGGACACCCTGGGGACACCCTGGGGACACCTTGGGGATGTGGGGACACCTGGGGGATGTGGGGACACCCTGGGGACACCTCGGGGACACCCTGAGGACAGGGAGGGAATTGAGGGGACAGTTCGGGGTGACCCTGAGTGGAGCAGCCCTGGGGACACCTTGGGGACACCTTGGGGACAGCTCAGGGATGTGGGGACACCATGGGGGAAAAGGGGGAAATGTGAGGGGAAAAAGGGGGAAATGTGAGAGGAAAAAAGGGGGAAATGTGAGGGGGGAAAGGGGGAAATGTGAGGGGGGAAAGGGGGAAATGTGAGGGGGAAAAAGGGGAAATGTGAGGAGGAAAAAGAGGGAAATGTGAGGAGGAAAAAGAGGGAAATGTGAGGGGGAAAAGGGGGATTATGAGGGGAAAAGGGGGGAAATGTGAAGAGAAAAAAAATTGGGAAATGTGAGGGGATAAAGAGCAGGAAATGTGAGGGGAGAAAAGAATAAGGAACGTGAGGGGAAAGGAGTGGGAAACATGAGGGGAAAATGGGTGAGAAATGAGACAAGAAAGAAACAAGAAATATAAAGAGAAAAATTGCTGGGAAATGTTAGGGAAGAAAAGCGAGAAATTGAAAGAGAAAAGGAAAGGACAAAACTTCAAAGGACAAAATAGGAAATGCAAGAAAGGAAATAGCCAGAAAACTGAAGGGGAAAAGGGTGGGAAATGTGAGGGGGGAAAAAGCAGGAAATGCAAGGGCGGAAAAAAGGATACGAGGGAAAAATTGGAAATGTGAGGGAAGAAAACGTGGGAAATGTGAGGGGAAAAAGAGCAGGAAACGTGAGGGGAGAAAAGGGCAGGAAACGTGAGGTGAAAACTGGGAAACATGGGTGAAAAAGGGTGGGAAATTTGAGAGGGAGAAGGGCAGAAAACGAGACAACAACGTGGCAACAAATATAACAAGAAAAATTGGTGAGAAATGTTACAGGAAAAAAAGATGAGAAATGTGAGAAAAAGCAAAATTTGAGAGAACAAAATGGCAGTGAAGGTAAAAAAGGAAATAGCCGGAAACCTGAGAGGGGAAAAGGGTGGGAAATGTGAGGGGGAAAAGGGAATGCAGGAAGAATTGGTGGGAAATGTGAGGGAAAAATGTGGGAAATGTGAGGGGAAAAGAGTGGGAAATGTGAGGGGAAGAGTGGGAAATGTGAGGAGGAAAATGGGCAGGAAACATGAGGGGAGAAAAAGGAGGGAAATGTGAGGGGGAAAAAAGAGTAGCAAATGTTAGAGGCAAAAAAAGTGGGAAATGTGAGGGGGAAGTGGGTGGGAAATGAGAAAACAAAGCAGCAAAAAACACAAAGAGAAAAATCAGCAGGAAACGTTAACAGCAAAAATGTAAAAAACAGAAATGAAAAGAGAAGTGTAAAACTTGGCACGACAAAATGGCAAACACGAGGAAGGAAATAAGACAGAAACTTGAAGGGAAAAAAGGTGGGAAATGTGAGAGGAAAAAATGCATGAGAGAAGAATTGGTGGGAAATATGAGGCGAAAAAAGGTGGGAAATGTGAAGGGGAAAAGAGTGGGAAACGTGAGGGGAAAAGGGTGGGAAACGTGAGGGGGAAAAGAGCGGAAATGTGAGGGGTCAAGACAGCAGAAACATGAGGGGAAGATGGTGGGTAAGATTTGGGGAAAAAGTGAGAAATGTGAGGGGAGAAGTGTGAGTGGGAAACATGAGAGGAAAAGAGCAGGAAATGTGAGACGAAAAGGGTGAGAAAAATGAGGGGAAAAAGTGGGAAAGGTGAGGGGAAAACAGCAGGAAATGTGAGGGGGAAAAGAATGGGAAACGTGAGAGGAGAAAAAGAGCGGGAAATGTGAGGAGAAAAGGGCGGGAAAAATGAGGGGAAAGAGTGGGAAAGGTGAGGGGGGAAATAGGCGGGAAACGTGAGGGAAAAACTGAGGGGAGAAAAGGGCAGGAAATGTGAGGGGAAAAAGAATGGGAAACGGCAGGGGGAAAAGGACAGGAATTGTGAGGGGAAAAAGCTGGGAAAAATGAGAGGAAAAAGTGGGAAAGGTGAGGGGGGGAAAAAGGTGGGAAACGTGAGGGGGGAAAAGGGCGGGAAATGTGAGGAGAGAAAAAGGGCGGGAAACGTGAGGGGAGAAAAGGGTGGAAAACGTGAGGGGGAAACGGGGCGGGAAATGTGAGGGGAGAAAAAGGGCGGGAAAAAGGGCGGGAAACGTGAGGGTGAAAAAGGGCGGGAAACGTGAGGGGGGGAAAAAGGGCAGGAAACCTGAGGGGAGAAATAGGCGGGAAACGTGAGGGGGGAAAAGAGCGGGAAATGTGAGAGGGAAAAGAGCGGCAAACGTGAGGGGAGAAAAAGAGTGGGAAACGTGAGGGGACAAAAAGGGCAGAAAACATGAGGTTGAAAAAGGGCGGGAAACGTGAGGGGGAAAAAGGGCGGGAAATGTGAGGGGACAAAAAGGGTTGGAAATGTGAGGGGGAAAAGAGCGGCAAACGTGAGGGGAGAAAAAGGGCGGGAAACGTGAGGGGAGAAAAAGGGCGGGAAACGTGAGGGGGAAAAAGGGCGGGAACTGTGAGGGGGGAAAGAGCGGGAAACATGAGGGGAGAAAAAGGGCGGGAAAAAGGGCGGGAAACGTGAGGGGGAAAAAGAGCGGCAAACGTGAGGGGAGAAAAAGGGCGGGAAACGTGAGGGGAGAAAAAGAGCGGGAAATGTGAGAGGGAAAAGAGCGGCAAACGTGAGGGGAGAAAAAGAGTGGGAAACGTGAGGGGACAAAAAGAGAGAGAAACATGAGGGGACAAAAAGGGCAGAAAACGTGAGGTTGAAAAAGGGCGGGAAACGTGAGGTTGAAAAAGGGTGGGAAATGTGAGGGGGAAAAGAGCGGCAAATGTGAGGGGAGAAAAAGGGCAGGAAACGCGAGGGGACAAAAAGGGCGGGAAAAAGGGTGGGAAACGTGAGGGGAAAAAGGGTGGGAAACGTGAGGGGGGACAAACGTCGCAGGGTGACACAGCTCTGGGACATCGAAGTGACAAAGTGACACAGGGACCTGGGGTCGCGGTGTTGTGCAGTCAGGGTGACACAGGGGGGGTGACAGGAGGGCACAGGAGGTGGCAGTAGGTGACAGAGACTGATGGAATATAACAGAAAATGACAGCAGGTGACAGGTGACAATAGGTGACAGAAGGTGACTGCAGGGAACAGGAAGTGACAAAAGGTGACAAAAGGTGACAGAAAGTGGAAGTAGGTGGTAGTAGGTGACAAAATGAGACAGTAGATGACAGTATGTGACAGTAGGTGACAGAATGTGACAAAAAGTGACAGTAGGTGACACTAGCTGACAGGGGGCAAGAGAAGGTGACAGTAGGAGACAGAATGTGACAAAAGGTGACACTGGGTGACAGGGGGCAAGAGAAGGTGACAGAAGATGACTGAAGGTGACAAGGAATGACTGTAGGTGACAGTAGGTGACAGAAGGTGACAGTAGGTAACAATAGGTGACAGAAGGTGAGAGAAGGTGACAGAGGTAACAAGCAGTGACAGTGGGTGACGGGGTGACAGAAGGTGACAGAAGGTGACAAGGAATGACAGTAGGTGACAGTAAGTGACAGAAGGTGACACAAGGTGACAAGGAGCGACAATAGGTGATGGGGTGACAGTAGGTGACGGTAAGTGGCAGAGGGTGACAAGGAGAGACAGAAGGTGACAAGGAGTGACAACAGGTAACAGAAGGTGACAAGGAGTGACAGTAAGTGACAAGAAGTGACAAGCAGTGGCAGAAGGTGACAAGAAGTAACTGTAGGTGACAGAAGATGATAGAAAGTGACACAAAGTGACAAACAGCAACAGTAGGTGACAATAGGTGACAGCAGGTGACAGAAGGTGACAAAGAGTGACAGTAGGTGACAGAAGGTGACAGAAAGTGACAAGGAATTGCAGTAGATGACAATATGTGCCAGAAGGTAACAGTAGGTGACAGAAGGTGACAAGGAGTGACAATAGGTGACAGAAGGTGATGGGGTGACAATAGGTGACAATAGGTGACAATGGGTGACAGAAGGTGATGAGGAGTGCTAATAGGTGACAGAAGGCAACGGAAGGTGACGGAAGGTGACAAGGAGTGACAATAGGTGACAACAGGTGACGGAAGATGACGGAAGGTGACAAGGAGTGATAATAGGTGACGGAAGGTGACAGAGGGTGACAGAAGGTGACAAGGAGTGATAATAAGTGACGGAAGGTGACGGAAGGTGACGAGGAGTGACAACAGGTGACAGAAGGTGATGGAAGGTGACAGAAGGTGACAAGGAGTGACAGTAGGTGACGGAAGGTGACAGAAGGTGACAAGGAGTGACAACAGGTAACAGAAGGTGACAACAGGTGACAGGAGGTGACAGGAGGTGACGGAAGGTGACGGAAGGTGACAAGGAGTGATAACAGGTGACAGAAGGTGACAAGGAGCCGTACCTGGCGGGTGGTGGTTGGCCGCATAGCCCTGCAGCGGGTGGGGCGCTCCGTAGGGCTGTCGGTGCAGCAGGTCGGGGTCGGGGTGCGACCCCCGCGAGCCCCCGTACACCAGGCTGGGGACAGGACAGGTGTGTCAGGGACAGGTGTGTCAGGGACAGGTGTGGCATTGTCACACACACACACCCCCAAACAACCCCCCCGTACACCAGGCTGGGGACAGGGACAGGTGTGTCAGGGACAGGTGTGTCAGGGACAGGTGTGTCACACAGGATTGTCACACCCCCACCTCACACCGGGCTGGGGACAGGGATAGGTGTGATTGTCACCGCCCCACAATGCTGTGACAGGTGTGACACAGGTACAGGTGTGACACAGGCACACACAGGTGTGACACACCTACAGGTGTGACACAGGCACAGGTGTGACACAGGCACACACAGGTGTGACACAGGCACACACAGGTGTGACACAGCCACAGGTGTGTCACAGGTACAGGTGTGACACAGCCACACACAGGTGTGACACACCTACAGGTGTGACACAGCCACAGGTGTGACACAGGTACAGGTGTGACACAGGTACAGGTGTGACACAGGCACACACAGGTGTGACACACCTACAGGTGTGACACACCCACAGGTGTGACACAGGCACAGGTGTGACACAGCCACACACAGGTGTGACACACCTACAGGTGTGACACAGCCACAGGTGTGACACAGGTACAGGTGTGACACAGGTACAGGTGTGACACAGGCACACACAGGTGTGACACAGGCACAGGTGTGACACAGGCACAGGTGTGACACAGGTACAGGTGTGACACAGGTACAGGTGTGACACAGGCACAGGTGTGACACACCCACAGGTGTGACACAGGCACACACAGGTGTGACACAGGCACACACAGGTGTGACACAGGCACAGGTGTGACACAGGCACACACAGGTGTGACACACCTACAGGTGTGACACAGGCACAGGTGTGACACAGGGACACACAGGTGTGACACAGGCACAGGTGTGACACAGGCACACACAGGTGTGACACACATACAGGTGTGACACAGGCACACACAGGTGTGACACAGGTACAGGTGTGACACAGGTACAGGTGTGACACAGGCACACACAAGTGTGACACAGGCACAGGTGTGACACAGGCACACACAGGTGTGACACACCTACAGGCGTGACACAGGCACAGGTGTGACACAGGTACAGGTGTGACACAGGTACAGGTGTGACACAGCCACACACAGGTGTGACACAGGCACAGGTGTGACACAGCCACGCACAGGTGTGACACAGCCACAGGTGTGACACAGGCACACACAGGTGTGCCAGGCATTGACACAAAGCTGTGACACACCTACACACGTGTGACACAGGCACACACAGGTGTGACACCTCAAATCCCAGCACACCCCAAATCCCCCAACACCCCAAATCCCGGTGTAACAGGATCCCAGCACCCCAAATCCTGGAGTAACAGGATCCCAGCACCCCAAATCCCTCTATAATGGGATCCCAGCACCCCAAATCCTGGTGTAACGGGATCCTGGCACCCCAAATCCCAGTGTAACAGGATCCCAGCGCCCCAATACAGACTGACCCCAAATCCCAGCACACCCCAAATCCCAGTGTAATGAGATCCCAGCACACCCCAAATCCCACTGAAACGGGATCCCAGCACCCCAAATTCCCCGAAATCCGGTGTAACAGGATCCCAGCATTCCAAATCCCACTGAAACAGGATCCCAGCACCCCAATACAGACTGAACACCCCAAATTCCAGCACAACCCAAATCTCAGTGTAACAGGATCCCCACTGGAATGGGATCCCTGCACCCCAAATCCCTCTATAACGGGATCCCTGCACCCCAAATCCTGGAGTAACGGGATCCCAGCACCCTAATTCCCACTGGAATGGGACCCCTCACCCTAAATCCGGAGCAACGGGACCCCTGCACCCCAAATTCCCTGAAATCCCGGTATAATGGGATCACAGCACCCCAATACAGACTGACCCCAAATCCCAGCACACCCCAAATCCCAGCAAACCCCAAATCTCAGTGTAACGGGATCACAGCGCCCCAAATCCCACTGAAACGGGATCCCTGCACCCCAAATTCCCCGAAATCCCGGTGTAACGGGATCCCTGCACCCCAATACAGACTGAACACCCCAAATCCCAGCACACCCCAAATCTCAGCACACCCCAAATCTCAGTGTAACGACATCCCTGCACCCCAAATCCCACTGAAACGGGATCCCAGCACCCCAAATTCCCCAAAATCCCAGTGTAATGGGATCACAGCACCCCAAATTCCCCAAAATCCCAGTGTAATGGGATCACAGCACCCCAAATTCCCCAAAATCCCAGTGTAATGGGATCACAGCACCCCAAATTCCCCAAAATCCCAGTGTAATGGGATCACAGCACCCCAAATTCCCCAAAATCCCAGTGTAATGGGATCACAGCACCCCAAATTCCCCGAAATCCCTGTGTAACAGGATCCCAGCACCCCAATACAGACTGACCCCCAATCCCAGCACACCCCAAATCTCAGTGTAACGGCATCTCTGCACCCCAAATCCCACTGAAACGGGATCCCAGCACCCCAAATTCCCCGAAATCCCGGTGTAACAGGATCACAGCACCCCAATACAGACTGACCCCAAATCCCAGCACACCCCAAATCCCAGTGTAACAGGATCTCCGCTGGAACGGGATCCCGGCACCCCAAATTTTGGAGTAACAGGATCCCAGCACCCCAAATCCCTCTATAACGGGATCCCAGCACCCCAAATCCCTCTGTAATGGGATCCCAGCACCCCAAATTCTGGAGTAATGGGATCCCAGCACCCCAAATCCCTCTGTAACGGGATCCCAGCACCCCAAATCCCTCTGTAATGGGATTGCAGCAGCCCAAATTCTGGAGCAATGGGACCCCTGCACCCCAAATCCTGGTGTAACAGGATCCCTGCACCCCAAATCCTGGAGTAACAGGATCCCGGCACCCCAAATTCTGGAGTAACAGGATCCCAGCACCCCAATTCCCGCTGTAATGGGACCCCTCACCCTAAATCCGGAGCAACGGGACCCCTGCACCCCAAATTCCCCGAAATCCCAGTGTAACAGGATCCCTGCACCCCAAATCCCACTGAAACGGGATCCCAGCACCCCAATACAGACTGAACACCCCAAATCCCAGCACACCCCAAATCCCAGTGTAACAGGATCCCCGTACCCCAATTCCCGCTGTAACGGGAGCCCTGCACCCCAAATCCTGGAGTAACAGGATCTCAGCACCCCAAATCTCTCTATAATGGGATCCCAGCACCCCAAATCCTGGAGTAAAAGGATCCCTGCACCCCAAATCCCTCTATAATGGGATCCCAGCACCCCAAATCCTGGAGTAACGGGATCCTAGCACCCCAATTCTCGCTGTAACAGGATCCCAGCACCCCAGTACAGACTGACCCCAAATCCCAGCACACCCCAAATCTCTGTAACGGCATCCCTGCACCCCAATTCCCGCTGTAATGGGACCCCTCACCCTAAATCCGGAGCAACGGGATCCCAGCACCCCAAATTCCCCAAAATCCCAGTGTAACGGGATCCCTGCACCCCAATACAGACTGACCCCAAATCCCAGCACACCCCAAATCTCAGTGTAACGAGACCCTCACCGCAATCCGGCTATAACGGGACCCCCACCCCAATTCGGGTATAACGGGACCCTCACCCCCATTCGGGTATAACGGGACCCTCACCCCCATTCCCGCTGTAACGGGACCCTCACCCAATTCGGGTATAACGGGACCCTCACCCCAATTCGGGTATAACGGGACCCTCACCCCAATTCGGGTATAACGGGACCCTCACCCCCATTCGGGTATAACGGGACCCTCACCCCCATTTAGGGTATAACGGGACCCTCACCCCCATTCCCGCTATAACGGGACCCTCACCCCCATTCCCGTTATAACGGGACCCTCACCCCCATTCGGGTATAACGGGACCCTCACCCCAATTCCCTCTATAACGGGACCCTCACCCCAAACCCCCCCTCACGCCCTCCCCCCATCCCCCTCCCCCGCCGCCCCCTCCCCCCTCCGCCGCCCCCCCCCTCACCTGGCCTTGGCCGAGCGCTCGTAGCTCCAGCCGGGCCCGGCGCTGAGCGGGTCCCCGAACCCGGCTCCGGGGTAGTTCCTGTCCATGGGGGCGGCGCCCCCCGGGGCCGGGCGGGTTCGAGGGCCGGGGGGGCCGGGGGGGGCCGGGGGCGGCCGGGCCGGGGGCGCCTCACGGAGCCGCCATGATGGAGCGGGGCCGCGCGCCGCCGCTTCCTCCCACACTGCCCCGCGCGGCGGCGGGAGCGCGGCGGGAGGGGCGGGGCGGGCATCGACCAATGGGGACAGAGGGGCGGGGCCAGTGTGAGACCATATAAGGGAAAAGGGGCGGGGCCAGCGGCGGGGACAGACAATGTCCGCGGGGAAAAGGGGCGGGGCCAAACGCTGCCGTAAATGGGCAAAGGGGCGTGGCCACGCTGTGGCGGGAGCGCTGAGGGGGCGGGGCCAGGCAGAGAAAAGGGGCGGGGCCAACCACACCATGAATGGAAAAGGGGCGTGGCCACGCGGTGGCGGGAGCGCTGAGGGGGCGGGGCCAGGCGGAGAAAAGGGGCGGGGCCAACCCCATCCATGAATGGAAAAGGGGCGTGGCCACGCTGCGGCGGGATCCCGCGGGGGCGTGGCCAATTCGTATCCATAGGCGGGGCTAAATATTTCCATATATGCAAATAGACGAGGTCACACTGTAGCAAGCCGCTTAGGGGGCGGGGCCAATCCAAACTATAGGCAATAAAGGGGCGGGGTTAACAATCTCCATATATCGAAGGGGGCGTGACAAACGGCAGTAGAAGTGATGAGGGGGCGTGGCCACGTGGCATTTATGCATGATAAAGGGGCGGGGTTTCCCTATATGGAAATGGGGCGTGGCAAACAGTGGCGGGAGTCCTTAGGGGCGGGGCCAAGGCGCCGCTATAGGCGAGAAAGGGGCGGGGAAAGGGGCGGGGCCATTCATTTTTTATAGGAAAAGGGCGTGGCTGGGGTGTGGCAATAGGGGTTTCCGCCTATGGGGGCGTGGCTAACATGCTGAGGGACACTGGGCGGAACTGGTGCGAACTGGGCGGAACTGGGAGTTGAGATCTGCACGGCCAGGACCAAACCTCGCTCCCACCCGGACCCTTTTCTCCGCCGCACTTCCGGTCGCCACTTCCGTCTTCCGCCGCGCCGCCGCTGCTGGCGGCGAAACGGCCGCGAGTCCCCCCCAAAAAAACCCCAAAAAACCCCAAAAAAACCCCAAAAACCCCAAAAAACCAAAAACCCCCAGAAAACCTCCAGGGCGGAACTGGGAGCTGCGATCTGCACGGCCGGGACCAAACCTCCCTCCCACCCGGCCCCTTTTCTCTGCCGCACTTCCGGTCCTCACTTCCGCCTTCCGCCGCGCCGCCGTTGCTGGTCTGAGGCGGCCGCGAGGCCCCCCCAAAAAAACCCCCAAAAAAACCCAAAAAACCCCAAAAAACCTCCCGGGAACGCTTTAAATCCTTCTTTTCATCCCTGCAGGAGCAGCCATGACGCGGCACGGCAAGAACTGCACGGCGGGGGCCGTGTACAGCTACCACGAGCGGCGCAAGGACACCGGTGGGCCGCGGTTTGGGGGGATTTTGGGGGGATTTTTGGGGGGTTTTGGGGGTTTTGGGGAGCTGACCCCCTGTCCCGCTGTTCCCCGCAGCCGCCTCGGGGTACGGCACGCAGCGGGTGCGGGTGGGCCGCGACGCCATCAAGGATTTCGATTGCTGCTGCCTGTCCCTGCAGCCCTGCCGAGACCCGGTGGTGACGTGAGTGAGGCCGCCAGAAAGGGGCCGAAAATGGCCCAAAACTGCCCTGAAATAGCCACAAAAATAGCCAAATAATAGCCCCAAAATTGCCCCGAAATAGCCCCAAAAATAGCCAAATAATAGCCCCAAAATTGCCCCAAAATAGCCAGAAAAATAGCCAAATAATAGCCCCAAAATTGCCCCAAAATAGCCAGAAAAATAGCCAAATAATAGCCCCAAAATTGCCCCGAAATAGCCACAAAAATAGTCCCAAAACTGCCCTAAAATTGCCCCGAAATAGCGCCAAAAATAGCCAAATAACAGCCCCAAAATTGCCCCAAAATAGCCACAAAAATAGCCAAATAACAGCCCCAAAATTGCCCCAAAATAGCCACAAAAATAGCCAAATAATAGCCCCTAAATAGCCACAAAAATAGTCCCAAAACTGCCCCAAAATCCACACAGAAATACCCAAATAAAAGTTCAAAACTGCCCCGGAATAGCCAATTAATGGTCCCAAAACTGCCCTGAAATATCCAATTAATGGTCCCAAAACTGCCCCGAAATAGCCACAAAAATACCTTAAAGCAGATCAAAATCAGCCTTGAAATACCTAAATAATGGTCCCAAACTGCCCTGAAATAGCCAAATAACAGTCCCCAAAACTGCCCCAAAATAGCCACAAAAATACCCAAATAAGAGCCCAAAACTGCCCTGAAATAGAACTGAAAATACCCAAATAACAGCCCAAAACTGCCCTGAAATAGAATCAAAAATAGCCAATTAATGGTCCCAAACTGCCCTGAAATATCCAAAGAATTGCCCCGAACCAGCCCCAAAATAACCACAGAAATACCCAAATAACAGCCCCAAAATTGCCCTAAAATAGCCACAAAAATAGCCAAATAACAGCCCCAAAATTGCCCCGAAATAGCCCCAAAAATAGTCCCAAAACTGCCCCAAAATCCACACGGAAATACCCAAATAAAAGTTCAAAACTGCCCCGAAATACCCAAATAATAGTCCCAAAACTGCCCTGAAATAGCCACAAAAAAAAAAGCCAAATAATAGCCGCAAACTGCCCCAAAATAGCACAGAAAATACCCAAATAATGCCCCCAAAACCAGCCCCAAAATAACCAAATAATGGTCCCAAAACTGCCCCGAAATAACCAAATAAAAGCCCAAAATCAGCCCCCAAATATCCACAAAAACACCAAAATAAAAGTGCAAAACCAGCCCCAAAATACTCACAAAAATACCTAAAAATGACCCAAAAACTGCCCCGAAATAGCCCCTAAAATACCCAAATAATTGTCCTAAAACTGCCCCAAAATACCCCTGAAAATCCCCCAAAAAAACCCCAAAATACCCCTGAAAATCCCCCCAAAAAACCCCAAACCCCCCCAAACCATCCCAAAAGCCCCAAAAAGCCCCAAATCCACCCCAAAACCCCACTCAGGACCCAAACCCACCCCAAAATCCCCCAAAATTCCCCTAAACCACCCCAAAATTCTCCAAAACCACCCCAAAACCCCACCCAGGACCCCAAAATACCCCCCAGGACCCCCAAAACACCCCAAAAAATCCCCCAAAATCCCTCCCAAATCCCACTAAACATTCCCAAAATCCCCCAAAACCACTCCAAAAAAAATACCCCAAAAAAACCCAAAAAATCCCCCAAAACCACTCCAAAGAATCCCCAAATACCCCAAAACCACCTCAAAAAAAAACCCCAAATCCCTGCAGAAAAACCCCAAAAAATCACAAATTCTCCAAAACCACCCCTCCAAAAAAAACCCCAAAAAATCACAAAATTCTCCAGAACCACCCCAAAAAACCCCAAATCCCTCAAAACCACCTCAAATCCCAAATCCCCTTGAAAAAAAACCCAAAAAACCCCAAATTCTCCAAAACCACCCAAAAAAAAAACCAACCAAAAAATACCAAAATTCTCCAGAACTACCCCAAAAAAACAAAAAAAAAGCCAAATTCCCCAAAACCTCCTCAAAAAAACCCCAAATCCCCCCCACAAAAAACCCCAAAAATCACAAGTTCTCCAAAACCATCCAAAAAAAAAAAAAAATCCCAAAATTCTCCAGCACCACCCCAAAAAACCCAAAATCCCTCAAATCCACCTCAAAAAAACCCCAAATCCCCCCAAAAAAACCCCAAAAAATCACAAATTCTCTAAAACCATCCAAAAATAAAAAAACCCAAAAAATACCAAAATTCTCCAGAACCACCCCAAAAAAACCCAAAAAAAACCCAAATCCCTCAAAACCACCTCAAAAAAACCCCAAATCCGCCCAAAAAAACCCCAAAAATCACAAATTCTCCAAAACCACCGCAAAGAAACCACCAAAAAATCCCCAAATTCTCCAGAACCACCCCAAAAAAACCCCAAAAAGGCCAAAATCCCTCAAAACCACCTCAAAAAAGCCCCAAATCCCCCCCAAAAAACCCTCAAAAAATCACAAATTCTCTAAAACCACCCAAAAAAACCCCAAAAAACCAAAAAATCCCAAAATTCTCCAGAACCACCCCAAAAAAACCCAAATTCCCCAAAACCACATAAAAAAAACCCCAAATCCCCCCTCCAAAAAAACCCCAAAAATCACAAATTCTCTAAAACCACCCAAAAAAAAAAAACCCCAAAAAATACCAAAATTCTCCAGAACCGCCCCAAAAAAACAAAAAAAAAGCCAAATTCCCCAAAACCGCCTCAAAAAAACCCCAAATCCCCCCAAAAAAAACCCAAAAAAAATCACAAATTCTCCAAAAACATCAAAAAAAAAAATCCCAAAATTCTCCAGAACCACCCCAAAAAACCCAAAATCCATCAAAACCACCTCAAAAAAACCCAAATCCCCCCAAAAATAAACCGAAAAAACCCCAAATCCCCCCAAAAAACCCCAAAAAATAAAATCCCCCAAAACCCAGGACCCCAAAACCCCACCCAAGACCCCCCCCGAACCCCAAAAAATCCCCAAAAACCCCCAAAATCCCCCAAATCCCCCCAAATTTGACCATTTCTGGTTGCCCCGACCCCAAATCGTTCCCAGATAATTTTGGGGTTCCCAAACTGATTTTGGGGTTCCCAAATTCCCCCTCAGCCCCGACGGGTTCCTGTACGAGCGCGAGGCCATCGTGGGCTACCTCCTGCACCAGAAAAACAAAATCGCCCGCGAGATGAAGGTGAGACATCCCAAATTCCCAAAAAAAATCCCCAAAAATCCCCAAAATCCCTGAGAGTCCAAGGTGAGGAATCCCAAATTCCCAAAAATCCCAAAAAATCCCCAAAATCCCTGAGAGACCAAGGTGAGAAATCAAAAAAAAATCCAAAAATTCCCCAAAAAATCCCCAAAATCCCTGAGAGTCCAAGGTGAGAAATCGAAAAATCCCAAAAAATCCCCAAAATTCCTGAGAGTCCAAGGTGAAAAATACAAAATTCCCAAAAAATCTCTGAGAGTCCAAGGTGAGAAATACAAAATTCCCCAAAATTCCCCAAAAAATCCCAAAAATGCCTGAGAGGCCAAGATGAGAAATCCAAAATTCCCAAAAAATTCCCCAAAATCGCCCACGAGACCAAGGTGAGAAATACAAAATTCCCAAAAAAAATCCCAAAAATCGCCTGGGAGACCAAGGTGAGAAATCTAAAAAAACACAAAAAATCCGCAAAAAATCCCAAAAATCCCTGAGAGACCAAGGTGAGAAATCCAAAAATCCCAAAAATTCCAAAAAAATCCCAAAAATCCCTGAGAGACCAAGGTGAGAAATCCAAAATTCCCAAAAATTCCCCAAAATATCGCTGAAAGTCCAAGGTGAGAAATCCAAAATTCCCAAAAATTCCCCAAAAGATTCCAAAAATCCCCAAGAGTCCAAGGTGAGAAATCCAAAAAAAACCCAAAAATCCCCAAAATCCCTGAGAGTCCAAGGTGAGAAATCCAAAATTCCCCAAAAAAACCCAAAAATCCCCGAGAGACCAATGTGAGAAATCCAAAAATTCCCAAAAAATCCCCAAAATCCCCGAGAGACCAAGGTGAGACATACAAAAAGCCCAAAAATTCCCCAAAAACCACAAAAATCGCTGAGAGTCCAAGGTGAGAAATCCCAAATTCCCCAAAATTCCCCAAAAAATCCCCAAAATCCCCAAAATCCCCAAGAGGCCAAGGTGAGAAATACAAAAAAACCCCAAAAATCCCAAAAAAATCCCAAAAATCCCTGAGTGTCCAAGGTGAGAAATCAAAAATCCCCAAAAATTTCCCAAAAAAATCCCCAAAATCCCCCACGAGACCAAGGTGAGGAATCCCAAATTCCCAAAAAAAAATCCCCAAAATCACCCGCGAGACCAAGGTGAGAAATCCAAAATTCCAAAAAATTCCCCCAAAAAATCCCCGAGAGTCCAAGGTGAGAAATCCAAAATTCCAAAAAAATCCCCCCAAAAATCCCCAAAATCGCCCGCGAGACCAAAGTGAGAAATCCCAAATTCCCAAAAATCCCAAAAAATCCCCGGGAGACCAAGGTGAGAAATCTAAAAAAACACAAAAAATCCGCAAAAAATCCCAAAAATCCCCGAGAGACCAAGGTGAGAAATACAAAAATCCCAAAAATCCCAAAAATTCCCAAAAATCCCTGGGAGACCAAGGTGAGAAATCCCAAATTCCCAAAAATCCCAAAAATTCCCCAAAATCCCCCAGAGTCCAAGGTGAGAAATCCAAAATTCCCAAAGAATCACAAAACTCCCCGAGAGACCAAGGTGAAAACCCTCAAAAACCCCCAAAATCCCAAAAGACCACAAAAAAAAATCTCCAAAGAATCACCAAAATCCCCAAAAAATCCCAAAAATCGCCCACGAGACCAAGGTGAGAAATACAAAATTCCCAAAAAATCCCCAAAAGATTCCAAAAATCCCCAAGATTCCAAGGTGAGAAATCCAAAATTCCCAAAAATTCCCCCAAAAACCATAAAAATCGCCCGGGAGACCAAGGTGAGAAATCAAAAATTCCCAAAAAAAATCCTAAAAATCCCTGAGAGTCCAAGGTGAGAAATACAAAAACACCCAAAAAATCCCAAAAATCGCTCTCTAGAACAAGGTGAGAAATCCAAAATTCAGAAAAAATCCCCAAAACATTCCAAAAATCCCTGAGAGACCAAGGTGAGAAATCCAAAATTCCCAAAAATCCCAAAAAATCTCCAAAATCCCCGAGAGACCAAGGTGAGAAATACAAAATTCCCAAAAATCCCAAAAAAATCCCCAAAATCGCCGAGAGGCCAAGGTGAGAAATCCAAAAAACCCAAAAAATCCCCTAATCCCTGAAAGTCCAAGGTGAGAAATCCAAAATTCCCCAAAAATTCCCCAAAGAGCACCTGGGAGACCAAGGTGAGAAATCCAAAATCCTCAAAAAATTCCCAAAAAATCCCAAAAATCCCCGAGAGACCAAGGTGAGAAATCCCAAATTCCCAAAAATTCCTCCAAAAAATCCCCAAAATCCCCGAGAGACCAAGGTGAGAAATCCTAAATTCAGAAAAAATCCCCAAAACATTCCAAAAATCTCTGAGAGACCAAGGTGAGAAATCCAAAAATCCCCAAAAGATCCCCAAAAATCCCTGAGAGTCCAAGGTGAGAAATCGAAAAATTACCAAAAAATACCCAAAACATTCCAAAATTCCCTGAGAGTCCAAGGTGAGAAATCCTAAATTCCCCAAAAAAATCCCCAAAAATCCCTGGGTGTCCAAGGTGAGAAATCCAAAATTCCCAAAAATCCCAAAAAGTCCCAAAAATCCCCAAGAGTCCAAGGTGAGAAATCCAAAAATCCCAAAAAATTCCCAAAAAATCCCAAAAATCCCTGAGAGTCCAAGGTGAGAAATCCAAAAAAACCCCAAAAATCCCAAAAAAATCCCAAAAATCCCCGCGAGACCAAGGTGAGAAATCAAAAAAAACCCAAAAAATCCCAAAAATCGCCCACGAGACCAAGGTGAGGAATCCCAAATTCCCAAAAAATCCCAAAAAAACCCCAAAAATCCCCGAGAGTCCAAGGTGAGAAATCCAAAATTCCCAAAAAATCCTAAAAATCGCCCGGGAGACCAAGGTGAGAAATCCAAAAATCCCCAAAAAATTTGGGGTAAAACCCCAGAAATTCGGGATAAAACCCAAGAAATTCAGGGTAAAACCCCAGAAATTTGGTGTAAAATCCCAGAAAATCAGGATTAAACCCCCGAAATTTGGGGTAAAATCACAGAAACTCGGTGTAAACCCCCAGAAATTCAGGATCAAATACCAGAAAATCGGGATAAAACCCCAGAAATTTGGGGTAAAACCCCCGGAATCGGGGTTTTTGGGACCCCAGCAGATTTTGGGGTCCCTGTCCCATTTTTGGGGTCCCTCTCTCATTTCTGGGGTTCCATTTTTGAGGTGCAGGCCTGGCAGCGGCAGCAGGGCAGGGATTTGGGATAAAACCCCAGAAAATCAGGATAAAACCCCAGAAATTTGGGGTAAAACCCCAGAAATTTCGGGTAAAAGCCCCATAATTGGGTTTTTTGGGACCCCAGCAGATTTCAGGGTCCCTCTCCCATTTTTGGGGTCTCTGTCCCATTTTTGGGGTCTCTGTCCCATTTTTGGGGTCCATTTTCGGGGTGCAGGCCTGGCAGCGGCAGCGGGGCAGAAATTTGGGGTAAAACCCCAGAAATTCGGTGTAAAATCACAGGAATTTGGGGTAAAATCCCAGAAATTCAGGGTAAAATCCCAGAAATTAGGGGTAAAATCACAGAAATTTGGGGTAAAACCCCAGAAATTTGAGGTAAAATTCCAGAAATTTGGGGTAAAATCACAGAAATTCAGGATAAAACCCCCGGAATCGGGGTTTTTGGGACCCCAGCTGATTTTGGGGTGCCTGTCCCATTTTTGGGGTCCCATTTTGGGGTGCAGGCCTGGCAGCGGCAGCGCGCCGAGCGGCGCCGGCAGCAGCAGCAGCAGCAGCAGCAGCAGCCCGAGACCCCCGGGAGCAGCGGTGAGGGGCGGGGGGGGGGATTTTGGGGGGTTTTGGGGGATTTGGGGGGGCTGGAGTGGTTTGAGTGGGATTTTGGGGGAATTTGGGGGTGATTTTGGGGGGGCTGGAGAGGATTTTTGGGGGGTTTGGGGGGGAGTTTGGGGGGTTTGGGATGGGGTTTGGGGGGGTTTGGGTGGGGTTTGCGGGAGCTGGAGGGACTTGGGGGGGATTTTTGGGGGTTTGGGATGGAATTTTAGGGGGTCTGGAGGGGTTTGGGAGGATTTGGGGGGGTTTTGAGGGGGATTTTGGGGGGTTGGGATGGGTTTTGGGGGGCTGGAGGGGTTTGGGGGGGATTTGGGGGGGATTTTTGGGGGTTTGGGATGGGTTCTGGGGGGGATTTGTGGGGGTTTGGGGTGGGTTTTGGGGGGGTTTTGGGGGGATTTGGGGGGTGTTGGGGGGGCTGGGGGGGGTTGGGGGGGAGTTTGGGGGGATTTTGGGGGGATTTTGGAGGGGCTGGAGGGGTTTTGGGGGGTTTGAAATGGGTTTTGGGGGGTTTGAAATGGGTTTTGGGGGGGTTTGGGTGGGGTTTGCGGGAGCTGGAGGGTTTTGGGGGGGGTTTTGGGGGGGTTTGGGTTGGAATTTTAGGGGGTCTGGAGGGTTTTGGGAGGATTTGGGGGGGTTTTGAGGGGAATTTTGGGGGGCTGGAGGGGTTTGGGGGGGCTGGGTGGGATTTTCAGGGGGTTTGGGATGGGTTTTGGGGGGATTTGGGGGTGATTTTGGGGAGGTTTGGGTGGGATTTGGGTGGGGTTTGGAGGGTTTGGGTGGGATTTTGGGGGATTTGGGATGGGTTTTAGGGGGTTTGAAATGGGTTTTGGGGGGGGTTTGGGTGGGGTTTGCAGGGGCTGGAGGGGTTTGGGGGGGATTTTGGGGGGATTTGGGGGTGATTTTGGGGGGGCTGGAGGGGATTTGGGGGCTTTGGGGGGATTTGGGGGGGTTTGAAATGGGGTTTGGGGGAGCTGGAGGGTTTTAGCGGGGATTTGGGGGGGGTTTGGGATGGGTTTTGGGGGGTCTGGAGGGGTTTGGGGGAGATTTTGGAGGGTTTGGGGGGGATTTTGGGGGGATTTGGAGGAGTTGTGTGGGGTTTCGGGGGATTTTGGGGGGTTTGGGGGGGAGTTTGGGGGGATTTAGGGGGTTTGGAATGGGTTTTGGGGGGGTTTAAGGGATTTTGGGGAGATTTGGGGGTGATTTTGGAGGGCCTGGAGGGGATTTTTGGGAGGGGTTTGGGGGGGATTTTGGGGGGTTTGGGTGGTTTGGGATGGGTTTTGGGGGATTTGGGGGGAATTTGGGGGGGACTGGAGGGGATTTTTGGGGGGTTTAGGTGGGATTTTAGAGGGTTTGGGGTGGATTTTGGGGGTGCTGGAGGGGTTTGGGTGGGATTTTGGGGGGGTTTGGGGGGGATTTGTTGGGGTTTGGGATGGGTTTTGGGGGGTGTTGGGGAATTTTGGGGGTGATTTGGGGGGGCTGGAGGGGATTTTGGGGGAGGTTGGGGGGGGAGTTTGGGGGTTTGGGGCGGATTTTGGGGGGGCTGGGGGATTTTGGGGGTGATTTTGGGGGGGCTGGAGGGGATTTTGGGGGGGGTTGGAATGGGTTTTGGGCGGTTTGGGTGGGACTTGGGGGTGATTTTGGGGGAGTTTGCAGGGGTTTGGGTGGGGATTGGGGGAAATTTGGGGAGATTTGGGTGGAGTTTGGGGGGATTTGGGGGAGATTTTGGGGGATTTGGGATGGATTTTAGGGGTTTTGCAATGGGTTTTGGGGGGGCTGGGGGGGTTTGGGTGGGATTTTGGGGGGATTTTGGGGATTTTTAGGGGGTTTCTTGGGGGATTTTGGGGATTTTTGGGGGAGTTTTGGGGATTTTTGGGGTGATTTTGGGAATTTTTGGGGTGATTTTGGGAATTTTTGGGGTGATTTTGGGTGATTTTGGGGTGATTTTGGGGGATTTTGGGGGATTTTTGGAGTTTTGGGGATTTTTTGGGGGAATTTTTGGGGATTTTGGAGTTTTGGGATTCTGGGGTCAGTCTCCCCCCCCCGCAGCCCCCCCGGGACCCCTCCCCAGTTTCTGGATCCCGTCACTGACCCCCGAGGCCGGAGCCGAGCGGCTGCAGAAACCCGTGAGTGACCAACTGACCAGTGAATGACCACTGACCAACTGACCACTGAGTGACCACTGAGTGACCAACTGACCACTGACCACTGACCAACTGAGTGACCACTGAGTGACCACTGACCACTGAGTGACCAATGAGTGACCAACTGACCACTGAGTGACCAACTGACCACTGACCACTGAGTGACCAATGAGTGACCAACTAACCACTGAGTGACCAACTGACCAACTGACCAGTGACCACTGAGTGACCACTGAGTGACCAACTGACCACTGAGTGACCAACTGACCAACTGACCAACTGACCAATGAGTGACCACTGAGTGACCAACTGACCAACTGACCACTGACCAACTGACCACTGAGTGACCAACTGACCAACTGACCACTGACCAGTGACCACTGAGTGACCAACTGACCACTGAGTGACCAACTGACAAGTGAATGACCACTGAGTGACCAACTGACCACTGACCGCTGAGTGACCACTGAGTGACCAATGAGTGACCACTGAGTGACCAACTGACCAACTGACCACTGACCACTGAGTGACCAATGAGTGACCAACTGACCACTGAGTGACCACTGAGTGACCAATGAGTGACCAACTGACCACTGAGTGACCACTGACCACTGAGTGACCACTGAGTGACCAACTGACCAACTGACCACTGACCACTGACCAATGTGTGACCAGTGAGTGACCAATGAGTGACCAACTGACCACTGAGTGACCACTGAGTGACCAATGAGTGACCAACTGACCACTGAGTGACCAACTGACCACTGAGTGACCAACTGACCAACTGACCAACTGACCACTGAGTGACCACTGAGTGACCACTGACCAACTGTCCACTGAGTGACCAACTGACCACTGAGTGACCAATGAGTGACCACTGAGTGACCAACTGACCACTGACCAACTGACCAACTGACCAACTGACCACTGAGTGACCAACTGACCAACTGACCAATGAGTGACCACTGAGTGACCACTGAGTGACCAACTGACCACTGACCACTGAGTGACCACTGAGTGACCAACTGACCAACTGACCAACTGACCACTGACCACTGAGTGACCACTGAGTGACCGCTGAGTGACCACTGAGTGACCAACTGACCAACTGACCACTGAGTGACCAACTGACCACTGACCACTGAGTGACCACTGAGTGACCGCTGAGTGACCACTGACTGCTGAGTGACCAACTGACCACTGAGTGACCAATGAGCGACCAATGAGTGACCACTGACCACTGAGTGACCACTGAGTGACCAATGAGTGACCGCTGAGTGACCAACTGAACACTGAGTGACCAACTGACCAACTGACCACTGAGTGACCACTGAGTGACCAATGAGTGACCGCTGAGTGACCAACTGAACACTGAGTGACCAATGAGTGACCACTGACCAACTGACCAGTGACCACTGACCAATGAGTGACCACTGAGTGACCAACTGACCACTGAGTGACCAATGAGTGACCACTGAGTGACCACTGAGTGACCACTGAGTGACCAACTGACCACTGAGTGACCAATGAGTGACCACTGAGTGACCAACTGACCACTGAGTGACCAATGAGTGACCAACTGACCAACCCACCACTGAGTGACCAACTGACCACTGACCAACTGACCAACTGACCAATGAGTGACCACTGAGTGACCACTGACCAACTGACAACTGACTCTGGCTGGGTGGCCGGGGTGGTTTTGGGTGATTTTTTGGGTGATTTTTGGGTGAATTTTGGGTGATATTTGGGTGATTTTGGGTTGTTTTGGGCGATTTTGGTGGTTTTTGGAGCTTTGGGGTGATTTTGGGGTGATTTTGAGGTTTCTGGGGTGATTTTTGGGTGGTTTTGGGGTTTCAGGAGTTATTTTTGGGGTTTTGGGATTTTGGGTGATTTGGGGGGTTTTGGGGTGGTTTTCGAGGGTTTTTTGAGTGATTTTGGGGTCATTTCTGGGGTCATTTTTGGGTGATTTTGGTTGCTATTTGGGTGATTTTGGGGTGATTTTTGGTTTATTTTTGGGGTTATTTTCGGGTTATTTTGGGTGATATTTGTGTGATGTTGGGGTGATATTTGGGGTGATTTTGGGTGATGTTTGGATGATTTTGGGGTAATTTTCGGGTGATTTTTGGGTGATTTTTGGGTTATTTTGGGTGATTTTTGTTGCTACTTGGGTGATTTTTGGGGTGATATTTGGGTGATTTTTGGTTTATTTTTGTGGTTATTTTTGTGTTATTTTTGATGATTGTGGGGTGATTTTTGGGTGTTTTTTGGGTTATTTTGGGGTGATGTTCGAGTGATTTTTGGGTTAATTTGGGTGATTTTGGGGTGATTTTTGTGGTTATTTTTTTGGTTATTTTGGGTTATTTTGGGGTGATTTTCAGGTGATTTTTGTGGTTATTTTGGGGTGATTTTCGGGTGATTTTTGGGTTATTTTGGCTGATTTTGGGGTTATTTTGGGTTATTTTGGGGTGATTTTGGGGTTATTTTTGTGGTTGTTTTTGGGTGATTTTGGGGTGATTTTGGGCTTATTTTGGGTTATTTTTGTGGTTATTTTTGAGTTATTTTGGGGTGATTTTTGGGCTAATTTTGGGGTGATTTTTGGGCTGATTTTGGGGTGATTTTTTGTTTATTTTTGGGTTATTTTGGGGTGATTTTCGGGTGATTTTTGGTTTATTTTTGTGGTTCTTTTGTCTGATTTTGGGGTGATTTTGTCTGATTTTGGGGTGATTTTGTCTGATTTTGGCTCTCCTCTCCCAGGCCCGCGGGGTCCGGTGCCCCATGTCCGGCCGGAAGCTGCGCCTGGCCGAGCTGGTCAGTGTCCACTTCACTCCGGCCGAGCGCGGCCTGAGCCCGGGGCAGCTGCTGGCCCGAGAGCCGAGTGACCGCTACGTGTGCGCGCTGACCGGCGACCCGCTGGGCAACGCCACGCCCTGCGCCGTGCTCCGGCCATCGTGAGTGACCTTTGACCCCTGAGTGACCACTGAGTGACCACTGAGTGACCACTGAGTGACCGCTACGTGTGCGCGCTGACCGGCGACCCGCTGGGCAACGCCACGCCCTGCGCCGTGCTCCGGCCATCGTGAGTGACCCCTGAGTGACCACTGAGTGACCACTGAGTGACCACTGAGTGACCGCTACGTGTGCGCGCTGACCGGCGACCCGCTGGGCAACGCCACGCCCTGCGCCGTGCTCCGGCCATCGTGAGTGACCCCTGACCCCTGAGTGACCCCTGAGTGACCACTGAGTGACCACTGACCTGTGAGTGACCCTGAGTGACCCCCGAGTGACCGCTACGTGTGCGCGCTGACCGGCGACCCACTGGGCAACGCCACGCCCTGCGCCGTGCTCCGGCCATCGTGAGTGACCCCTGAGTGACCCCTGAGTGACCCCTGACCCCTGAGTGACCACAGAGTGACCCCCAAGTGACCATTGGCCGTGTGCCGAGGGGTTCAGTGGTCATTCTGTGCGTCAGTGGTCACTCTGTGTCACTGGTCACTCTGTCCCCAGGGGTTCCGTGGTCACTTTGGGTCACTCTGGGTCAGTGGTCACTCACTGGTCACTCTCCCCAGGGAGTCAGTGGTCACTCTGTGGGTCACTGGTCACTCTGTGGGTCACTGGTCACTTTGTCCCCAGGGGTTCTGTGGTCACTTTGGGTCAGTGGTCACTGTGGGTCACTGTGGGTCAGTGGTCACTCAATGGTCACTGTGGGTCACTGTGGGTCAGTGGTCACTCAGTGGTCACTCAGTGGTCACTCAGTGGTCACTCAGTGGTCACTCTCCAGGGGGTCAGTGGTCACTGTGGGTCACTGTGGGTCACTGTGGGTCAGTGGTCACTCAGTGGTCACTCGGTGGTCACTCAGTGGTCACTCAGTGGTCACTCTGGTCACTCCCAGGGGGTCACTGTGGGTCAGTGGTCACTCAGTGGTCACTCAGTGGTCACTCTGGTCACTCCCAGGGGGTCAGTGGTCACTGGTCACTCTGTCCTCAGGGGCTCAGTGGTCACTCTGGGTCAGTGGTCATTCTGTGTCCCCCCAGGGGGTCAGAGGTCACTGTGGGTCACTGTGGGTCACTGTGGGTCACTCAGTGGTCACTCAGTGGTCACTCAGTGGTCACTCTGTGTCCCCCCCCAGGGGGTCAGTGGTCACTCTGGCCGCTGTCCGGCGGTTGGTGCTCCCGGCCATGAGGGACCCCCTGAGTGACCCTGAGTGACCATTGGCCGTGTGCCCGGGGTCAGTGGTCACTCAGTGGTCACTCAGTGGTCACTCTGGTCACTCCCAGGGGGTCAGTGGTCACTCTGGCCGCTGTCCGGCGGTTGGTGCTCCCGGCCATGCGGGATCCCCTGAGTGACACCGCGCTGAGCGACGGAGACGTCATCGAGCTGCAGAGGGTGCGCGGGATTGGGGGGATTTGGGGATTTTTGGGGATTTTGGGGAATTTGGGGGGATTTTTGGGATTTTTGGGGGAATTTTTTGGGTTCTGGGGGAATTTTGGGGATTTTCGGGGGAATTTTTGGGGTTCTGGGGAAGATTTGGGGGATTTTTAGGGAGATTTTGGGGGGGATTTTTGGGGGTCTGGGGCGATTTTGGGGATTTTTGGGGATTTTTGGGGAGATTTTGGGGCAGTTTTGGGGGGATTTTTGGGGTTCTGGGGGAATTTTGGGGATTTTTTGGGAGGATTTTTGGCGGTATTTTGAGGGGTTCTGGGGAAAATTTGGGGATTTTTAGGGAGATTTTCAGAGTTCTGGGGGAATGATGGGGGGCTCTGGGAGGATTTTGGGGATTTTGGGGTTCTGTGGGGATTTTTGGGGTTCTGGGGGGGATTTTGGGAGTTTCTGGGGGGATTTTTAGGGAGATTTTGGGGGGATTTCGGGGGCATTTGGGGATTTTTAGGGAGGTTTGGGGCAGTTTTGGGGGGATTTGGGGGGGTTTGGGGTTCTGGGGGGATTTTTTGGGGGTGTTTGGGGGGAATTTTTGGGGGAATTTTGGGATTTTTAAGGGCAATTTTTGGGGTTCTGGGGTGGGATTTTTTGAGGGTCTGGGGGGCATTTGGGGGGATTTTTGGGGTTCTGGGGAGGATTTTGGGGATTTTTAGGGAGGTTTGGGGGGGGGTTTGTGGATTTTTGGGGATTTTTAGGGAGGATTGGGGGCGGATTTGGGGGGATTTTGGGGGGATTTGGGGATTTGGGGGGTTTTGGGGGGTTTGGGGGGATTTTTTGGGTTCTGGGGGAATTTTGGGGATTTTCGGGGGAATTTTTGGGGTTCTGGGGAAGATTTGGGGGCTTTTTAGGGAGATTTTGGGGGGGATTTTTGGGGGTCTGGGGCGATTTTGGGGATTTTTGGGGAGATTTTGGGGAGATTTTGGGGCAGTTTTGGGGGGATTTTTGGGGTTCTGGGGGAATTTTGGGGATTTTTTGGGAGGATTTTTGGCGGTATTTTGAGGGGTTCTGGGGAAAATTTGGGGATTTTTAGGGAGATTTTCAGAGTTCTGGGGGAATGTTGGGGGGCTCTGGGGGGATTTTGGGGTTCTGGGGGGATTTTTGGGGTTCTGGGGGGGATTTTGGGGGTTTCTGGGGGGATTTTTAGGGAGATTTTGGGGGCATTTGGGGGGCATTTGGGGATTTTTAGGGAGGTTTGGGGCAGTTTTGGGGGGATTTGGGGGGGGTTTGGGGATTTTTGGGGTTCTGTGGGGATTTGGGGGGGTTTAGGGGGAATTTTTGGGGGAATTTTGGGATTTTGGAGGGGATTTTTGGGGGGAATTTTTGGGGTTCTAGGGTGGGATTTTTGGGGGCTCTGGGGGGCATTTAGGGGAATTTTGGGGTTCTGGGGAGGATTTTTAGGGAGATTTTTGGGGGGGTTTTCTGGGGATTCTTGCGGGGTCTGGGAAGAATTTGAGGATTTTTTAGGGAGATTTTGGTGGATTTGGGTATTTTGGGAGGGGTTTTGGGGGAATTTTTGGGGGGGGTTTGGGACATTTGGGGGGGATTTTTGGGAGGATTTTTGGGGGGATTTGGGGGGTTCTGGGGGGATTTTGGGGATTTTTAGGGAGATTTTGGGGAAATTTTGGGGGTCCTGGGGTGGGATTTTGAAGGAATTTTTGGGGTTCTGGGGGGTATTTGGGGGATTTTTGGGAGGATTTTTGGGGGGTTCTGGGGGGATTTTGGAGATTTTTAGAGGGACTTTCAGAGTTCTGGGGGGGGATTTTCGGGGGGCATTTGGGGGATTTTTGGGAGGGGTTTTAGGGGGATTTTTGGGGTCCTGGGGGGGATTTGGGGGATTTTTAGGGAGGTTTGGGGGGGATTTTTGGGGGTCTGAGGTGATTTTGGGGATTTTTGGAGGGATTTTTGGGGGTCTGGGGTGATTTTGGGGGTTTTTGGGAGGATTTTCAGAGTTCTGGGGGGATTTTGGGGTGCTCTGGGGGGCATTTGGGGGAATTTTGGGGATTTTTAGGGAGATTTGGGGGGGTTTTGGGGGGCATTTTGGGACTTTTTGGGCACTGGGTGGGATTTTGGGGGGATTTTGGGGGAATTTTTGGGCTCTGGGTTGAATTTTGGGTGAATTTTTTTGGAATTTTGGTCTCTGGGTTGGATTTTGGGGGGATTTTTGGGATCTTTGGTCTCTGGGTTGGATTTTGGAACTTTTTGGGCTCTGGGTTGAATTTTGGGTGAAATTTTTGGGATCTTTGGGCTCTGGGTTGGATTTTGGGGGGATTTTTGGGGATTTTTGGGGATTTTTGGGCTCTGGGTTGGATTTTGCGGAGATTTTTGGGGATTTTGGGCTCTGGGTTGGATTTTGGGGTGATTTTGGGAATTTTGGGGTCCCCCCTCACCCCTTTTCCCCCCTTTCAGGGCGGGACCGGCTTCGCCGGGGCCGGAGTTTCCCTGGAGGCCAAAAAATCCCGTCCGGTGATGCAGGCCTAGGGGGGACCCCAAAATCCCCCCTGGGACCCCAAAATCCCCCCCAAAACCCCAAATTCCCGTTCATCCCCCCCAAATTCCCGTTCATCCCCCCCAAAACCCCTTTCATTCCACCCAAAACCCCTTTAATCCCCCCCAAAATCCCATTAAAAATCCCATTAATCCCCCCCAAAATCCCATTGATCCCCCCCAAAATCCCATTGATTCCCCCCAAATTCCCTTTAATTCCACCCAAACCCCCTTTAATTCTACCCAAAATCCCATTAACCCGCCCCAAAATCCCGTTAATTCCCCCCCAAAACCCTTTAATTCCACCCAAAATCCCATTAATCCCCCCCAAATTCTCATTAATCCCCCCCAAAATCCCATTAAAAATCCCATTAATCCCCCCCAAAATCCCATTAATCCCCCTCAAATTCCCATTAATCCCCCCCAAACCCCACTTCCCCATCCAAATAAACTCGTTTCACCCCAAAATTTCTTTTTTTCCGCTCCTTGAACCCCCAAAACCTTTTGGGGCGCCCCAAAAACCTTTTGGGGTTTGTGGCTCCATCGCCCTTTTAATTCCCCCCCCCGTGGGCCCCACCCGCGCATCGCCGCTTTAAGCCACGCCCCCTCCCGCGCCTCAACCAATCAGCGCTCAGCACACGGCATCGCTTTATTTGCATAGTGGGCGCGGCCTCAGCGGGCGTCACCCAATCAGCTTTGGAGAAAAATAAAGGGGCGGGGCCTCCGCGAAGCCACGCCCATCTCTGGTAAAAAGGGGCGGAGCCAAATTCGGGGCTGTCAGTCAAAGCCCGACTAGCCACGCCCCCTTTAAAAGGCCACGCCCCCTTTTTGGGGGGGGGGAAATCCCCAAAATTTCTGTGCGGGGGGGGGGGGGGAGGGACCCCCCCAAAATAAGACACTCGGTGGGGGAGGGGCAACCCCCAAATTTTGGGGGATCCCAACACTCGAACCCCCCAAATTTTGGGGAAAAATCCCAAAAAATTTCGGGATGAAAACCCCAAATTTGTGGGTGAACCACCCAAATATTGACCTGAAAACCCCCAAATTTTCGGGGAAAATCCCCAAATTTCAGGGAAAATCCCTAAATTTTGGGCTGAACCCCCCCAAATTTTTGGGAAAACCCCCAAATTTTGGACTGAAAACCCCAAATTTTGGGGTGAAACCCTCAGACTTTGAGCTGAAATTCCCTAATTTTTGGGAAAAACCCCAAAATTTTGGGCTGAAAACCTCAAATTTTGGGGTGAAACCCCCAGACTTTGAGCTGAAAACCCCAAAATTTTCGGGAAAAACCCCAAAATTTGAGCTGAAAACCCCAAAATTTTTTGCTCCTCCCCCGATATTTTTGGGGCACCCCAAAAATCGACGGGGGGGTGAAAAATCTTCATTTTAAGGCATTAAAAATGGGATTTTTTGTGGAATTTTTGGCTTTTTTTGGGTTTTTTTTGGGGTTTTTGGGGTTCCCGGATTTTGGGGGAATTTGGGGATTTTTGGGGGGTCACGGGGGGTCCCCCCCGAGCAGGCGGGGCCGGGGGGGATCCCCAAATATTTCGGTGCCGAACACCTCAAACCCCCAAATTTTAGGTAAAAACCCCAAATTTTGAGCTGAAACCCCCAAATTTTCGGGAAAAACCCCAAAATTTGAGCTGAAAACCCCAAAATTTTTTGCTTTACCCCCAATATTTTAGGAGCACCCCAAAACTCGATGAGGGGGTGAAAAATCTTAATTTTAAGGCTTTGAAATTGGGATTTTTTTTGTTTTTTGGTGGATTTTTGGGGGGTTTTTTGGGGGTTTTTGGGGTTCCCGGATTTTGGGGGATTTTGGGGATTTTTGGGGGGTCACGGGGGGTCCCCCCCGAGCAGGCGGGGCCGGGGGAGGTCCCCGAACATTTCGGTGCTTTCGCCGACCCCAACACCTCAAACCCCCAAATTTTAGGTAAAAACCCCAAATTTTGAGCTGAAAACCCCAAATTTTCGGGAAAAACCCCAAAATTTTGAGCTGAAAACCCCAAAATTTTTTACTCCTCCCCCCATTTTTTAGGGGCACCCCAAAAATCAATGAGGGGGTGAAAAATCTTCATTTTAAGGCGTTAAAAATGGGATTTTTTTGTGGAATTTTTGGCTTTTTTTGGGGTTTTTTCGGGGTTTTTGGGGTTCCCGGATTTTGGGGGATTTTGGGGATTTTTGGGGGGTCACGGGGGGTCCCCCCCGAGCAGTCGGGGCTGGGGGAGGTCCCCAAATATTTCGGTGCTTTCGCCGACCCCAACACCTCAAATCCCCAAATTTTAGGTAAAAACCCCAAATTTTGAGCTGAAACCCCCAAATTTTTGGGAAAAACCCCAAAATTTTGAGCTGAAAACCCCAAAATTTTTGCTCCTCCCCCAATATTTTAGGAGCACCCGAAAACTCGATGGGGGGGTGAAAAATCTTAATTTTAAGGCATTAAAAATGGGATTTTTTGGGGGTTTTTGGGGTTTTTTTGGGGGTTTTTGGGGTTCCCGGATTTGGGGGGATTTTGGGGATTTTTGGGGGGTCACGGGGGGTCCCCCCCGAGCAGGCGGGGCCGGGGGAGGTCCCCGAACATTTCGGTGCCGTCGTCGTCCTCCAACACCTCAAACCCCCAAATTTTAGGTAAAAACCCCCAATTTTGAGCTGAAATCCCCAAATTTTTGGGAAAAACCCCAAAATTTGAGCAGAAAACCCCAAAATTTTTTGCTTTACCCCCAATATTTTAGGGGCACCCCAAAAATCGATGAGGGGGTGAAAAATCTTCATTTTAAGGCGTTAAAAATTTGATTTTTGGTGGAATTTTTGGGTTTTTTGGGGGTTTTTTTGGTGTTTTTTGGGTTCCTGGATTTTGGAGGATTTTGGGGATTTTTGGGGGGTCACGGGGGGTCCCCCCCGAGCAGGTGGGGCCGGGGGAGGTCCCCAAATATTTCGGTGCTTTCGCCGACCCCAACACCTGAAACCCCCAAATTTTAGGTAAAAACCCCAAATTTTGAGCTGAAACCCCCAAATTTTTGGGAAAAAACCCAAAATTCGAGCTGAAAACCCCAAAATTTTTTGCTCCTCCCCCCATTTTTTAGGGGCACCCCAAAAATCAATGGGGGGGTGAAAAATCTTCATTTTAAGGCTTTAAAAATGGGATTTTTTTTGTTTTTTTTGGTGGATTTTTGGGGTTTTTCTGGGGTTTTTTGGGGTTCCCGGATTTTGGGGGATTTTGGGGATTTTTGGGGGGTCACGGGGGGTCCCCCCCGAGCAGGCGGGGCCGGGGGAGGTCCCCAAATATTTCGGTGCTTTCGCCGACCCCAACACCTCAAACCCCCAAATTTTAGGTAAAAACCCCAAATTTTGAGCTGAAAACCCCAAAATTTTCGGGAAAAACCCCAAAATTCGAGCTGAAAACCCCAAAATTTTTTGCTCCTCCCCCAATATTTTAGGGGCACCCCAAAAATCGACGGGGGGGTGAAAAATCTTCATTTTAAGGCTTTGAAATTGGGATTTTTTGTGGAATTTTTGGCTTTTTTTGGGGTTTTTTGGGGGTTTTTTGGGTTCCCGGATTTTGGGGGATTTGGGGATTTTTGGGGGGTCACGGGGGGTCCCCCCCGAGCAGGCGGGGCCGGGGGGGCTCCCCAAATATTTCGGTGCCGAACACCTCACACCCCCAAATTTTAGGTAAAAAACCCAAATTTTGAACTGAAACCCCCAAATTTTCGGGAAAAACCCCAAAATTTGAGCAGAAAACCCCAAAATTTTTTGCTTTACCCCCAATATTTTAGGGGCACCCCAAAAATCGATGAGGGGGTGAAAAATCTTCATTTTAAGGCGTTAAAAATGGGATTTTTTGTGGAATTTTTGGGGTTTTTTGGGGTTTTTTTGGTGTTTTTTGGGTTCCCGGATTTTGGGGAATTTTGGGGATTTTTGGGGGGTCACGGGGGGTCCCCCCCGAGCAGGCGGGGCCGGGGGAGGTCCCCGAACATTTCGGTGCCGTCGCCGCCCCCGCGCAGCGTCAGCGCCCGCATCGAGGCCGCGATGCGCTCCAGGTCCGGCGGCGCCTGCGGGGACCGAAATTTGGGAATTATTTTTGGGGGGGTTTGGGGGGATGAACCCCAAAATGATCCCAAAAATTGGGTTTGGGAGGGTGGGAATTGTTAAAAAAAAAAAATAACAAATTTGATGTAAATCCACCCAAAAAATCCTCAAAATCGCTACATAAAACCCCCCAAAATCCTCCAAATCCCCCCATAAAAACCCCAAAATTCCCCCTAAAAGCCACCAAATTCCTCCATTAAAAAAAACCTAAATTTACCCAAAATCCCCCCAAAATCCCCCATAAAAGCTCCCAAACCGACCCCCATAAGAAAACCCAAATTTACCCAAAATCCCCCAAATCTCCTGCAAATCCCCCCCAAATCCCCCAAAATCCCCTCAAATTACCCAAAAGCCCCCAACCCCCCCCAAAAAACACCCCAAATTTACCCAAAATACCCCCAACCCCCCCAAAATCCCCCAAATTTACCCAAAATTCCCCAAACCGCCCCCAAACTCCCCAAAATCCCCCCATAAAAACCCCTAAATCCTACAAAAACCCCCCAAAGCCCCCCATAAAAAAAAAACAAATTTACCCAAAATCCCCCCATAAAACCCCCAAATTTACCCAAATTTACCGAAAAGCCCCCCGAGCCCCCCCAAAAAAACCCCAAATTTACCCCAAACCCCCCCAAGCCCCCCCTAAAAAAACCCCAAATTTACCCAAAACCCCCCAAATTTACACAAAACCCCCCAATAAAACCCTAAAATTTACCCAAAAACCCCCCCAAACCCCCCATGAAAAACCCCAAATTTACCCAAAATCCCCCCAAACCCCCCCAAATTCCCCAAACCCTCCCAAACCCCCCATAAACCTATAAAACCCCCAAAACCCCCATAAAAAACCCAAATTTACCCCAAAACCCCTCAAACCCCCCATAAAAACCCCCAAATTTACCCAAACCCCCCCCAACCCCCCTAAAAAAACCCCAAATTTACCCAAAATCTTCCCAAACCCCTCCAAAATCCCCCATAAAACCCCCCAAAACCCCCCCATAAAAAAACAATATTTACCCAAAACCCCCCCAAACCCCCTAAAACCCCCCCCAAACCCCCCCTAAAAACCCAAATTTCCCCAAATTTTCCCAAATTTTCCCAAATTCCCCCCACCTTGCCGCCGCTGCCGGGGGGTCCCGGGGGGGGTCCCGGGGGGGGTCCCGGGGGGGCTCTCGGGGTCCATCGCGGCACCGACAGCGGCACCGAACGGGCCAGGGGGGGCCCGGGGGGGCTGCGGGGGGGCCCCTCCTCGGGGGGGCTCTCTGGGGGGAGAACAACGGAATTGGTAAAAAACAAAAAAAAACCAAAAAAATGGCTTAAAATGGGTTAAAATGGCTTAAAATCGCTTAAATCCCATTAAAATCCCATTAAAACCCCATTAAAATGGCTTAAAATCCCGTTAAAATCTCATTAAAATCCCATTAAAATGGCTTAAAATTGCTTAAAATCTCGTTAAAAATCCTGTTAAAATCCCTTAAAATCCCATTAAAATCCCCTTATAATCCCGTTAAAATCCCGTTAAAACGGCTTAAAATCCCGTTAAATTCACTTTAAAATACACTTTAAATGACCCAAAACCCTAAAAAAAACCCAAAAATCCCCCCAATAAATGGCTTTAAATCGCTTAAAATCCCGTTAAAATCCCTTTAAATTCACTTTAAAATACACTTAAAATGTCCCGAAACACCAAAATCACCCAAAACCCAAAAAAACCCCCAAAAATGGCTTAAAACCGCTTAAAACGGCTTAAAATCCCCTTAAAATGGCTTAAAATCCCCTTAAAATCCCATTAAAATCCCGTTAAAATCCCTTTAAATTCACTTTAAATACCTTTAAATGTTCTAAAACAGCAAAATCACCCAAAAAACCCCCAAAAAAATAGCTTAAAATGGCTTAACATCCCCTTAAAATCCCATTAAAATGGCTTAAAATCCCGTTAAAAATCCTGTTAAAATCCCTTAAAATCCCATTAAAATCCCCTTAAAATTGCTTAAAATCCCGTTAAAATCCTGTTAAAATCCCATTAAAGTGGCTTAAAATCCCCTTAAAATCCCATTAAAATCGCTTAAAATCCTGTTAAAATCCCATTAAAATGGCTTAAAATCCCATTAAAATCGCCAAATTTTGGTTCCCCCCCCCAAATTTTTCTCCCCCCACCCACAATTTTTGCCTACAGCCCCCAAAATTTTGCCCCCACCCCAGATTTTACCTCCCGCACCCCCAAATTTTGCCCCTCCCCCCCCAAATTTCGTCCCTTCCTCCCAAAATTTTGCCCCCCATCCCAAATTTTACCCCCCATCCCAAATTTTACCCGAAATTTTGAGCCCCCTCCCCCCCAAATTTTCCCTCTTTGCCCCAAATTTTACCCCAAAATTTTGCCTCCCCCGCCCCCAAATTCGGCCCCTCCCCCCACATTTGGCCCCTCCCCCCCAAATTTTACCCCAAATTTTGAGCCCCCACCCCTAATTTTTCCCCTCCCTCCCCAAAATTTTTGGTTCCACCCCCAAAATTTTGCCCCTCCCCCACCCCCAATCTGCCCCTCCCCCAATCCGCCCCTCCCCCACCGTCGCTGTCCCACTCGGGCTCCGCCTCTTCGCCGCCCCTCCCCCACTCCTCGTCCATCAGGAACAGCCCTGGGGGGGGGAGGGGACACGGGGGGGGTCAGGGACCCCAAAATTACCCCAAAAATCCAACATTACCCAAAAAATACAAAATTAACCCAAAATTACCCCGGGACCCCCCCCAAATCCAAAATTAACCAAAAAATACAAAATAAACCCAAAATTACCCCGGGACCCCCCCAAAATCCAAAATTACACAAAAAACCCCAAAATTCACCCCAAAATAACCCAAATTCCCCCCAAAAAACCCCAAAAATCCCTGGGACCCCTCCCCCAAATCAAAGATTCCCCCAAAAAATCCAAAATAAACCCAAAATAACCCCGGGACACCCCCAAAATCCAAAATTACCCAAAATTTCCCCAAAATATCCCAAATTCCCCAAAATCCCACCAGGACCCCACCAAAACCAAAATTACCCAAAAAACTCCAAAATTCCCCCAAAATATCCCAATTTCCCCCAAATTCCCCCAAAATTCCCCCGGGACCCCCCCAAAATCCAAAATAAACCCAAAATAAACCCGAAATCCCCCAAATCCCCTCAGAAATCCCTAAAATTCCCCAAATCCCCCCCAAAATTCCCCAAATCCCCTTAAAATCCCCGAAAATTCCCCAACTCACCAAAATTCTCCAAAATCTCTTCAAAATTCCCAAAAATTCCCCCAAAATTCCCAAAAATCTCCCAAATCCCCCCAAATTCCCCAAAAAATCCCCAAAATTCCCCTGAAAATTCCCCAAATCATCCCAAAATCCCCCCAAAATTCCCAAATCCCCCAAAAATCCCCAGAAAATTACCCAAATCACCCAAAATCCTCTCAAAAATCCCAAAAATCCCCTCAGAATTTGCCAAAATTCCCCAAAATCTCCCCAAAATCTCCTGAAATTCCCCCAAATTCCCCCAAATTCTCCAAAATCCTCCTAAATCACCCCAAAATAACCCCTGAATTCCCCAAAATCCCCCGAGATTCCCCCAAATCCACCCAAAAATCCCCAAAATCCCCCAAATCCCCCAAAATTCACCAAAAATTCCCCCCAAATCTCCCCAAAATTTCCAAAATCCCCCCAGAATTCCCCAAACTCGCCCAAATACACCCAAAAATCCCCCAAATCCCCCAAAACTCATCAAAAAATTCCCCAAACCCCCCAAAATTCCCCAAATCCCCCCAAACTCCCCTAAAAATCCCCCAAAATTCCCCCAAATCTCCCCAAAATCCCCCTAAAACGCCCCAAAATCCCCCCAAAGGTCCTTCAAACTCCCCCAAATCACCCCAAAATCCCCCCAGAATCTCCCCAAAATCCCCCAAATTCCCCCAAATTTCCCAAAAAATGCTCCAAAATTTCCAAAATCCCCCCCAAATTCCCTCAAAATCCCCCAAATCCACCCAAAAATCCCCCAAATCCCCCCAATCCCCTCCCCCTCACCGGTGACGTCACTGGGCTCCGCCCCCTCCCCCCTGGTCCGGGGGGGGCTCCTGGGGGGGGTCGCGGATTTTGGGGGGTCCCGGACGGGATTTTGGGGCGAATTCGGCGGAATTTGGGGCAGAAGTTTTGGGGCGTTTTTGGGGGTTTTTGGGGGGTCCCAGGGGAGATTTGGGGGGATTTTGGGGGGATTTTGGGGGATTTTGGGGGGTTTTAGGGGAGGATTTTGGGGTGAAAATTGAGGATTTTGGGGAGGATTTAAGGGAAAATTTTGGGGTGAAAAAGGAGCATTTTGGGGCTGATTTTGGGGTGAAAACTGAGAATTTTGGGGAGAAAATTGAGGATTTTGGGGAGGATTTCGGGGCTGATTTTGGGGTGAAAAAGGAGCATTTTGGGGTTCATTTTGGGGCTGATTTTGGGGAGAAAAATGAGGATTTAGGGAAGAAAATGGAGGATTTGGGGGAGAAAATTGAACATTTTGGGGTGAAAATTGAGAATATTGGGGAGGATTTTGGGGTAAAAATTGAGAATTTTGGGGTGAAAATTGAGAATATTGGAGAGAAAATTGAGAATATTGGGGAGGATTTTGGGGTGAAAATTGAGAATTTTGGGGTGAAAATTGAGAATTTTGGGATTCATTTTGGGGTGAAAATGGAGAATTTTGGGGTTCATTTTGGGGCTGAATTTGGGGCAAATTTGGCGGGTTTTGGGGCTGATTTTGGGGTGCAAAATGGGGATTTTGGGGCGGATTTTGGGGTGCGAATTGGGGATTTTGGGGTTCATTTTGGGGCAGATTTTGGGGTGAGAATTGGGGATTTTGGGTCAGATTTTGGGGTGAGAATTGGGGATTTTGGGGCTGATTTTGGGGTGCAAAATGGGGATTTTGGGGTTCATTTTGGGGCAGATTTTGGGGTGCGAATTGGGGATTTTGGGGCTGATTTGGGGGTGGGAATTGGGGATTTTGGGGCAGATTTTGGGGTGCAAAATGGGGATTTTGGGGTTCATTTTGGGGCTGATTTTGGGGTGAGAAATGGGGATTTTGTGGCGGATTTTGGGGCAGATTTTGGGGTGAATTTGGGGGATTTTGGGCCTGGCGGAGCAGCTCCCGCTGGATGTGGGGCAGGAATTTCCGCGTGGCGGCTCCCAGGGGTCCCGGCCCGTGCTGGAACACGGTGGGGACCCCCCCGGGCCCCCCCCAGCACCCCAAAATCGCCACGTCGGGACCCCCCGGACCCCCCCCCAGAGCCTCGGCAGCGGCCACGAGAGCGGCCCAGGGGGGGGGGAGGGGCGCGGGGGGGGAGGGGAGGACATGGGGGGGGTTGGGGGGATTTAGGGGGGGTTTGGGGGGGATTTGGGGGGATTTAGGGGGGATTTGGGGAAATTTGGGGAGGGTTTGGGGGGGCTGGGGGGGATTTGGGGGGGTCAGGAGGGGGTTTGGGGGAGATTTGGGGAAGATTTAGGGGGAGTTTCGGGGGGTCTGGGGGGGGTTTGGGGGGGTCCTGAAGGGGATTTGGGGGGGTCTGGGGAAATTTGGGGGGGATTTGGGGGGTCCTGGGGAGGTTTGGGGTAATTTGGGGAGGGTTTGGGGGGCTCCTGGGGAAGATTTGGGGGGATTTAGGGGGTCCTGAAGGGGATTTGGGGGGGATTTGGGGGGTCCTGGGAGGATTTTGGGGGGTCCTGGGGGTGTTTGGGGGGGTCTGGGGAAATTTGGGGGGGATTTGGGAGGGTCTGGGGGGGTTTTAGGGGGAAATTTGGAGGTGTTTGGGGGGATTTGAGGGGGTCTGGGGGGGATTTGGGGGAGATTTAGGGGGGAATTTGTGGGGGGTCTGGGGAAATTTGGGGGGGAGTTGGGGGGTCCTAAAGGGGATTTGGGGGGGGTTGAGGGGGTTTTGGGGAGGGTTTGGGGGGTTTGGTGGGGTCTGGAGGGGATTTGGGGGGTCCTGGGGGTGTTTGGGTGGGTTTGGGTGCTCCTGGGGGGGATTTGGGGGGGGGGGGTGGGGGGGATTTCGGGGGGTTTGGGGGGGTCTGGAGGGGATTTGGGGGAGTTTGGGGGTGTTTGGGGAGGATTTGGGGGGTCCTGAGGGGATTTACGGGGGGATTTTGGGGGGATTTAGGGGAGATTTCGGGGGTCTGGGGGGGATTTGGGGGGTCCTGAAGGAGATTTGAGGGTGTTTGGGCAGAATTTGGGGGGGTCTGGGGAGATTTGGGGGGGGGCTGGGTGGGATTTGGGGTGATTTGGGTGAAATTTGGGGGGTTTTAGGAAATTTGGGGGGCCCTGGAGAGGTTTGGGGGGGATTTAGGGGAAATTTGGGGGAATTTGGGGGGTCCCGGGGGAGATTTTGGGGGTCCCGGGGGGGTTTGGAAAGGATTTGGGGGGATTGGGGGGGGGGGTCCCGGGGGGTCACGCGGGGATTTTGGGGGGGAAAAAGGGAAATTTGGGGGTCCTGGGGGGGTTTTGGGGGTCCCGGGGGGGTTTGGGAGGGAAAAAAGGCAATTTCGGGATAAAAAAGGGGGAAATTGGGGTGAAAAAAGGGAAATTTGGGGGTAGAAAAGGAAATTTGGAGTAAAAAAGGGAGATTTGGGGGTAGAAAAGGGAATTTTGGGGTAAGAAAGGGAAATTTTGGGGTAAAAAATGGGAATTTCGGGGGTAGAAAAGGGAATTTTGGTGTCCCGGAGCGGATTTTAGGGGTCCCGGGGGAGTTTTTAGGGAAAAAAGGGAAATTTAGGGATAAAAAGGGGAAATTTGAGGTAAATAGGGGGAATTGGGGTTAAAAAAAGGGAATTTTGGGGTAAAAAAAGGGAATTTTGGGGTCCCGGTCGCGGGTCCCGCTCGGCGGCCCCGGGGCCGCCCCCGAGATGGCGGCGGAGGAAGAGGCGGGGCCAGGGAGCGGAATGGGCGGGGCCAAGGGGGAATCAACCAATGGCAGCGCGGCTTGGGGTGGGGGCGTGGTTAAGAGTGGGCGTGGTTTATGCAAAAATGAGCTGTTTTCACGGAGCCCATTGGTTAGCGTACGGAGTGGGCGTGGCTGATTACGAAAGAATGGGCGTGGTTTCTTCGCGGAGGGGCGTGGCCCGCGGTTTTCATTGGTCGGTGAGGCGGGATGGAACCGGAAGTGGGCGTGGCCACGCGGCGGAAGCGGAAGCGCGGGGAGCGGCCATGGAGGAGGCGGCGGGAGGGAGGGTGAGGCCGCCCCTCCCCCACCCCTAAAAATAACCCCAAAAAACCCAAAAATCTCCCAAAAATTCCCCAAAATCCCCCAAACTTCCCCCAAATCCCGCCAAAAATCCCCAAAATTTCCCCCAAATTTCTCGAAAAATGCCCGAAAATTCCTCAAAATGTCTCCAAATCCCTCCAAAATTCCCCCAAATCTCCCCAAAAATCCCCCAAAATCCCCCCAAACCCCCCAAATAACAAAAAAATCCCTTAAATCCCCTCCAGACCCCCAAAATTCCCCCAAATCCCCACAAAATTCCCCAAATCAACCCAAAATTCCCCGAAATCCTCCCCAAATCCCTCCAAAAGTCTCCAAAATTCCCCAAAATTACAAAAAAAAACCCCCAAAAAATCCCTCAAATCCCCTCCTGACCCCCAAAATTCCCCAAAATCACCCCAAAATTCCCCCAAAATTCTCAAAAATCTTCCCAAAATTCCCTCCAAAATTCCCCAAATCCCCCCAAAATTCCCCAAAATCCCCTCAAAATACCCTGAAATCTCCAAAAATGCTCTCAAAATTCCCCAAAATGCCCCAAAATCCCCCCAAAATTCCCAAAATTTCCCCAAAATTCCCTAAATCCCCTCAAAATCTCCCAAAATCCCCCCCAAAATCCCCCCCAAAATTCCCCAAAATTCCCCAAAATGCCCCCCAAATGCCCCAAAATCTCCCCAAATCACCCCAAAAGTTTTAAAATCTCCCAGGGACCCCCAAAATGCCCCCCGGGATCCCCAAAACCCCGTGGGGGGCACCATGGGGGGGGGCAGGGACAGGGACAGGGACAGGGACGGTGACACGGTGACAGTGACAGTGACATGGTGATAGTGACACCGTGACAGTGACACGGGGGTGGCAGTGACGGTGACACAGTGACAGTGACAGTGTGACATGGTGGTGGCAGTGGCAGTCACACGGTGACAGTGACACGGTGACACAGTGACAGTGACACAGTGGTGACAGTGACACGGGGGTGACAGTGATGGTGACACAACACTGACTGTGACCCCAGGTGACCCCTGAGTGACCCCTGGGTGACCCCTGGGTGACCCCAATGACCCCTGTATGACCCCTGGGTGACCCCAATGACCCCTGGGTGACCCCTGGGTGACCCCAATGACCCTTGGATGACCCCTGAGTGACCCCAGTGACCCCTGGGTGACCCCACCCCAAATGATCCCTGGGTGACCCCAGTGACCCCTGGGTGATCCAAATGACCCCTGGATGACCCCTGAGTGACCCCAATGACCCCCGGGTGACCCCAATGACCCCAGAGTGACCCCTGGGTGACCCCTGGGTGACCCTGAGTGACCCAAATGACCCCTGGGTGACCCCAATGACCCCTGAGTGACCCCAGTGACCCCTGGGTGACCCCAGTGACCCCTGGGTGACCCCAATGACCCCTGGATGACCCCTGGATGACCCCTGTGTGACCCCTGACTGACCCCTGGCTGACCCCCGGCTGTTCCCCGGCTGTTCTGCCCCTCCCCCCGCTGCCCAGGTGCTGTTGGCCCTGCCCGGGGCGGCTGTTCCCGGGTCCCTCCCCCCGCGGCCGGGAGAGCTCCGAGTGCGCCTGAGACCGGTCAGACTGTACTGGTTTATACTGGGAGGGACTGGGGGGGACTGGGAGGGAACTGGGAGGGGACTGGGATAAACTGGGAGGGAACTGGGACAGACTGGGATGGACTGGGAGGGACTGGGATGGAAATGGGAGGGAACTGGTTTATACTGGGATATACTGGGAGGGGACTGGGAGGGACTGGGGGGGACTGGTTTATACTGGGATGGACTGGGGGGGAACTGGGGGGGACTGGTTTATACTGGGAGGGACTGGGACGGACTGGGAGGGACTGGGACATACTGGTTTATACTGGGAGGGACCGGGGGGGACTGGGAGGGAACTGGGGGGAACTGGTTTATAGTGGGAGTCAAATTGGGAGCACTGGGAGGGGGAACTGGGAGGGGCTGGGAGGGACTGGGATATACTGGGAGGGAACTGGGGGGAACTTGGGGGGACTGGGGGGAACTCGGACAAACTGGGAGTCAAACTGGGAGCGCTGGGAGGGAACTGGGGGGGACTGGGAGGGACTGGGAAGGGACTGCAACATACTGGTTTATACTGGGATGGACTAGGAGGAGATTAGGTTGTACTGGTTTATACTGGGATGGAACTGGGAAGGAATTGGGGGGGACTGGGACAAACTGGGAGGGACTGGGGAGAACTGGTTTATACTGGGAGTCAAACTGGGAGTGCTGGGAGGGGGAACTGGGAGGGACTGGGATGGACAACCACTGGTCCATACTGGTTTATACTGGTCTATACTGGTTTATAATGGTCTATACTGGTCCCTACTGGTTTATACTGGTCCATACTGGTCTGTACTGGTTTATACTGGTCCGTACTGGTTTATACTGGTTTATACTGGTCCGTACTGGTTTCCAGCCCCAGGAACTGGTGCTGGAATGGGAACCCCTGGAGGGGAACTGGGAACTCCCTGAGGAGACGGTGAGACCCAAAAAATCCCAAAATAACCCCAAAAATCCCCCAAAAAAATCCCAAAATCCCCCTAAAAAAACCCAAAAAATCCCCCAAAAAATCCCCCTAAAAAAATCCCCAAAATTCCCCCCAAAAAATCCCGGAAAATTTCCAGAATTATCCCAAAATCCCCCAAAATCCTTCAAAAAATCCCCCAAAAAACCTCAACATCCCCCCAAAATCCCCCCCAAAAATCCCCCCCAAAAACCCCCAAAATTCCCAAAATTTTCCCCACATCCCCAAAATTTCCCCCAAATTCCCTAAAATTCTCCACATTTCCCCAAAATTTTTCCCAATCCACCCAAAAGGTTTCAAAAATTCCCCAAAATCCCCAACATTTCCCAAAAATTCCTCCCTAAAATCCCCCTAAAATCCCCCTAAAATCCCCAAAATCTCCCCAAATATCCCTAAATTTTCCCCAAATCCCCAAAATTTCCTCAAAATCCCCCTAAAATCCCTCTAAATTCCCCCAAAATCCCCCCAAAAATTCCAAAAATTTCCCCCACATCCCCAAAATTTCCCCAAAATTTTGCCCAATCCCCCCAAAAGGTTTCAAAAATTTCCCAAAATCCCCAAAAGTCGCCAAAATTTCCCAAAAATTCCCCCCTAAAATCCCCAAAATATCCCCAAATTTCCCAAATTTTCCCAAAATCCCCAAAATTTCCCCAAATATCCCCAAAATTCCCAAAAATGTTCCCAAATTCCCCCAAAATTCCCCCCAAATCCCCCTAAAATCTCTCTAAAATCCTCAAAATTTCCCAAGTTTACCCCCAAATCCCCAAAATTTTCCCAAATTCCCCCAAAATCTCCCTAAAATTTCCTAAAATCCCCCCAAATGTTCCCCAAATCCCCCCAAAACCCCCCAAATTTCCCCAAAATCCCCCCAAATTCCCAAAATTTTCCCCGCATCCCCAAAATTTCCCCAAAATCCCCCCAAATTCCCTAAAATTTTCCACACATCCCCAAATATCCCCAAAATTTCCCCAAAATCCCCCAAAATTTCTCCCAATGCCCCCAAAAGGTTTCAAAAATTCCCCAAAATCCCCAAAAGTCCCCACAATTTCCCAAAAATTCCCCCTAAAATCCCCAAAACCTCCCCAAAATCTCCCCAAATTTCCCCAAATTTTCTCCAAATCCCCCAAATTTCCCCAAATTTCCCCAAAATTCCCAAAATGTTCCCAAATTCCCCCAAAATTTCCCAAAAATGCTCCCAAAAATTCCCCTTAAATCTCTCTAAAACCATCCAATTTTCCCAATTTTACCACAAAATCCCCAAAATTTTCCCAAATTCCCCCAAAATCTCCCTAAAATTTCCTGAAATCACCCCAAATTTCCCCAAAATCCCCCAAATTCCCCAAATTTTCCCCACATCCCCAAAATTTCCCCAAATTCCCCCTAAATTCCCAAAATTTCCCCAAAATTTTTCCCAATCCCTCCAAAATGTTTCAAAAATTCCCCAAAATCCCCCAAAGTCCCCAAAATTTCCCAAAAATTCCCCCCCAAAATCCCCAAAACCTCCCCAAATTTCCCCAAATTTTCCTGTAAATCCCCCAACTCTCCTCAATTTTCCCCAAATTTTCCCCAAATTTCCCCAAAATCCCCAAAATCCCCAAATTTCCGAATTTCCCGCAGGAGCCGCCCGATCCCGGCTTTGAGCCCGACTGGGCCGTGCTGAGCCCCCCCCGGCCCCGCCCCGGTACCACAATGCGGGACAAATTTGGGAATAATTTGGGAATTTTGGGATAATTTGGGAATAATTGGGGAATTTTGGGGGAATTTTGGGGGAAATTTGGGGGAAATTTGGGGGAAAATTGGGGGAATTTTGGGGGAAAATTTGGGGAAAATTTGGGGAAAATTTGGGAATTTTGGGGAAATTGTGGAGAAAATTTGGGGAAAATTCAGGAATTTTGGGGGAAATTTGGGGAAAAATTTAGGAAATTTTGGGGGGAATTCTGGGGGAAATTTGGGGGAAATTTGGGAAATATTTGGGGAATTTTGGGCGAAATTTGGGGTAAATTTAGTGAAAATTTGGGAATTTGGGGGGAATTTGGGGAAATTTGGGACATTTTGGGGATTTGGGGGAAAATTTGGGAAAACTGGGGGAATTTTTTGGGAAATTTGGGGAAAATTTGGGGAAATTTGGGGAATTTTGGGGATTTGGGGGAATTTTTGGGGAAATTTGGGGTAAATTTGGGGAAAATTTGGGGGGAATGTCAGGGAAAGTTGGGGAATTTTTGGAAAATTTGGGGATTTGAGGGGAATTTGAGGAAATTTTGGGGATTTTGGTGGAAATTTGAGGAAATGTGGGAAAATTGAGGGAGATTTGGTGGGATTTTGGGGGAATTTCTGGGAAAATTGGGGAATTTTGCGAAAATTTGGGGATTTTGGGGGGATTTTGGGGATTTTGGGTTAATTTTGCCCATTATTTGGTTGTTTTTTGGCCGATTTCGGAGCCGATTTTTGGGTTCATTTTGGCTGTTTTTTGGCTGATTTCGGAGCCGATTTTTGGGTTAATTTTGGCTGTTTTTTTGCCGATTTCGGAGCCGATGTTTGGGTTAATTTTGCCCATTTTTGGCTGTTTTTTGGCTGATTTCGGAGCTAATTTTTGGGTTCATTTTGCCCTTTTTTGGGTCATTTTTTGGCCGATTTCAGAGCCGATTTTTGGGTTAATTTTGGCTGTTTTTTGGCCGATTTCTGTGGGATTTTTGGGTTAATTTTGGCTATTTTTTGGCTAATTTCTGTGGGATTTTTGGGTTAATTTGCCCATTATTGGGTCGTTTTTTGGCCGATTCCTGTGGGATTTTTGGGTTAATTTGCCCATTATTGGGTCGTTTTTTGGCCGATTTCGGAGCTGATTTTTGGGTTAATTTTGGGTGTTTTTTGGCCGATTTCGGAGCCGATTTTTGGGTTAATTTTGGCTGTTTTTTGGCCGATTTTGGAGCCGATTTTTGGGTTAATTTTGGCTGTTTTTTGGCCGGTTTCAGAGCCAATTTTTGGGTTCATTTTGCCGATTTTTGGCTGGTTTTTGGCCAATTTCTGAGCCGATTTTTGAGTTCATTTTGGCTGTTTTTTGGCCGGTTTCAGAGCCGATTTTTGGCTGGTTTTTGCCCATTTTTGGGTCATTTTTTGGCCGATTTCTGTGGGATTTTTGGGTTAATTTTGGCTGTTTTTTGGCCGATTTCGGAGCCAATTTTTGGGTTCATTTTGCCCATTTTTGGGTCATTTTTTGGCCGATTTCTGAGCCGATTTTTGCGTTAAATTATCAGATTTTTGGGTCATGTTTTGGCCGATTTCTGTGGGATTTTTGGGTTTATTTTGGCTGTTTTTTGGCCAATTTCGGAGCTGATTTTTGGGTTAATTTTGGCTGTTTTTCGGCCGATTTCGGAGCCGATTTTTGGGTTAATTTATCCCATTTTTGGGTTGTTTTTTGGCTGATTTCTGTGGGATTTTTTGGTTCATTTTGGCTGTTTTTTGGCCGATTTTGGAGCCGATGTTTGGGTTAATTTTGGCTGTTTTTTGGCTGTTTTTTGGCCGATTCCTGTGGGATTTTTGGGTTAATTTTGCCAATTTTTGGCGGTTTTTTGGGTGATTTTGGAGCCGATTTTTGTGTTAAATTATCGATCTTTTGGGTCTTTTTTGGCTGATTTCTGTGGGATTTTTGGGTTAATTTTGCCCATTTTTTGGACGATTTCTGTGGGATTTTTGGGTTCATTTTGGCTGTTTTTTGGCCGATTTCAGAGCCGATTTTTGGGTTCATTTTGGCTGTTTTTTGGCCGATTTCTGTGGGATTTTTGGGTTAATTTATCCCATTTTTGGGCTGTTTTTTGGCCGATTTCTGTGGGATTTTTGGGTTAATTTATCCCATTTTTGGGTCATGTTTTGGCCAATTTCAGAGCCGATTTTTGTGTTAAATTATCAGGTTTTTGGGTCATGTTTTGGCCTATATCAGAGCCGATTTTTGGGTTAATTTTGCCCATTTTTGGTGTTTTTTGCAGGCCGGGCCGGGGGTTTCTCGCTGGCGCTGCGGGAGCTGCGGGGGCTGCGCCGGGGCCCCCCCGGGCTGAGCCCCCCCGGGCTGAGCCCCCCGACTTTGGAGCTGCTGCCCCGGGGGGGGCCCCGACCCCCCCCCCTGCACCTCCCCCGGGGGGGGCTCCGAAAACTGCGGCGACTTTTGGGGTCACACCTGCGCCCGTGAGTAGCGCCCCAAAAACACCGAAAATACACCCAAAACCACCCCAAAAATCTGCCCAAAAATACCCCAAAAGCCTCCCCAAAAAATCCACCCAGAAACACCCCAAAATCCACCCAAAAACACCCCAAAACCACCCAAAAATCTGCCCAAAAATACTCCAAAACCCTCCCCAAAAATCCACCCCAAAACCCACAAAAATCTGCCTAAAAACACCCCGAAAACCACAAAAATCTGCTCAAAAATACCCCAAAACCCTCCCCAAAAATCCACCCAAAAACACCTGAAAACCCTCCCCAAAAAACCCAAAAATCCACCCAAAAATACCCCAAAAACCCCAAAAATCCACACAATAATACCCCAAAACCCTTCCCCGAAAACCCACCCAAAAATACTCAAAAACCCCAAAAACCCACCCAAAAATACCCGAAAACCCTCCCAAAAACCCCAAAAATCAACCCAAAAACGCCCCGAAACCCCCAAAACTGTTCCCAAAAACTCCTCCCAAAATCGTCCCAAAAACCCCAAAAATGCACCCAAAAAACCCCCAAAACCCCCGGGACCCCTCCCCAATTTCGGGAACCCCTCCCCAATTTCGGGACCCCTCCCCAATTTCGGGACCCCTCCCCAATTTGGGGACCCCTCCCCAATTTTGGGACCCCTCCCCAATTTCGGGACCCCTCCCCAATTTCGGGACCCCTCCCCAATTTGGGGACCCCTCCCCAATTTCGGGACCCCTCCCCAATTTCAGGGACCCCTCCCCAATTTCGGGACCCCTCCCCAATTTTGGGGACCCCTCCCCAATTTCGGGGACCCCTCCCCAATTTCGGGACCCCTCCCCAATTTCAGGGACCCCTCCCCAATTTCGGGACCCCTCCCCAATTTCAGGGACCCCTCCCCAATTTCGGGACCCCTCCCCAATTTCAGGGACCCCTCCCCAATTTAAGGGCCCCCCCCCCCAATTTCAGGACCCCCCCCCCCAATTTCAGGGACTCCTCCCCAATTTCGGGACCCCTCCCCAATTTCGGGACCCCCCCCCAATTTTGGGACCCCTCCCCAATTTCAGGGACCCCTCCCCAATTTCAGGGACCCCTCCCCAATTTTAGGGACCCCCGGGACCGGCGGCTGCTGCTCGTGGTGACCCCCGAGGACCCCCCCGAGCCCCCCCTGGGGCCCGGCCTGGTCACCGTGAGCACCCCAAAAACGGGGGGGGTCCCCAAAATATGGGGGGGACCCCAAAATATGGGGGGGGACCCTAAAATATGGGGGACCCCAAAAATGGGGAGAGGGTCCCCAAAATTTGGGGGGTGGATCCTAAAATATGGGGGAGGCAACAAAAATAGGGGGTCCTAAAAATGGGGGGGGTCGTAAAATATGGGGGACCCAAAATAAGAGGGGGGACGACCCCAAAATATGGGGGGGGTCCCCAAAAATTTGGGGTGTCCTAAAATGGGCGGTTCCTGGGATGGTTTTGGGCTGATTTTGGGGTTATTTGGGGATTATTTTGGGCTGATTTTGGGGTAATTTTGGGCTGATTTTGGGGTTATTTGGGGCTGATTTTGGGGTAATTTGGGGATTATTTGGGGTTATTTGGGACTGATTTTGGGGTTATTTCAGGATAATTTTTGGGTTATTTTGGTACGATTTTGGGGTTCTTTTGGGGTTCTTTTGGGGTAATTTCGGGCTGGTTTTGGGATCACTTTGGGGTTATTTTGGGGTTACTTTGGGATGATTTTGGGGTAATTTTGGGATAATTTGGGGATTATTTTGGGGTAATTTTGGGTTGGTTTTGTGATCATTTTGGGGTTATTTTGGGATGATTTTGGTTTTATTTTGGGTTTTTTGGGGGTTATTTGGGGCTGATTTTGGGGTTATTTTGGGGTTATTTTGGGGTTATTTTGGGGCTAATTTTGGGGTGATTTTGGGACTATTTTGGGGTGATTTGGGGCCGATTTGGGGTTCCCTGACCCCCTCTCTGTCCCTCCCCAGCGCCTCCTGCGGGGTCCCTGCGCCGCCACCCTCGGGGGGCTCGGCCGCCTCCTGCGGGGGGCGGGGCCCGAGGGGGCGGGGCCGGAACCGCCCTTCGAGGTGCTCGGCGAGGTGAGTGGGCGGGGCCTGAAGGGGCGTGGTCAAAGGGGGCGGGGCTTAACGGGGTGTGGTCAGAGGGGCGGGGCTTAGCAGGGCGGGGCCAGAGCCGCCCTTCCAGGCGCTCATTAGCATGAGTAGGCGGGGTTTAATGGGGCGTGGTCAAATGGGCGGGGCTTATCAGGGAGTGGTCAAAGGGGCGGGGCCAGAGCCATCCATAGAGGAGTTCAGTGACATAAGTGGGTGGGGCTTAACGGGGCGTGGTCAAAGGGGCGTGGCTTAGTGGGCGGGGTCAGAACCGCTCTTCAGGGGCTCATTAGCATGAGTGGGCGGGGCTTAATGGGGCGTGGCCAAAGGGGTGGGGCAGAGCCAGAGCCGCCCTCTGAAGAGCTCAGTGACATCAGTGGGCGGGGCTTAAAGGGGCGTGGTCAAAGGGGCGGGGCTTAATGGGGCGGGGCCAGAATCGACCTTCCAGAGGCTCATTAGCATGAGTGGGCGGGGTTTAACAGGGCGGGGCCAAAGGGGCGGGGCTTAGTAGGGCGGGGCCAGACCCGCCCTTTGATGAGTTCCGTAACGTGAGTGGGCGGGGCTTAGCGGGGCGTGGTCAAATGAGCGGGGCTTAAAAGGGGCGTGGTCAAAGGGGCGGGGCTTAGCAGGGTGGGGGCGGGGCCAGAGCCGCCCTTGGAGAAACTCAGTGACATAAGTGGGCGGGGCTTTAACAGGGCGTGGCCAAAGGGGCGGGGCCTGAGGGGCGGCTCAGTGTTGTGAGTGGGTGGGGCTTAAATCGGCGTGGTCAAAGGGGCGGGGCTTAGTGGGGTGGGGCCAGAGCCGCCCTTCCGGGGGCTCATTAGCATGAGTAGGTGGGGCTTAACTGGGCGTGGTCAAAGGGGGCGGGGCTTAAAGGGGTGGGGCCAAACCCAGCCTTTAATGAGCTCAGTGACATAAGTGGGTGGGGCTTAATGGGGCGTGGTCAAAGGGGCGGGGCTTAGCAGGGCGGGGCCAGAGCAACCCTTTCAGTGGCTCATTAGCATGAGTGGGCGGGGTTTAATGGGGCGTGGTCAAAGGGGTGGGGCTCACCAGGCAGGGCCAGAGCCGCCTTTTGAAAGGCTCATTAGCATAAGTGGGTGGGGCTTAAAGGGGCGTGGCCAAAGGGGCGGGGCTTAGCAGGGCGGGGTCACCCTTAGAGGAGTCCAGTGACATAAGTGGGTGGGGCTTAATGGGGCGTGGTCAAATTGGGCGGGGCTTAGTGGGCGGGGCCAGATCCACCCTTCCAGGGGCTCATTAGCATGAGTAGGCGGGGTTTAATGGGGTGTGGTCAAAGGGGCGGGGCTTAGCAGGGCGGGACCACTCAGAGGAGCTCAGTGACCTGAGTGGGCGTGGCTTAATGGGGCGTGGTCAAAGGGGCGGGGCTTAAAGGGGCGGGGCTTAGCGGGCGGGGCCAGAGCCGCCCTTCCGGGGGCTCATTAGCATAAGTAGGTGGGGCTTACTGGGGCGAGGCAAGGGGCGGGGCCAAACATGCGGGGGCGGGGCTTAGCCGGGGATTCATTCTGGGCCTTTTTTTGGGGGATTTTTGGGGTTTTTAAAAGGAATTTGGGCATTTCTGGGGCGGTTTTGGGGGGATTTTTGAGGATTTTGGGGGTTTGGGGGAATTTTGGGGGTTTAGGGGGATTTTTTGGAGGGAATTTGGGATTTTTGGGGCATTTTAAAGGCCCGGGGGGGATTTTGGGGGATTTTGAGGGAGTTTTGGGGGATTTCAGGCGTTTAGGGGGACTTTGGGGGTTTTGAGGGATTTTTGGGAGGATTTTGGGGGTTTGGTGGAATTTTGACAGAGTTGGGGGAGGTTTGGGGGGATTTGGGGGGTTTTGAGGGATTTTTGGGGGATTTGGGGGAAATTTGAGGGGGATTTGGGGGGTGCGGGAGGATTTTGGGCTTTTTGGGGGGATTTGGGGGGGTTTGAGTGAGTTTGGGGGAGATTTGGGGGATCTGGGGGGGATTTTTGGAAGGATTTTGGGATTTTGTGGTTTTGGGGAATCTGACAGAATTTTGAGGTGATTTTGGGGAGGTTTTGGGGGAATTCTGGAATTTTTGGGGGGATTTGAGGCAGATTTGGGGGATTTTGGGGGGAACTTTGGGGTTTTGAGAGAGATTTTGGGTGAATTTTGGTGGTTTTGAGGGAATTTGGGGAATTTTTAAATGTGGGCGTGGCCTGACAGACCCCGCCCCTTGCAGGTGCCGTTGGAGCCCCGCCCCTCCCCCGCTCGGGGGCCGCCATTGGCTGTCGCCGATTGGGGGCGGGGCCTGGACCCGGAAGTGCTGCGGGAGCGAATCTTCAGAGGGGTGAGGGGCGGGGCCTCGGGGGGCGGGGCCGGAGTGGGCGTGGCCATGGCCTGGGCGCCCAAAATTGACCCAAAATTGACCCCAAATGTCCCCAAAAAATCCCAAATTCCCCCCAAAAAATCCCAAACCCCCCAAAAATGTCCCTAAAAATCCCAAATCACCCTGAAAATGTCCCAAAATCTCCCCAGAATTCCCCAAATCACCTCAAAATGTCCCCCAATCCCCTCAAAATCCCCCTAAAATCTCTTTAAAAGCCCCAATATCTCCCCAAATCCCCCCAAATCTACCGAAATCTCCCCAAAAATCCCAAATCCCCAAAAAAATCTCCCCAAAATCCTGAATCCTCCCAAATCCCTCAAGATCTTCCCAAAAGTCCCCAAATCACCTAAAATGTCCCCAAAATCCCCCCAAATACCCCCAAATACCCCCAAAATCTCCCCCAAATCCCCCCAAATTCCCCAAAATTCTCCCCAAATCACCACCAAATCCTCCCAAAATGTCCCCAAATCTGCCCAAAATCTCTCCAAACCCTCCCAAATCCCCCCAAAATCCCCCCCAAAATTTCCCAAAATCCCCTCAAATTCTCCCTAAATTCCTCCAAAGCCCCCCAAAATCTCCCCAAATCTCCCTAAAATCCCCCACATATCTTCCCAAATCCCCCCAAATCCCCCCAAAACCCCCCCAAAATCCCCCCCAAATCCCCCAAACCCCCCAAAATCTCCCAAAATCCCCCAAAATCTCCCCAAACCCCCCAAAATCCCCCCAAAATTCCCCCCAAATTTCGGCAGGGCGTGGTCCCCGAGCTCCGGCCCCGGGCCTGGCCCTTCCTGCTGGGGCTGCGGAATTTGGGGGACCCCGGGGGGACCCCCGAGAGCCCCGAGGGGACCCCGGACCCCGCCCGGGCCCGCAGGTCAGGCTGGGGGTCAAAATTGGGGTGTGGGGGGTCAAAATTGGGGTGTGGGGGGTCAAAATTGGGGTGTGGGGGGTGAAAATTGGGGTGTGGGGGGTCAAAATTGGGGTTTGGGGGGTCAAAATTGGGGTTTGGGGGGTCAAAATTGGGGTTTGGGGGGTGAAAATTGGGGTGCGGGGAGTGAAAATTGGGGTGTGGGGGTGAAAATTGGGGTTTGGGGGGGTCAAAATTGGGGTGTGGGGGGTCAAAATTGGGGTTTGGGGGTCAAAATTGGGGTGTGGGGGTCAAAATTGGGGTGTGGGGTGCCGAAATTGGGGTGTGGGGGGTCAAAATTGGGGTTTGGGGGGTCAAAATTGGGGTGTGGGGGGTCAAAATTGGGGTGTGGGGTGTCGAAATTGGGGTGTGGGGGGTCAGAATTGGGGTTTGGGGTGTGAAAATGGGGGTTTGGGGGGTCACAGGGAGGTTTTGGGGTGTTTTTTGGGGTGGGTTTGGCTGGTTTTGGGGTGCCAGGGAAGTTTTTGGGCTGTTTTTGGGGTGTTTTGGGCTGGTTTTGGGGTGGTTTTGCTTTTTTTGAGGTGCTAAGGATGTTTTGGGGGGGGTTTGGCTGGTTTTGGGGTGTTTTTCGCTGTTTTTTGGGGTGCTAAGGATGTTTTGGGGCCGTTTTTGGCTGGTTTTGGGGTGTTTTTGGGGAGCTAAGGATGTTTTTGGGGCGTTTTTGGCTGTTTTTGGGGTGCTAAGGATGTTTTTGGCTGGTTTTGGGGTGTTTTTTTGGTTGTTTTTGCTGTTTTGGGTCGTTTTTGGGCTGGTTTTGGGGTGCTAAGGATGTTTTTGGGGTGTTTTTGAGGTGTTCTTGCCATTTTTGGGGTGCTAAGGATGTTTTTGGGGGGTTTTTTGGGTACTAAGGATGTTTTTGGGGTGTTTTTGCCGGTTTTGGGGTGCTAAGGATGTTTTTTGGGGGGTTTTGGGGTGGTTTTGGCTGGTTTTGGGGTGCTAAGGATGTTTTTGGGGTGGTTTTTTGGGGTGGTTTTAGCCATTTTTGGTGTGCTAAGGATGTTTTTGCCGGTTTTGGGGTTTTTTTGCCATTTTTGGGGTGCTAAGGATGTTTTTTGGCCGTTTTGGGGGTGTCTTTGCCGTTTTTGGGGTGCTGAGGATGTTTTTGGGGGGGGGTTGGCTGTTTTTGCCATTTTTGGGGTTCTGAGTATGTTTTCTGACCGTTTTTGGGGTGTTTTTGCCATTTTTGGGGTTCTGAGGATGTTTTCTGACCGTTTTCGGGGTGTTCTTGCCGTTTTTGGGGTACTAAGGATGGTTTTTGGGGTTTTTGGGGTGTTGTTGCCATTTTTGGGGTTCTGAGGATGTTTTCTGACCGTTTTTGGGGTGCTTTTGCCGTTTTTGGGGTGCAGGGACGATTATTTCCGGATGAAGCTCCAGTGGCGCTCGCTGAGCCCGGGGCAGCTGCGGAGGAACAAAATCCTCAGGGGGTACCTGGAACGGATCGGTGAGACCCCAAAAATCCCCAAAAATCACCCCAAAATAACCCCAAAAATCACCCCAAAAATCCCCCAAAATCACCCCAAACTGAGCCCTCAGGGGGTACCTGGAACGGATCGGTGAGACCCCAAAAACCCCCAAAATCACCCCAAAATCACCCCAAAATCACCCCAAAATCACCCCAAACTGAGCCCTCAGGGGGTACCTGGAACGGATGGGTGAGACCTCAAAAATTACCCAAAATCACCCCAAAATGGCCCAAAAATTAACCCAAACTGTCCCAAAAATCACCCCAAAATGGCCCAAAAATTACCCCTAAACTGCCCCAAAAATGAGTCCAAATCTTCCCAAAAAGTCCCAAAATTTCCACAAACGTTCTCTAATCACCCTAAAAGTCCCCAAAATGTCCCCAAAATGTCCCAAACATCCCAAAAATGTCCCCAAAAAATCTCCAAAATGTCCCAAAAAATCCCAAAATGTCCCAAAATGTCTCAAAATGTCCCCAAAAAAATCTCCAAAAAATCCCAAAATATCCCCAAAAAATCCTAAAATGTCCCCCAAAAAAATCGCAAATCTCCCCCAAATCCTTCCCCAGAAATCCCAAAAAGTCTCCAAAAAATCCCAAAAAATCCCAAAATGTCCCAAAAAAAATCCCAAAAATCCCAAATCTCCCCAAAAAATCAAAAAAAATCCCAAATCTCCCCAAAAAGTCCCCAAATGTCCCCCAAAAAATCCCAAATCTCCCCCAAATCCTTCCCCAGAAATCCCAAAATGTTCCAAAAAATCAAAAAAATCCCAAAATCTCCCAAAAAGTCCCAAATAAAATCCCAAAAAAATCCCCAAAAAAATCTCAAAAAAATCCCAAATCTCCCCCAAATCCTTCCCCAGAAATCCCAAAATGTTCCAAAAAATCCCAAAAAAATCCCAAAATCTCCCAAAAAGTCCCAAATAAAATCCAAAAAAAATCCCCCAAAAAATCTCCAAAAAATCCCAAAACGTCCCAAAATCTCCCCCAAAATCTCCTCAAAAAGTCCCAAATGTCCCCAAAAATCCCAAAATGTCCCCAAAAAAATGTCCAAAAAATCCCAAAATATTGCCAAAAAAAAAATCTCAAAAAATCCCAAAATTACCAAAAATATCCAAAAATGTCCCAAAATGTCCCCAAAAAAAACCAAAAATGTCCCCAAAAAATCCCAAAATGTCCCGAAAAAATCTTCAAAAATCCCCAAAAATCCTTAAAAAATCCCCAAAAACTCCCCAAAAAAACCCCAAAAAATCTCCAAAAAATCCCAAAAAATCCCAAAATGTCCCAAAAAATCCCAAATCTCCCCAAAATGTCCCAAAATGTCCCAAATTTGCCCAAATCTCCCAGATCGGGACCTGGCCGGGGATCCGTCGGCGCCGCGGCTGCGGGAACTGCTCCGGACATTCTGCATGTTCCACTTCGACCTCGGTGAGAGCAAATTTGGGGGATTTGGGGGATTTTGGGAATTTTGGGAATTTTTGGGAATTTAAAAAAAAATTTTACAGGGGTTTCTGGGGGATTTTTGGGGGATTTTTTATGGATTTTGGGGGGGTTTGGGAATTTTTTTGGGATTTTTCAGGGTTTTTGGAGGGGTTTTTGTGAATTATGGGGATTTTTTGGGAGATTTTGGGGGAAATTTGGGAATTTAGGGAAAATTTGGGAATTTTGGGGGGAAATTTGGGAATTTGGGGGGGGTTTTGGAGGAAATTTGGGGGATTTTTGGGGATTTGGGGTTCAGGGCTCTCATGACCTTCTGCATGTTCCACTTCGACCTCGGTGAGAGCCCAAATTTGGGGATTTGGGCGATTTTGGGTATTTTTGGGACATTTTGGGAATTTTTGGGAATTTTAAAAAAAATTTTACAGGGGTTTCTGGGGGATTTTTGGGGGATTTTTTATGGATTTTGGGGGGGTTTGGGAATTATTTTGGGATTTTTCAGGGTTTTTGGAGGGGTTTTGGCGAATTTTGGGGATTTTTGGGGGGATTTTGGGGGATTTTTGGGAGATTTTGGGGGAATATGGGAATTTTTGGGGAATTTGGGGGGGATTTCGGGATTTCTTGGGGGATTTTGGGGGGAAATTTGGGATTTTTTGGGGGGAATTCATGATTTTTTAGGGAATTTTGGGGGAATTTTGGAATTTTGGGGGGATCCCCTAAATTTTGGGATCCCGAATTTTGGGGACCGGGGGGAAATTTGGGGTTTTTGGGGGGATTTGGGGGGAATTTTGGGACTTTTTTGGGGCAAATTTTGGGATTTTTTTGGGAGGGAAATTTGGGATTTTTTTTTGATTTTTTTTTTTTTTTGCGGGGAAATTTGGGATTTTTGGGGGAAATTTGGGATTTTTTTGGGGTGAATTCTGGGGGAAATTTGGGATTTTTTGTGGGACTTTTTTTTTAATATTCATGGGGAAATTTTGAGATTTTTGGGTGGGAAATTTGGGAACTTTTGGGGGGATTTCCGGGGCAATTTTTTTGTTTTTGTGGAAAATTTGGGGGGAATTTTGGGGGATATTTGGAATTTTTCCGGGGGGAATTTTGGTGGAAATTTGGGATTTTTTGGGAGGAAAACTTGAAGGGAAAATTGGGATTTTGGGGGGGAAATTTGCGATTATTGAGGGAATTTTGGGGGGAAAATTGGGATTTTTGTGGGATTTTTAAAATTTTTGTGGGGAAATTTGGGGTTTTTGGGGTAAATTTAGGATTTTTTGGGGGATCCCGAATTTTGGGGATCCCCTAAATTTGGGGTGCAGGGTGGGGGGGGGAGGGCGAGGTCTGGGGGGAAATTTGGGTTAATTTTGAGGGGAAATTTGGGATTTTTATGGGATTTTTTTTATTTTCGTGGGGAAATTTGGGATTTTTGGGGTAAATTTAGGATTTTTTGGGGATCCCGAATTTTGGGGACCCCCTAAATTTGGGGTGCAGGGTGAGGGGGATGGGCGAGGTTGGAGGGGAAATTTGGGTTAATTTTGAGGAGAAATTTGGGATTTTTATGGGATTTTTCTTATTTTCGTGGGGAAATTTGGGATTTTTGGGGTAAATTTAGGAATTTTTGGGGATCCCGAATTTTGGGGTCCCCCTAAATTTGGGGTTCAGGGTACGTGAGGGGGATGGGCGAGTCCGGGGGGAAATTTGGGTTAATTTTGAGGGGAAATTTGGGATTTTTATGGGATTTTTTTTTATTTTTGGGGGGAATTTTGGGATTTTTGGGGTAAATTTGGGATTTTTTGGGGATCCCGAATTTTGGGGACCCCCAAATTTGGGGTTCAGGGTACGTGAGGGGGATGAACGAGCTCCTGGCCCCTCTCGCCGCCGTCTGCGCCGACGAGGCCGAAGCGTTTTGGGCCTTTTGCGCCGTCATGGAGATGGTGGTGAGCGAATTTGGGGGGAAAAAGGGAAAATTTGGGAAAATTCACAAATCTGGATTTTTTGGGGGGGAAATCACAAAAAAATTGGGGGGAAAATGGCAAAATTTGGGGGGTAAATGTCAAAATTTGGGGAGAAAATTTCAAAATTTGGGGGAAATCTGGAATTTTTGGGGGAAAATTTAACCAAAATTTGGGGGAAATTCGAAATTTTGGGGGAATCAAAAATTTTGGGGAGGAAATGTCAAAATTTGGGGGAAATCTGGAATTTTAGGGGGAAAATTTGACCAAAATTTGGGGGGAAATTCAAAATCTTGGGGGAAAATCTGGAATTTTGGGGAGGTAATTGACAAAAATTTGGGGGTGAAATGTGAAAATTTGGGGAAATTTATAAATTTGGGGAAAATATCAAAATTTGGGGGGGGAAATGTCAAAATTTGGGGAAAATCTGGAATTTTGGGGGGAAAATTTGTCCCAAATTTGGGGGAAATTCGAAATTTTGGGGGGAAATCACAAAAATTTGGGGGGAAGAATGTCAAAATTTTGGGGGGGGAAATCTGGAATTTTGGGGGGAAAATCGACCAAAATTTGGGGGAAATTCAAAAATTCCTGGGGGAAATGTGGAAATTTTGGGGGGAAAAATGGCAAAATTTGGGGAAATTGATAAATATGGGGAGATGTGGAATTTTTGGGGGGAAGATCACAAAAATTTGGGGGGTAAATGTCAAAATTTGGGGAGAAAATTTCAAAATTTGGGGGGAACCTGGAATTTTAGGGGGAAAATCAACCAAAATTTGGGGGAAAATTCAAAATTTTGGGGGGAATTTTGAAATTTTGGGGAGGAAATTGACAAAAATTTGGGGGAATTTTTATATTTTGGGGAGAAAATGTCAAAATTTTGGGGAGAAAATGTCAAAATTTGGGGGAAATCCGGAATTTTTGGGGGCAGTTTGGGGCAAATTTTTGGGGGTTTTTTTTTGGGGTATTTGGGGGGTTTTGGGGGGGAATTTTTGGGTTTTTTGGGGGAATTTTTGGGTTTTTAGGGGGTGAATTTGGGGTTTTCTGGGGGGGTTTGGGGGATATTTTTGGGTTTTTGGGGGATTTGGGGTCGAATTTTGGGGATTTTTTGGGGGTGAATTTGGGGTTTTTCTGGGTTTTTTGGGGGGGGATATTTTTGGGTTTTTGGGGGGATTTTTTGGGGTTTTCTGGGCATATTTTTGGTTTTTTGGGGGGATTTTTTGGGGGTTTTTGGGTGAATTTTAGGGGGTTTTGGGGGTGAATTTGGGGTTTTTCTGGGGTTTTTTTTGGGGGGGGATATTTTTGGTTTTTTGGGGATTTTGGGGTGAGTTTTTTGGTGTTTTGGGGGGGATTTTGGGTGAATTTTATGGGTTTTGGGGTATTTGGGGTTTTTTTTGGATATATTTTTGGGGCATATTTTTGGTTTTTTGGGGATTTTGAGGCAAATTTTGGGGTTTTCTTGGGATATTTTTGGTTTTTTGGGGAGGAATTTTTGGGTTTTTGTGGGTGAATTTAGGGTTTTTCTGGGTTTTTTTGGGGGGTATATTTTTGGTTTTTTGGGGGGATTTTGGGGGGAATTTTTGGGTTTTTTGGGTGTGAATTTGGGGTTTTTCTTGGGGTTTTTTGGGGGATATATTTGGTTTTTTGGGGATTTTGGGGGGGTTTTAAGGGTTTTTGGGGGGGTTTTTCTGGGGAGTTTTTGCGGGATATTTTTGGTTTTCTGGGGGATTTTGGGGCGAATTTTTTGGGTTTTTGGGGGGGAATTTTTGGGTTTTTTGGGGGAATTTTGGGGGTTTTTGGGTGGATATTTTGGTTTTTGGGGTCTTTGTGGTTTTTTGGGTGTGAATTTGGGTTTTTTCTGGGGGGGGTTTTGGGGGATATTTTTGGTTTTTAGGGAGGATTTTGGGGGGGAATTTTTGGGGGGTTTTGGGTGAATTTTTGGGGGTTTTGGGTGAATGTTTTGGGTTTTTTTGGGGGAATTTGGGTTTTTTTTGGGGGAATTTTTGGGTTTTTTGGGTGAATTTTTTGGGTTTTTTGGGTAAATTTTTGGGTGAATATTTTGGTTTTTGGGTTTTTTGGGTTTTTGTGGTTTTTTGGGATTTCCTCCCTTTTCCCCCCCCCAGGGTGAGAATTTCGGGCCGGGCCCGGAGGGGCTGCGCAGGAATTTGGGGCTTTTGGGGGCGCTGCTGGAGCAGCTGAACCCCGACCTCGTCCCGCTGCTGGGTGAGTGTCCCAAATGTCCCCAAATGTCCCCAAAATGTCCCCAAATGGCCCTAAAATGTTCCCAAATGTCCCCAAAATGTCCCCAAATATCCCAAAATGTCCCCAAATTTCCTAAAATGTTCCCAAATGTCCCCAAAATGTCCCCAAATGTCCCCATTGATGTCCCAGTGTCCCAAATCCCCCAATGTCCCCAAATGTCCCCGATGTCACCAGTATCCCCAATTCTCCCAAATTGTCCCTAAATTGTCCCCAAATGTCCCCAAATCCCCTCAAAACCACCCCAAAGCCACCCCAAAATGTCCCCAAAATGTCCCAAATGTCCCCAAAATGTCCCCACTGATGTCCCCACTGTCCCTGATGTCCCCAATGTCCCCAACCCCCCAAATTTCCAAATATCCCAAATGTCCCCCATGTCCCCAATGTCCCTAAAAGTCCCTAAATGTGCCCAATGTCCCCAATGTCCCTGATTACCCTGATGTCCCAAATGTCCCCAAATTGTCCTCAAATGTCCCCAAATCCCTTCAAAACCACCCCAAACCCACCCCAAAATGTTCCCAAATGTCCCCAATGTCACCCCAGTGTCCCCAAAATGTCCTCAAAACGTCCCAAATGTCCCCAAATCTCTCTCAATTGTCCCCAAATCCCCTCAAAACCACCCCAAAATGGCCCCATTAATGTCCCCAATGTCCCCAATGTCCCCAATGTCCCCAATGTCCCCCATGTCCCCAATTCCCCAAAATGTCCCCAATGTCCCCAAATTTCCCAAAATGTGCCTAAATGTCCTCAAATGTCCCCAAAATGTCCCCAATGTCACCGAAGTCCCCAATGTCCCAAATGTCCCGAAAATGTCCCCAAAATGTCCCTGATGTCCCCAAAATATCCCAAAATGTCCCCAAATTTCCCTAAAATGTTCCCAAAGTCCCCAAAATGTCCCAAACCCACCCCAAAATGTTCCCAAATTTCCCTATAATGTTCCCAAAATGTCCCCAAAATGTCCCTAAATGTCCCCAATGTCCCCAGTGTCCCTAAATGTCCCCAATGTCCCCAATGTCCCCAATCCCCCCAATGTCCCCAATGTCCCCCAATGTCCCCAATGTCCCCAATGTCCCCAATGTCCCCAATGTCCCCAATGTCCCCAATGTCCCCATTAATGTCCCCGTTAATGTCCCCAATGTCCCCAATGTCCCCAATGTCCCCCAATGTCCCCAATGTCCCCCAATGTCCCCAACCCCCCAATGTCCCCAATGTCCCCAATGTCCCCAATGTCCCCCAATGTCCCCAATGTCCCCACTGTCCCCAGCCCAGCGGTGGCCGCGCCGTTGCTGCTCTCGGTGGCTCCAGTTCCGTTTCCAGCGGCTGCTGGGACAGGAGGGGACAGAGCGGCTCTGGGAGGTACCGGGGACAGCGGGGACAGCGGGGACATTGGTGGGGACATCAATGGGGACACTGGGGACAGCGGGGACATTGGGGACATTGGGGACATCAATGGGGACATTGGGGACATTAATGGGGACATGGGGACACTGGGGAGATTGGGGACATTGGGGACATCGGGGACATCGGGGGGATTTGGGGACATTGGAGACATTGGGGGACATTGGGGACATTGGGGATATTGGGGACATTTGGGAACATTTTGGGGACATTTTGGGAGGTTTTTGGGACATTGGGGACATTTGGGACATTACGGGGACATTGGGGATATTGGGGACATTGGGGGCATTGGGGACATTTGGGACACTTTGGGGACATTTTGGGACATTTTGGGAGATTTGGGGACATTTTGGGGCATTGGGGACATTGGGGACATTTTGGGGAATTTGGGACATTGGGACATCAATGGGGACATTTTGGGGTGTCTTTGGGGTGGTTTTGAGGGGATTTGGGGACATTTGGGGACAATTTGGGGACAATTTGGGGGGATTGGGGACATTGGGGACATTGGAGACATTTGGGGACATTTTGGGTGGGTTTGGGGACCTTTTGGGGACATTTTGGGGACAATTTTGGGACATTTGGGGACATTTGGGACATTCAGGGCAGCTTTGAGGTGGTTTTGTGGGTATTTGGGGACTTTTGGGGACAATTTGGGGACATTAGGGGTGGCTTTGGGGTGGCTTTAAGGGGATTTGGGGACATTTGGGGACATTTGGGACATTCGGGGCGGCTTTGAGGTGGTTTTGAGGGGATTTGGGGACATTTTTGGGGCCCTTTGGGCGTGTTTGCCCCCAGAGGTGTCCCCAAAATGTCCCCAACTGTCCCCAAAATGTCCCCAAAATGTCCCCAACTGTCCCCAAGTGTCCCCAGAGGTGTCCCCAAATGTCCCCAAAATGTCCCCAAAATGTCCCCAGAAGTGTCCCCAAGTGTCCCCAATGTCCCCACTGTCCCCAGGTGCTGTGGACGGGGCGACCGTGCCCCAATTTCCATCTCCTGGTCACCTGCGCCGCGCTGGAGCTGCTCAGGGACACCTTTGGGGACACCTTTGGGGACACCTTTGGGGACACCTTTGGGGACACTTTTGGGGACAGTGACAGCGACGAGGACACGGACAGCGAGGACAGCGACGGGGACCAGGTGGGGACACCGGGGACACTGGGGTGGCACTGGGGTGGCACTGGTGACATTGGGGTGGCACTGGGATGGCACTGAGGTGGCACTGGGGACACCAGGGACATCAGGGTGGCACTGGGGACACAGGGGACATTGGGGTGGCACCGGGGACACGGGTGGGGTTGGGGACACTGGGGACATTGGGGTGGCACTGCGGACACAGGGATTGGGACACTGGGGTGGCACTGGGGACATCAGGGGTGGCACTGGTGACATCGGGGTGGCACTGGGGTGGCACTGGGGACATGGGGATGGCTTTGGGGACAGGGCTGGGGACACTGGGGTGGGGTTGGGGACAGTGGGTGGCACTGGGGTGGCACTGGGGACACCAAGGGTGGCACTGGGGACATCAGGGGTGGCACCAGGGTGGCACTGGGGTGGCCCTGGGGACACCGGGGGTGGCACCAGGATGGCACTGGGGACAGGGCTAGGGACACTGGGGTGGCACTGGGGACACAGGTGGGGACACTGGGGTGGCACTGGTGACATCGGGGTGGCACCAGGGACCCCAGGGTGGCACTGGGGACAGGGCTGGGGACACTGGGGTGGCACTGAGGTGGCACTGGGGACACCGGGGACATCAGGGTGGCACTGGGGACACAGCTGGGGACACTGGGGGTGGCACTGGGGTGGCACTGGGGACATCAGGGTGGCACCAGGGACCCCAGGGTGGCATTGGGGACATAGTGGGGGACATTGGGGGTGGCACTGGGGTGGGGTTGGGGACATCAGGATGGCACTGGGGACATCGGGGTGGCACTGGGGACACCAGAGTGGCACTGGGGACACTGGGGTTCAGGCACTGGGGACACCGGTGGGGACACTTGGGTGCCCCTGGGGACATTGGGGTGGCACTGGGGACATTGGGGTGGCACCGGGGTGGGGTTGGGGACACTGGGGACATCGGGGTGGCCCTGGGGACACGGGGTTTGGGACACCGGGGTGGCACTGGGGTGGCCCTGGGGACACTGGTGGGGACATTGGGGTGGCACTGAGGTGGGGTTGGGGACACTGGGGTGGCACCGGGGTGGCACTGGGGACACCGGGGACATCAGGGTGGCACTGGGGACACAGGTGGGGACACTGGGGACATCGGGGTGGCACTGGGGACACAGGTGGGGACATTGGGGACATCGGGGGTGGCACCGGGGTGGCACTGGGGACATGGGGATGGCTTTGGGGACAGGGCTGGGGACACCAGAGTGGCACTGGTGACATTGGGGTGGCACTGGGGACAGGGCTGGGACCACTGGGGTGGCCCTGGGGACATCAGGGTGGCACTGGGGACATAGTGGGGGACATTTGGGGTGGCACTGGGGTGGGGTTGGGGACATCAGGATGGCACTGGGGACACAGGTGGGGACACTGGGGTGGCACTGGTGACATCGGGGTGGCACCAGGGACCCCAGGGTGGCACTGGGGACAGGGCTGGGGACAGTGGGGTGGCACTGGGGACATCAGGGTGGCACTGGGGTGGCACTGGGGACGTTGGGGTGGCACTGGGGACACAGGTGGGGACACTGGGGTGGCACTGTCCCCTGTCCCTGTCCCCAGCTGTCCCCATGGGTGACACCAGGATAGGGCTGGTGACACTGTCCCTGTCCCAGCTGTCCCCGTTGGTGGCGGTGGGAGGCACAGGGACAGGGTTGGTGACACCAGGACAGGGTTGGTGGCACTGGGGTGGCACTGGGTGGCACAGGGACACTCTGGTGACACTGTCCCTTGTCCCCATGTCCCTTGTCCCCATGTCCCTTGTCCCCAGCTGTCCCCGTTGGTGGCGGTGGGTGACACAGGGACAGGGTTGGTGGCACAGGGACACGCTGGTGGCACTGGGGTGACACCAGGACAGGGTGGTGGCACTGTCCCCATGTCCCATGTCCCTTGTCCCCAGCTGTCCCCGGTGGTGGCAGTTCCGGAGCTGCTGCGTCGCGCTGAGGGACTCCTGCGGGTGGCGGCCACTCGGGTCAGTGACACACAACAATGTCACCAAATGTCACCAATGTCACCAATGTCACCAAATGTCCCAAAATGTCACCAAATGGCCCCAGAATGGCCCAAAATGTCACCAAAATGGCCCCAAAATGTCACCAGAATGTCCCCAGAATGTCCCCAAATGGCCCCAAAATGGCCCAAATGGCCCCAGATGTCCCCAAATGTCCCCAATGTCACCGATGTCACCAGAATGGCCCCAAATGTCTCCAGGTGTCCCCAAGTGTCAACAAGTGTCACCTGAGTGTCCCCAATGTCCCCAATGTCCCCAATGTCCCCAAATGTCCCCAATGCCCCAATGACCCCAAATGTCACTGGGTGTCCCCAGATGTCACCAATGTCCCCAAAATGTCCCCAAATGTCCCCAAAATGTCCCCTGAGTGTCCCCAGTGTCCCAGACTGGCACCAAATGACCCCTGGGTGACCCCAAATGACCCCTGGGTGACCCCAGGCTGACCCCAAAGTGACCCAAGTGACCCCAAAGTGACCCAAGGTGACCCCAAAGTGACCCCTGGATGACCCCAGTGACCCCTGGGTGACCCAAATGCCCCAAAAGTGACCTCAAATGACCCCAAAGTGACCCCTGGGTGACCCTGATGTGACCCCTGGATGACCTCAAAGGACCCTGAGTGGCCCCTGGGTGACCTCAGGTGACCCCAGTGACCCCCGAGTGACCCAAATGCCCCAAAAGTGACCTCAAATGACCCCGCCCCTCCCCCAGGCGCTGCCCCCGGACCTGCGGGAGCTGCTGGGACTGGGACAGACTGGGACGGACTGGGAGCAACTGGGACAAACTGGGACGGACCAGGAGCAACTGGGACAGACCGGGAGCCAAACTGGGACGGACTGGGAGCAACTGGGAGGGCCCCAACCCCCCCCAGAGCCGCCCCCGGGCACCGCCTGAGCCAAACTGGGACGGACTGGGATGAACTGGGAGGGACTGGGAGGGACTGGGAGGGAACTGGGTCACACTGAGAGCCAAACTGGGAGCACTGGGACAGACTGGGAGGGACTGGGAGGGACTGGGGCAAACTGGGAACCTGAACTGGGGCGCACTGGGAGCACTGGGAGCCCAAACTGGGAGCACTGGGAGCCCAAACTGGGAGCACTGGGAGCACAAACTGGGAGGGACTGGGAGCCCAAACTGGGATGAACTGGGAGCCCAAACTGGTTTTTCCTTTCTTTGTTCATTAAAAGCTTTTGGGAACCGCCGGATTTGGAATTTTGGGTTTTTTTGGGGATATTTTGGGGTTTTTTGGGGTTTTTTTGGGAATTTGGGGATTTTTTTGGGGAATTTTGAGGGGAATTTGGGGGATTTGGGGAATTTTTGGGTTTTTTGGTTTTTTTGGGAATTTGGGGGATTTTTGGGGAATTTTTGGGGGGAATTTGGGGGATTTTTGGGGGAATTTGGGGGATTTTGGGAATTTTTGGGGTTTTTATGGATTTTTGGGGTTTCTTAGGGTTTTCTTTGGGATATTTTGGAGTTTTTTGGGGGGTTTTGGGAATTTGGGGAATTTTTGGGGTTTTTTTGGGAATTTTGGGGGGGATTTTGGGGTTTTGGGGGATTTTGGGGTTTTTTTTTGATTTTTGAGGGGGTTGGGGTTTTTGGGGGAGTTTTGGAGGCTTTTGGGGAGTTTTTGGGAATTTTGGGGGGGTTTTGGAATTTTGGGGGTTTATTTGAGTTTTTTTGGGAATTTTGGGGGGATTTGGGGTTTTTTGGGAATTTTGGGCAGTTGGGGTTTTTTGGGTTTTTTTGGGGTTGGTTTTTTGGGTCTTTTTGAAGGTTTCTTTTTGGGGTTTTCTTTTTTGGGGGTTGGGGATTTTTAGGGATTTTTTTGGGGGTTCTTTGTGTTTTGGGGATTTTTTTTGAGTTTTTTTGATGATTTGGGATTTTTAGGGATTTTTGGGCGGTTTTTTGGTGCTTTTTGGCTGGTTTTGTTTGGGTTTTTTGGAGCTTTCTGGATTTTTCGGGATTTTTAGTGTTTGTTTCAACACATTTGGGATTTTTTGAGTATTTCGGGATTTTTTGGGGGGTTTTGGCTGGTTTTGTTCGGGTTTTTGGGGTTTTTTGGGGATTTCTGGATTTTTAGGATTTTTTTGGGGTTTGCTTCAAGTTTTTGGGGGTTTTTGGAGATTTTTGGGGATTTTTTGGGGTTTTGGCTGTTTTTTGGGGGGTTTTTTGGGGTTTTTTTGGGATTTTTTTTTTTGATTTCTGGATTTTTAGGGATTTTTTCGGGTTTTAACGTTTTTTGGGGTTTTTTTGGAATTTTTTTGGGATTTTTCGGTGTTTTGAGGATTTTTTGGGGGCGCTCCCCTCCCGTAATTACGGCGGTGCCGCTCCCGTAATTACCGCAGTAGAGGCGCACAAATCCCGTAATGCTCCGAAAAGCGGCACCGCCCGCAATTAATCCGCTAATTAATCAATAATTAATCCGTTCATTCATTAATGAGCGCGTTAATTGGCGATGGGCCCGGGGATGGACACGCGGACAGCAGTGGAAGTAATGCGTGATAATTAATTAATTAATTGATTAATTAATTAATATTGGAATATTAGCCCTGTATGAGCTGCACGTTGTACTCTGTAATTAATTAAATGTATGGTAATTATATGTAAATTATGCGCTGGGTAAGTTTATTTTAAATGAATTTGTTCTGGAAAAATGTATTTTATATTTCTATTTTTAAGCCATATATTTTAATATTAATATATTTTAATAGGAGCATTTTAATATTAATATATTTTATTAGTGAATTTTAATATTAATGTATTTAATATTCACCTATTTTAATATTCATATCTATTACTATTAATATATTTTAATATTTCTGTGTCTCAGTATTAATATACTTTATACTAATCTATTGCACTCACATATTTTAAATATTAATTGTCAATTTAATGTGTTAATTATAATATATTAAAATGTATTTTTAAATACATAAATTTGGTTTTGTAGATATAGAATGTGCGAATTATTTGGGAGCATTTTGGGGAAGATTTTGGGGAATTTTGGAGGATTTTTTGGGGGGATTTTGAGGGATTTTAGGGGGATTTTGGAGGGATTTTGGGGGATTTTAGGGAGATTTTGGGGGAATTTGGGAGGATTTTGGGAGGGTTCTGGGGTTTTTTGGGGGATTTTGGGGAGGATTTTTTGGGGATTTTGGGTGAATTTTTAAGGGGTTTGGGGGGAGATTTTGGGGAATTTTAGGAGGTTTTGGGCAGGGATTTTTTGGGGGGAATTTTGGAGGATTTGGGGAGGATTTTTTGGGGGGATTTTGGGAGGGTTCTGGGGGATTTTGGGGGGGATTTTGGAGAATTTTGGGGAATTTGGGGAGATATTGGGGAATTTGGGGGAGATTCTGGGGAGTTTAGGGAGATTTTGGGGGGATTTTTAGGGGGTCCTGGGTGTGGGTTTTGGGGTGGTTTTGGGGTGATTTTGGGGTGTTTTTGGGAGTGTCTCTGGGGTATTTTTGGCTGGTTTTGGGGTGGTTTTGGGTGTTTTTTAGGGTGTTTTTGGGGTGTTTTTTGGGGTGGTTTTGGGGTGTTTTTGGGGGTGTCTTTGGGGTATTTTTGGCTGCTTTTGGGGTGTTTTTGGGGTGGTTTTGGGGTGATTTTGGGGTGTTTTTGGGGGTGTCTTTGGGGTATTTCTGGCTGATTTTGGGGTGGTTTTGGGGTGTTTTTAGGACGGTTTTGGGGGTGATTTTGGGGTGTTTTTGGGGGTGTCTTTGGGGTATTTCTGGCTGGTTTTGGGGTGTTTTGGGGGCGGTTTTAGGGTGATTTTGGGGATGTTTTTTGGGGGTCCCAGGGAGGGGATTTGGGGGTGTCTCCCCTGCGTTCCAAAGCCGCTCCCGGAGCTGCTTTTGGGGTGGTTTTGTGCCGTTTTTTGGGGTGTTCTGGATGTTTTTTGGTGTTTTTTGGTATTTTCGGCAGCGCCACCTGGCGGCCGGAGGCGGCGGCAGAACCGCGCATGCGCAAAATGGCGGCGGCACGCCGCAAGATGGCGCTAAATGAGGCCACGCCCCCAGTCAGGCCACGCCCCCTCATTAAGCCACGCCTCCACATATAGAAAAGCCACGCCCACTCCAAATTAGGCAATGAGGTCCCGCCCCTTTTAGCCCCGCCCCCTTTCTTATGCTGTCTGAACCGTGGCCCCTCATTAATATTAATGAGGAGGTGGAGCCCACACAGACCTCCACTTCTTTATATAGGGCAGCTCTAATTGGAACACAAGGTATGAATATTAATGAGGGGCGTGATGGATGATGTAACAGCAGCGCATGGCTGAGTGTTGCTAATTAATGTTAATGAGGGGCGGGCTCATTAATATTCGCAGAGGGTGGGCAGTGATTGCGGTCAATCATTAATATTCATGAAGCAGAGGCTGCCAGGTACGTTAACATGGAGGAGACCTCGTTAATTAGCCTACTAATGAGATGGTACTCATTAATAGTCATTATAATTGACCTGCACTAATGTTAATGATATGGTAATCAGGCAGTCTGCTAATTACTATTCATTACCTGTGATAATTAGAAATTGTTGTCTTATTAATATTTATAATCAACCCACTGTCCACAACAGCATCATTATTAATAATGGCCAGGAACTCATTAATATTCATGAGGGTGGGGCTAGCCTCACCCCAGCCCCTCCCAGTTTCCACCATAAAAAGGGGGCGTGGCCAAGTCCAGGTGGGCGTAGCCGGAAGCTGGTCTGTGATTGGCTGTGGGTGTGGCTGTGGGTGTGGCCTGCCCTCACATGTGGGCGTGGTTTTCTTAGGTGGGCGTGGCTTCATTATACATTCAGGGCGTGTCCTCTACTGCTCGATGGGCGTGGCTTCGATTGGTGGGCGTGGCTTCGATTGGTGGGCGTGGCTTTGAATGGTGGGCGTGGTTTCCCTTCCATATTTGGGGCGTGTCCTCAGCTTTTCAGGGGGCGTGGCTTTGCAGGGTGGGCGTGGCTTTATGGGGTGGGCGTGTCTCTGTGACCCATTTGGGGCGTGGCTTTGCGGGGTGGGCGTGTCCTTGACCAACCGAGGGGCGTGGCTTTGTGGGGTGGGCGTGTCCTTTTCCAATAGGGGCGTGGCTTTGCGGTGGGCGTGTCCACAGCCCCATTTGGGGCGTGTCCTTCACCAGCCAGGTGGGAGGGGCGTGGCTTTCACAAACGGGGCGTGGCTTCCTGTGTGGGCGTGGCTTCCCGTGTGGGCGTGGCTTTCCGAAACGAGGCGTGGCTTCCTGTGTGGGCGTGGCTTTCCCAAACGGGGCGTGTCTTTCCCAAACGAGGCGTGGCTTCCCGCGTGGGCGTGGCTTTCTGTGTGGGCGTGGCTTTCCCAAACGGGGCGTGGCTTTCTTAAACGGGGCATGGCTTTTGTGTGGGCGTGGCTTCCATTGTGGGCGTGGCTTCCATTGTGGGCGTGGCTTCCCGCGTGGGCGTGGCCTCCCCTCCCCACCCCCTCCCCACATCTTCCCCCCATCCCCCTCCCCAATTTTCCGAGTGGGCGTGGCCAAAGGGCGTGCCGGGGGGGGCAATGGGGGGCAGGGCCGCTCCCATTGGCTGCGTGCGGCGGGGTGGGCGTAGCCAGGGGTGGGCGTGGCCCGCGGTGGGCGGGGCCAGCGCGGCCGTTCGCGCTCCGCCGCTCCTCGGCCGCCCCCGCCGCTCCGAGCCCGGCAGGTACCGGGGGGGGGGGGGAGGGGAGGGGTCCGCACACCTGAGGGGGGGGGAGGGGAGGGGGGTCCGCACATCTGGGGGGTGGGGGAGGGGTCCGCACATCTGGGGGGGGTCCGCACATCTGGGGAGGGGTCGCGCCACCTCCAGCGTGGGGGGATTTTGGGGGGTGGGGGAGGGGCGGGCGGCGGTTCGCGGGTGGATTTGGGGAGGGGGTGGGTGGGGGAGGGGCGGGGGTCGCGCGATGGGGCCGCGCTGGGTGGGGGAGGGGTGGGGGAGGGGTGGAACGGGGCCGTTTTTTGGGGGGGGGGAGGGGGTGAAAATGGGGGGTGGGCGTGAGGGGGGGTGGGGGAGGGTGGGGGAGGGGCGTGCGGAGAAGGGGGAGGGGCGCGCGGGTGAATTTTGGGGGGGGAGGGGTCGCTGCAGTGACACGTGGGGGGGGGATGGGCGCGCGCGCGGGGGGGGGGGCCACGCCCCCTTCCCCCCCTCCCCCCTCCCCCCCCCATTTCGGAGACCCCTCCCCAATTTGGCGACCCCTCCCCTCCCCCCCTCTCCTCATTAAGGACCCCTCCCCTAATTAAGGCCACGCCCCAATTTGGCGACCCCTCCCCCCCCCCATTAAGGACCCCTCCCCTAATTAAGGCCACGCCCCAATTTGGCGACCCCTTCCCTAATTAATGAGGCCGCGCTAATTAAAGGGCGCCGACCCCCCTTTTGTCGACCCCATCCCCAATTAGGAGACCCCGCCCCTCATTAAGGACCCTGCCCTAATTAGGGACCCCTCCCCTATTTAATGACCTCTCGCTAATTAAGAACCCCCTCCCTAATTAAGGACCCTGCCCTAATTAGGAGACCCCTCCCCTAATTAAGGACCCTGCCCTAATTAGGGACCCCTCCCCTATTTAATGACCCCTCCCTAATTAAGAAACCCCTCCCCAATTAGGAGCTGCCTCCCATATTAAGGACCCTGCCCTAATTAGGAGACCCCTCCCTAATTAAAGACCTCTGCCCTAATTAGGGACCCCTCCCCTATTAAAAGACCCCTCGCTAATTAAGAACCCCCACCCTAATTAAAGACCCTGCCCTAATTAGGGACCCCTTCCCTATTTAAGGACCCCTCCCTAATTAGGAGCCCCCTCCCCAATTAGGAGCCCCCTCCCTAATTAAAGACCTCTGCCCTAATTAGGGACCCCTCACCTGTTTAAAGACCCCTCACTAATTAGGAGCCCCTTCCCTAATTAAGGACCCTGCCCTAATTAGGACCCTTCCCAATTTAAGGCCCGTCCCAATTTCCTGACCCCCGCCCTAATTAAGAGACCCCTGCGTCATTAATGACCCTGCCCTAATTAGCGACCCTTCCCCTAATTAAGTGCCCTCTCCCTAATTAGGGACCCCTCCCCAATTAAACAACCCCTCTCTAATTAATAACCCTCCCCCAATTAAGGATCTCTCCCTAATTAAGCAAACCCCCCTCCCCAATTTAAGTCCTGTCCCTAATTAGGGCTCCCTCTCTAATTAAGGACCCCCCTAATTAAGGCCCCCTCCATAAATAAGGAGCCCTGTCTAATTAAGGACCCTCCTTAATTAATCACCCCCTCCCCAATTTTAGGACCTCTGCCTAATTAATGACCCCTCCCTAATTAAGCGGCCCCATCCCAGTTCATTGTCCCCTCCCTAATTAAGAGACCCCTCCCCAATTAAGGACCCATCCCAATTAAATGACCCCTCCCTAATTAAGCGACCCCTCCCTAATTAATGACCCCTCTCCAATTTAACACCCTCTCCCTAATTTAAGGCCTGACCTTAATTAATGACCCCTCTCTAATTAATGATCCCTTCCCTAATTAAGGACCACTCCCCAATTAAGGTTTCATCCTTAATTAAGCTCCCCCTCCCTAATTAATGACCCCTCCCCAATTAATGACCCCTCCCCAATTAATGACCCCCCAATTAATGACCCCTTCCTAATTAAGCACCCTCCTCCCTAATTAATGACCCACCCAATTAATGATCACCCCCGTTAATGACCCCTCTGTAATTAGTGATCCTGCTCTAATTAATGACTCCCCTAATTAATGACCTTCTCTAATTAATGACCCCCAAATTAAAGACCCCTCTCTAATTAATGGTCCCGCCCAATTAGTGACCCCCCCAATTAATGACCCCACCTATTGATGACCTCTAATTAGTGACCCACATAATTAATGACCCCTCTCTAATTATTCCCCCCAATTAATGACCCCTCTCTAATTAATGATCCGCCAATTCATGGCCCCCCAATTAATGACCCCGCCCCAATTAATGACCCCAAATTAATGCGCCCCCAAGTAATGATCTCCCCAATTAATGACCCCCCAATTAATGAACCTCCCAATTCATGACCCCCCAATTAGTGACTCCTGTCTAATTAATGACACCCCAATTAATGCCCTCTCTGTAATTAATGACCCCCCAATTAATGCCCCCTCTGTAATTAATGCCTCCCAATTAATGATCACCCCAATTAATGATCACCCCAATTAATGATCACCCCAATTCGTGGCCTCCCAATTAGTGATCTTTCTATAATTAATGCCCCCCCAATTAATGCCTCCCTAATTAGCGCCCCTGTCTAATTAATGACCCCCCCAATTAATGCCCTCTCTGTAATTAATGCCCCCTCAGTAATTAATGCCCCCCTATTTAATAACCCCCCACTTAATGATCACCCCAATTAGGGACCCCCCAATTAGCAACCCTTCTATAATTAATGACTCTCCCCCAATTAATGTCCCCTAATTAGCGCCCCTGTCTAATTAATGACCCCCACAATTAATAACCCCCCCAATTAACGCCCCCTCTGTAATTAATGCCCCCCAATCAACGATCACCCCAATTCGTGGTCCCCCAATTAGTGACCCTTCTATAATTAATGCCCCTCCCCCAATTAATGCCCCCTAATTAGCGCCCTGCCTAATTAGCGCCCCTCCCCCTCCGCCCCGCGGGAGCCGCGGCCTCGTTCTGGTCCCGATGGCCTCGATTTGGGCCCGGCCCCGCCCCCCCGGCCCGGGGACACCTTGGGGACACCTTGGGGTGACACTTTTGGGTGACAATTTTTGGGTGACACATTTTGGGTGACAATTTTTGGAGGTGACAATTTTTGGGTGACACTTTTGGGGTGACAGTTATTGGGGTGACACTTTTGGGGTGACATTTATTCGGGTGACACTTTCTGGGTGACAATTTTGGGGGTGACACTTTTTGGGGGTGACACTTTTGGGGGTGACAATTTTTGGGGGGTGACAATTTTTGGGTGACATTTATTGGGGGTGACAATTTTTGGGTGACACTTTTGGGACAGTTTTTGAGACATTTGGGGTGGTTACACTTTTTGGGTGACACTTTTGGGGTGACACTTTGTGGGTGACAATTTTTTGGGGTGACAATTTTTGGGTGACACTTTTGGGACAGTTTTTGTGTTCTGACACTTTTTGGGTGACACTTTTGGGTGACATTTATTGGGGTGACACTTTTGGGGTGACACTTTTAGGACAGTTTTTGGGGTTGTGACACTTTTTGGGTGACATTTTTGGGTGACACTTTGGGGGTGACAATTTTGAGGTGACACTTTTGGGACAGTTTTTGGTTTGTGACACTTTTTGGGTGACACTTTTGGGTGACTTTGAGGTGGCACTTGTTGGGTGACACTTTTGGGGTGACACTTTTGGGGTGGCACTTTTGGAGTGACACTTTTTGGGTGACACTTTTTGGGTGACATTTATTGGTGTGACACTTGGGGGTGACACTTTTGAGTGACATTTATTGGGTGACAATTTTTGGTTGACACTTTGGGGGTGACAATTTTTGGGGCTGACAATCTTTGGGTGACACTTTTGGGACAGTTTTTGGGGTTGTGACACTTTTTGTGTGACACTTTTTGGGTGACACTTTTGGGGTGACAATTTTGGGTGACATTTTTGGGACACTTTTTGGGGTGACATTTATTGGGGTGACAATTTGTGGGTGACAATTTTGGGGTGACAGTTTTTGGGTGACATCTACTGGGGTAACACTTTTGGGTGACATTTATTGGGGGTGACATTTTGGGTGACAATTTTTGGGGGGGACACTTTCTGGGTGACACTTTTGAGGTGACACTTTTTGGGTAACACTTTTGGTTGACACTTTTTGGGTGACATTTATTGGGGCGACACTTTTGGGACAGTTTTTGGGGTGGTGACACTATCTGGGTGGCACTTATGGGGTGACACTTTTGGGGGGTGACATTTATTGGAGGTGACACTTTCTGGGTGACAATTTTTGGGGGTGACAATTTTTGGGTGACACTTTTGGGGCAATTTTGGGGACATTTGGGGTGGTGACACTTTTAGGGTGACAATTTTTGGGGCGACAATTTTTGAGGTGACACTTTTGGGACAGTTTTTGGGGTTGTGACACTTTTTGGGTGACATTTATTGGGGTGACAATTTTTGGGTGACACTTTTTGGGTTTGTGACACTTTCTAGGTGACACTTTTTGGGTGACAATTTTTGGGGTGACACCTTGGGGGTGACACTTTTGGGGTGACAATTTTTGGGTGACAATTTTGGGGGGTGACATTTATTGGAGGTGACACTTTCTGGGTGACAATTTTTGGGGGTGACAATTTTTGGGTGACACTTTTGGGACAGTTTTTGGTGTTGTGACACTTTTTGGGTGACATTTTCTGGGTGACACTTTTGGGTGACATTTATTGGGGTGACACTTTTGGGACAGTTTTTGGGACAGTTTTTGGGGTTGTGACACTTTTTGGGTGACACTTTTGGGTGACATTTATTGGGGTGACACTTTTTGGGTGACACTTTTGAGGGTGACACTTTTTGGGTGACATTTGTTGGGGTGACACTTTTGGGACAGTTTTGAGGTGACAATTTTGGGTGACACTTTTTGAGGGTGACAAGTTTTGGGTGACAATTTTCGGGTGACAATTTTGGGCCGGCACTTTTGGGGTGACATTTATTGGGGAGACACTTCTGGTTGACAATTTTTGGGACGGTTTTTTGGGGTGACACTTTTGGGGTGACAATTTCCAGAGGGTGACATTCATTGGGTGACAATTTTGGGGTTGTGACACTTTCAGGTGACACTTTTTTTGGTGACACTTTTTTTGGGGGGGTGACATTTTTTGGGGTGACAATTTGGGGGGGGGGACACTTTTTGGGGTGACAATTTTGGGGGGGGTGACATTTTTTGGGTGACGCTTTTGGGGGGTGACACAAGAGGAGGCGGGGTCACCCCCGAGGTCCCAGTGCCACCTCAAAGGTCCCAGTGTCACCCCAGTGTCACCCCTGGTGTCACACCGGGTGTCACATGAGGGCCCCAGTGTCACCTCTGGTGTCACCTCAGTGCCACCCCCAGTGTCACCCCAGTGTCACCCCCGAGGTCCCAGTGCCACCCCCAGTGTCACCCCCGAGGTCCCAGTGCCACCCCCAGTGCCATCCCAAAGGTCCCAGTGTCACCCCAGTGTCACCCCCAATGTCACTCCCGGTGTCACACCGGGTGTCCCACGAGGGCCCCAGTGTCACCCCAGTGTCCCCCCTGGTGTCACCCCAGTGTCACCCCAGTGTCACCTTTATTGTCACCCCCAGTGCCACCCCAGTGTCACCCCCAGTGTCACCCCTGAGGTCCCAGTGCCACCCCAGTGTCACCTTTATTGTCACCCCCAGTGTCACCTCTGGGGTCCCAGTGTCACCCCAGTGCCACCTCTAGTGCCACCCTCAGTGCCACCCCTGGTGTCACCTATGGGGTCCCAGTGCCACCCCCAATGTCACCCCAGTGTCACCTCTGGTGTCACCTCAGTGCCAGCCCCAGTGTCACCCCAGTGCCACCGCAGTGCCACCCCTGGTGTCACCTCTGGGGTCCCAGTGCCACCTCTGGTGTCACACGAGGGTCCCAGTGCCACCCCAGTGTCACCTCTGGTGTCACCCCAATGCCACCCCCAGTGTCACCTCTGGTGTCCCAGTGTCACCCCAGTGTCACCCCAGTGTCACCCCAGTGTCACCTTTATTGTCACCTCCAAGGTCCCAGTACCACCCCCAGTGCCACCCCCAATGTCACCTCAGTGTCACCCCCAGTGCCACCCCCAGTGTCCCAGTGCCACCCCCAGTGCCACCTCTGGGGTCCCGGTGCCGCCCTCAATGTCACCCCCTGTGTCACCCCAGTGTCACCTCCAGGGTCCCAATGCCACCCCAATGTCACCCCAGTGTCACCTCCAGTGCCACCCCCAGTGCCACCCCAGTGTCACCTTTATTGTCACCTCCAGTGTCACCTCCGGGGTCCCGGTGCCGCCCTCAATGTCACCCCCAGTGCCACCCCCAGTGTCACCTTTATTGTCACCTCCAGTGCCACCCCCGGGGTCCCGGTGCCGCCCCCACCCCCAAATTTCCCGTTTTTCTCCCCAATTTTCCCTCCCCAACCTGGGCCAGTTTGGGCCATTTGGGGCCATTTTGGGGCATTTGGGGCATTTTGGGGCATTTTGGAGCATTTTGGGCCGTTTTGGGCCATTTTGGGAGATTTTGGGGCCATTTGGGGCCATATTGGGCCATTTTGGGCCATTTTGGGGCATTTTAGGGCATTTTGGGGCATTTTGAGGAAATTTGGGTCACTTTTAAGGAGATTTGGGAGGATTTTGAGGAGGTTTTTGGGGATTTTGGGGAAGTTTTGGGCATTTTGATGAGTTTTGGGTTGGTTTTAAGGAATTTTGGGTGATTCTGATGAGTTTTGGGTTGGTTTCCTGAATATTTGGGTGATTTTGATGAATTTCAGGTTGGTTTTAAGGAATTTTGGATAATTTTGATGAGCTTTGAGCTGATTTTAAGGAATTTTGGGTGATTTCGATGAGTTTTGGGTTGATTTTGTGAATATTTGGGTGATTTCGATGAATTTTAGGTTGGTTTAAGGAATTTTGGGTGATTTCAATGAATTTTAGGTTGGTTTTAAGGAATTTTGGGTGATTTTGATGAGTTTTAGGTTGATTTTAAGGAATTTTGGGTGATTTTGATGAGTTTTGAGCTGATTTTAAGGAATTTTGGGTGATTTCGATGAGTTTTGGGTTGGTTTCGTGACTATTTGGGTGATTTTGATGAGTTTTGAGTTGATTTTAAGGAATTTTGGATAATTTTGATGAGTTTTGGGCTGGTTTTAAGGAATTTTGGGTGATTCTGATGAGTTTTGGGTTGGTTTCATGACTATTTGGGTGATTTTAATGAGTTTTGGGTTGGTTTTAAGGAATTTTGGATAATTTTGATGAGTTTTGGGTTGGTTTCGTGACTATTTGGGTGATTTTAATGACTTTTGCTGCGTTTCCATCCCGTTTTTTGGGATTTCGATCCCATTTTTTTTGGATTTCGATCCCGTTTTTTGCGATTTCGATCCCGTTTTTTGAATTTCAATCCCGTTTTTTGCGATTTCCATCCCGTTTTTTGGATTTCCATCCCGTTTTTTGCGATTTCGATCCCATTTATTGCGATTTCCATCCCGTTTTTTGCGATTTTGATCCCGTTTTTTGCGATTTCCATCCCGTTTTTTGGATTTCGATCCCGTTTTTTGGGATTTCCATCCCGTTTTTGGGATTTTGATCCCGTTTTTTGGATTTCCATCCCGTTTTTTGGGATTTCCATCCCGTTTTTGGGATTTCGATCCCATTTATTGCGATTTCCATCCCGTTTTTTGCGATTTCCATCCCGTTGTTTGTGATTTCCATCCCGTTTTTTGCGATTTCCATCCCGTTTTTTGGGATTTCGATCCCATTTTTTGCGATTTCGATCCCGTTTTTTGCGATTTCGATCACGTTTTTTGCGATTTCGATCCCATTTATTGGGATTTCGATCCCGTTTTTTGCGATTTCGATCCCGTTTTTTGCGATTTCGATCCCGTTTTTTGGATTTCCATCCCGTTTTTTGCGATTTCCATCCCGTTTTTTGTGATTTCCATCCCATTTATTGCAATTTCGATCCCATTTTTTGGGATTTCGATCCCGTTTTTTGGGATTTTGATCCCGTTTTTTTTGATTTTTCCCCAATTTTTGGTATTTTTCCACTGATTTTCGTGTCTTTTTCCGTGACCCAAAATCGGGATTTTTCCCCCCAGCCTGGCATGGTGAGGCGATGCCGCCCCTCCCCCACCCAGCGCCGCTCTGGGGCCATTTTGGGCTGATTTTTTGCCATTTAGGGGTGATTTTGAGGAAATTTGGGTCGGTTTTAAGGATTTTGAGGAAGTTTGGGTGGATTTTGAGGAGGTTTTGGGCATTTTGAGGAGTTTTAGGCTGGTTTTAAGGAATTTTGGTTGTTTTTGATGAATTTTGGGTGATTTTGAGGAATTTTCGGTTGGTTTTAAGGAATTTTGGGTGATTTTGATGAGTTTTGTGTTGTTTTCCTGAATATTTCAGCGATTTCAATGAGTTTTGGGTTGGTTTTAAGGAATTTTGGGTGATTCTGATGAGTTTTGGGTTGGTTTCATGAATATTTTGGTGATTTTAATGACTTTTGCTGCATTTTGATCCCGTTTTTTTGTGATTTCGATCCCGTTTTTCGCGATTTCCATCCCCGTTTTTTGGATTTCCATCCCGTTTTTTTTAATTTTCGCCGATTTTTGTTATCCCCCCCAGCCTGGCATGGTGAGGCGATGCCGCGCACGCCGGCCTCCAGCGAGGAGGAGGAGGGGGGTCGGGGCTCCGAGTACCCCGAGGCCGATTCGGACTCGGGGAGTTCCCGCGAGGGCCCCCCCGGCCCCCCCCGCGCCCCCCGGGGCCCCCCCCGGCCGCCGCCCCCCGAGGAGGCGCAGTTCAGCATGATGGTGTTCCGCATCGGCATCCCCGACCTGCACCAGACGGTGAGCGAGAAACACCCCAAAATCACGGGAACGGGCCCCAAAATATTGGGGGGAGAGGCAAAACAAATTGGGGATTTGTATACAAAAAATTGGGTTTTTTTGAGGCATTTTAAGGACCTTTTGTGTCATTTCTCCCTTTTGGGCTCGCCTCATCCCGAACCCTTCGGGGTTTCAGTTTTGGGGTTCCCCTGATCTGACTCCCCAAATCCAAATTTTTGGGTCTTATCCCAGGGTTCTTTTTTGTGGGGTTTTTCGGGGGTTCTTTGAAGCATTTTGAGGCCATTTGAGGCAATTTCTCCACCCAGAGCTCCCCAAACCCGGGGACTTTTGGGGTCCCCACATCGGGGCAGAACTTTTGGGGTTCCCTTGACCTGACCCCCAAAATCTGCATTTTTGGGGCTCATCCCAAAGGAATTTTGGGGTGTTTTGGCATTTTTTGAGGCATTTTAAGGCGGTTTGGGGCAATTTCCTCACCCAGGGCTCCCCAAACCCGGGGACTTTTGGGGTCCCCACATCGGGGCTGAACTTTTGGGGTTCCCATGACCTGACCCCCAAAATCTGCATTTTTGAGGCTCATCCCAAAGGATTTTGGGTTTTTTGGGTTTTTTTTGAGGCATTTTAAGGACCTTTTGTGTCATTTCTCCACCCAGGGCTCCCCAAACTCGGGGATTTTTGGGCTCCCCTCACCCCGAACCCTTTGGGGTTTCAGTTTTGGGGTTCCCATGACCTGACCCCCAAAATCTGAATTTTTGGGGCTCATCAGAAAGGAATTTTTGGGTTTTTTGGGGTTTTTTGGGGGATTTTTTGGTGCATTTTAAGGTGGTTTGGGGCAATTTCCTCACCCAGAGCTCCCCAAACTCGGGGATTTTTGGGCTCCCCTCATCCCGAACCCTTCGGGGTTTCAGTTTTGGGGTTCCCATGACCTGACCCCCAAAATCTGAATTTTTGGGGCTCATCAGAAAGGAATTTTTGGGGTTTTTGGGGTTTTTTGGGTTTTTTGGGGGATTTTTTGGTGCATTTTAAGGTGGTTTGGGGCAATTTCCCCACCCAAAGCTCCTCAGTTTTGGGGATTTTTGGGCTCCCCTCATCCCAAACCCTTCGGGGTTTCATTTTTGGGGTTCCCATGACCTGACCCCCAAAATCTGCATTTTTGGGACTCATCCCAAACGAATTTTGGGGGTTTTGGGGTTTTTTTGAGGCATTTTAAGAAGGTTTGAGGCAATTTCCCCACCCAGAGCTCCCCAAACCCGGGGATTTTTGGGCTCACCTCATCCCAAACACTTCGGGGTTTCATTTTTGGGGTTCCCATGACCTGACCCCCAAAATCCACATTTTGGGGAGTTTTTGATGCATTTTAAGGCCGTTTGGGGCAATTTCTCCACCCAGGGCTCCCCAAACCCGGGGATTTCTGGGCTCCTCTCATCCCAAACCCTTCGGGGTTTCACTTTTGGGGTTCCCTTGACCTGACCCCCCCAGAATCTTTGGGGTTCCCATTTCTGGGACTCATCCCAGTGTTTTTTGGGGTGTTTGGGGGTTTTTTGAGGCATTTTGAGGCCATTTGAGGCAATTTCCTCACCCAGAGCTCCCCAAACCCGGGGATTTTTGGGCTCCCCTCATCGGGGCTGAACTTTTGGGGTTCCCATGACCTGACCCCCAAATCTGCATTTTTGGGGCTCATCCCAAGAGAATTTTGGGGGGTTTTGGTGCATTTTAAGGCGGTTTGGGGCAATTTCCTCACCCAGACCTCCCCAAACCCGGGGATTTCTGGGCTCCCTCATCCCAAACCCTTCGGGGTTTCACTTTTGGGGTTCCCATGATCTGACTCCCCAAATCCAAATTTTTGGGTCTTATCCCAAGGGAATTTTGGGGTTTTTTGGGTTTTTTTGGTGCATCTTAAGGTGGTTTGAGGCAATTTCCTCACCCAAAGCTCCTCAGTTTTGGGGATTTTTGGGCTCCCCTGATCCCAAACCCTTCGAGGTTTCAGTTTTGGGGTTCCCATGACCTGATGCCCCAAATCCAAATTTTTGGGTCTTATCCCAGGGTTCTTTTTTGGGTTTTTGGGGGATTTTTTGGTGCATTTTAAGGCGGTTTGTGTCATTTCTCCACCCAAAGCTCCCCAAACCCGGGGATTTCTGGGCTCCCCTCATCCCGAACCCTTCGGGGTTTCACTTTTGGGGTTCCCATGACCTGACCCCGCCCCCCAGAATCTTTGGGGTTCCCATTTTTAGGACTCATCCCAGGGGTTTTTTGGGATTTTTTTGGGTGTTTTCTGAGGCATTTTAAGGACCTTTTGTGTCATTTCTCCACCCAGAGCTCCCCAAACCCAGGGATTTTTGGGGTTCCCCTCATCGGGGCTGAACTTTTGGGGTTCCCATAATCTGCATTTTTGGGACTCATCCAAAAGGAATTTTTGGGGGTTTTTGGGGGTTTTTTGGGTGTTTTTTGGGTTTTCTGAGGCATTTTAAGGACATTTTGTGTCATTTCTCCACCCAGAGCTCCCCAAATTCGGGGATTTTTGGGCTCCCCTCACCCCTCACCCTTCGGGGTTTCACTTTTGGGTTTTTTCCCGTCCCCCCAGAAGTGCCTGCGCTTCGACCCGGCTGCGGCGGTGTGGGCGGCCAAGCAGCAGCTGCTGTGCGCGCTGACCGAGGGGCTCCACGACGGCCTCAACTACGGCCTCTTCCAGCCCGCCGCCGCCGGCCGCGACGCCAAGTTCCTGGACGAGGAGCGGCCGCTGCGCGACTACCCCCAGAGCTTCGACCAGGGCGTGCCCTACCTGGAGGTGGGCGTGGTCACGGGGGGCGTGGTCGTGGGGGTGGGCGTGGTCACGGGGGAGGCGTGGTGGGGATTTTGGGTGGGGTTGGTTACTCAGAATTTTGGCAAAAGTGGCAGATTTGGGGTGAGGTATATCGGCGATAATTTGGGTCAAAGTGGAGGATTTGTGGTTAAAATTATGCAAAGTGGGCGTGGTCAGGGTTTGGGCGTGGCACTGTGGGCGTGGTCACGGGGGCGTGGTCATAGAACGGGCGGAGTGATGGGGGAGGCGTGGTGGGGATTTTGGGTGGGATTGGTTACTCAGAATTTTGTCAAAAGTGTCGGATTTGGGGTTTAAATGGTGAAGAATGGGCGTGGCCAGGGGTTGGGTGTGGCCCTGTGGGCGTGGTCACGGGGGGCGTGGTCATTGGGGTGGGCGGGGTCACGGGGGAGGCGTGGTTTCAATTTGGGGTGGGGTATATTGATGAGAATTTGGGTAAAAGTGGAGGATTTGTGGTTAAAATTATGCAAAGTGGGCGTGGTCGGGGTTTGGGTGTGGCCATGTGGGCGTGGTCACAGTGGGCGGGGTCACAGTGGGCGGGGTCACAGTGGGCGGGGTCACAGGGGAGGCATGGTGTTGATTGTGGTTGGGTTAATTACAAGAAATTTTGACAAAAGTGGTAGAAATGGGGTTTATATTATGCAAAGTGGGCGTGGTCAGGGTTTGGGCGTGACCGTGTGGGCGTGGTCACGGTGGGCGTGGTCTCGGTGGGCGTGGCTGGCGGTGGGCGTGGTTTCCATTTTGGCAGGTGTTAATTCGGGAAACTTTTCTCCAAAAGCGTCAAATTTGGGGTCAAACGTTGGAGGGAGTGGGCGTGGTCAGGGTTTGGGTGTGGTCACGGGGGTGTGGTTTCAGTGGGCGTGGCTTTGGGGTGGGCGTGGCCTTTTGGTGGGCGTGGTCACAATTTGGGGAAGGGACAATGGGGCAGAATTTGGGTTAAAACGGCAAATTTGGGGTTAAAATGGCGCTGAGTGGGCGTGTCCAGTGGGGTGGGCGTGGCTTAGGGCCAGGGTGTGGTGTTTCCTTTTGGGTGGGCGTGGTCTGGGCGGGCTGGGGGCGTGTCCCCCGCTGGGGGGCGTGGCCCGGTGCTGACCCCGCCCCCAGTTCCGGTACAAGACGCGGGTGTACAAACAAACCAACCTGGACGAGAAACAACTGGCCAAGCTGCACACCAAGGTGGGTGGGACACGCCCCCTGCCCCAGGCCACGCCCCCTGCCCCAGGCCACGCCCCCTGCCCCCAGGCCACGCCCCCTCTCCCGTAGGCCACGCCCTAATTCGCTGGACACGCCTACCCCACACTTTGGCCACGCCCCTTGTTCCCAAAAACTCAGCAGTGGCCACGCCCCCTCAATCCCTGGACACGCCCCCTTTCCCTTGGCCACGCCCATGGCCACGCCCCCATACTTTGGCCACACCCCTCAGGTGACGGCCACACCCACCCTGACCACGCCCCCTTGAGCTGTGGCCACGCCCATTGTGCGATGACATCACCCCCTTTCCCTTGTGGCCACGCCCCTTTTCCCTGGCCACGCCCCCATTCTGCATGTCCCCAAATGTCCCCAATCCCCCCAATGTCCCCAAATGTCCCCAAATGTCCCCAAAGGTCCCCAAAGGTCCCCAAAATGTCCCCAAAACCTCCCAAAATGTCTCCAAAATGTCCCTAAAATGTCCCCAAAATGTCCCCAAATCTCCCCAAATGTCCCCAAATTGTCCCCAAATCCCCTCAAAGCCACCCCAAAGCCACCCCAAAATGTCCCCAAACGGCCCCATTGATGTCCCCAAAATGTCCCAAACCCACCCCCAAATGTCCCCAAATGTCCCCAATGTCCCCCCAATGTCCCAAATGTCCCCAAATGTCCCCAAACATCCCCAAATGTCCCAAATGTCCCCAACGTCCCCAATGTCCCCTCCTGTCCCCGATGTCCCA